TAAGGAGGATCATACTTTGCTTTTGCAGCTTTTCGTTAAGTTTATTTTTTAAGGTCGTGCGTGCTAAGGGTAATAACATTGATAAGAAAAGGGGAAAAAGGCAGATTAGATAAATGTGGTCAACTTTTCTTTGAAATAGTACAAAGCCACGGCAAGAGGAAGCGAGACAAAAGGAAAAAAGAATACATGCGTTTCCTGAATAGCCCTTATTTCATATAATACAAATGAACAAGCAGCGACTGGAAGAAAGAAAAAGCAAAACTTCAACTTGATGACACTCCTTATAGCGCTACTCGCACCATGCCTTTTGTGTAAACTATTTTATTTATTCTACTATGCGTTCTTTTCTCACCCATCTAAAGATTTATTGTCCTTCTTCTAAACTTCCATTTACGTTACGTCCAAAAAAGGTAAGTATGTTGTCTACAATTTATTCCAAATACGTCCAGAAGAAAAATTAACATCGTCTAATTTTAGCGTAAAACCATGTAGCGAAATATGTCACGTGTATTTCTGAACACAAATTACGTCAAGTTCCATAGGACATGGTTCCAGATTTTTGTATTTTTTCTGTTTCTCTTTTTATTTGTCTGTCTTTCTTTTTTCTTTATATTAAAGATGGCTGAATTCGTAAAGTTGTCAATCTTTGGAACTGTCTTTGAAGTGACAACGAGGTAGTAATGATTATTACGGGGAAAAAAGAATAGAAAGACTAAGCTGAATAGATATGTTGATTTACAACCAGTTGGCATGGGTGCTTTTGGTCTTGTTTGGTATAAATGATCTCCTATTAATAATAAGAGATGCTCATGTATTTCAATATAGCTCTGCCAAAGATCAATTGACTGGAATGAACGTGGCAATTAAGAAGATTATGAAACCTTTTTCTGCACCTGTCTTGGCAAAGAGAACGTACCGTGAGTTGAAGTTGTTGAAGGCTCTTCGTCATGAAAATGTAATTGATTATTGAGTATTGATATGATATTAACTACTATATATTCATAGATCATTAGTTTAAGTGATATCTTTATTTCACCTTTGGAAGACATGTAAGAATAGGAGATAGTATTCATGATAACAGTAGAAATATTAAAATATAAGATTATAGTTATTTCGTTACAGAACTATTAGGAACAGACCTACATCGTTTATTACAATCACGCCCCTTAGAAAAGCAGTTTATTCAATACTTTCTTTATCAAATTCTGGTTTGTGTGAACTAAGGGTTGTTATTATCATATAAAACTGATGATATAAATAGAGAGGTTTGAAATATGTTCACTCTGCTGGAGTAATTCATAGAGACTTGGTAAATAGAATAGAATAGTTCAAAAACACGTATTCATATGCTGTGATAGAAACCAAGCAATATTTTGATCAACGAAAACTGTGATCTCAAGATTTGTGATTTCGGTTTGGCGCGTATTCAAGACCCACAGATGACAGGTTATGTCTCTACCAGATATTATCGTGCACCAGAAATCATGTTGACTTGGCAAAAGTACGATGTTGCTGTCGACATTTGGAGTGCTGGCTGTATCTTTGCTGAAATGCTGGAAGGAAAGCCATTGTTCCCCGGAAAAGATCGTAAGTATTTGAAAGAGTAAGAAAGAGAGTGTGTATTTATCATCTATATTAGACGTTCACCAGTTCACAATCATTACCGAGCTTTTGGGTACACCACCTGATGATGTGATTGCAACTATTTGCAGTGAAAATGTAAATTGTTTGCCTGTTTTTAGCATTAGCGTGTATACTGATCATGCATTCATTAGACACTTCGATTCGTAAAGAATTTACCAAAGCGTGATCCAGTTCCTTTCTCGCAGAGATTTGTTGGTCAAGATCCTCAAGCTATTGACTTGCTGGAAAAGATGCTCACTTTTGATCCTGCCAAGCGTATTACAGCAGAAGAGGCATTATCTCATCCTTACCTCGCTCCTTATCATGACCCTACAGATGAACCTGTGTCCCCCGAAAAGTTTGATTGGTCATTCAACGAAGCTGATTTACCTATTGATACATGGAAAGGTAAGTATCTGTATGACATGCGGTTTATATGTTAATAATCCTTATTTAATATAGTTATGATGTACTCTGAAATCTTGGACTTCCATAATGTGGATAACATAGATGGAACCCAATTCTTGGGAACGCCTTTGACAGGTCCAACTATGGAAAACCCTGATGGTAACATTGATACCTCTACATTTCAACAACCTTCTCAGCAATAATATACACTTAAAAATAATTAGCGAAAGAAAGAGAGAGAAATAGTAATAGCCCTATTCATATGCTTGTGTACATTATATACAATAAATACTTTTTAAATTGTAATCAATTTATTATTATCTTATTCTTCACAATTCACCTTTTGCTGACTGCCTGCTTCAGATTTATTATATGCAACCTCACCAATCTCTGCCATGTCCAGTCCTTGGATTTCTGCTTCACTGTCAACACGAAGTGATAGGCCAGGAACGAGATTCATCAGAAACAAGACAGCATATGTAATTGCAAAGCTCCAACTGGACACTGCAACTACATCAATAAGCTGGAACGGAACCTGTATCCAATTTTGATTAATCCACCCACCAGTAATAATCGTGCTACCATCAAGAGCAGCCACATAAGATTCAGCAAAGACACCAGTCAGAATGCTACCAACCACGCCACCTACACCATGCACCGCAAATACATCTAAAGCATCATCATATTTGAGCCAATTTTTCAAACGAACTGCTGCATAACAACTAACAGCACCAAGACAACCGATAAGAAGTGCTGAACCAGGACTGACGAAGCCAGCGCCAGGAGTGATAGCCACCAAGCCAGCTACAGCTCCTGAGCAAAAGCCGAGAGCAGAAAATTTGTGATGAACACGATAGTCCAAACACATCCAAGTGATCGCACCCATGGAAGCTGCAAGATTGGTAACCAGGCATGCCATGATGGCTCGTAAGTTACCAGCAAGAGCTGAGCCGCCGTTGAAACCAAACCAACCGAACCAGATAAAGGCTGTACCCAAGATGACGTTGGACATATTATGGGGCTTGAATTCGTCCGTTTGGCGACGTCCCAAGATCAATGCATAAGCTAGGCTTGAAAATCCAGACGTGATATGAATTGGGCTACCTCCAGCAAAGTCCAAAACACCTAATTTCGCGATCCATCCCTGTGGATTCCAAGTCCAGCAGGCGACAGTGTCGTATACAATGGTGGTCCAGATAAAGATGAAAAAGACCATAGGCAGCAGTCGTCCACGTTCAGCACCAGAGCCAAAGACGAGAGCTGGCGTCAGTGCTGCAAACATTCCCTGATAAACACAGAATAAAAGTTCTGGGATCTTGTCGCTTCCAATCGAAGGACTATCAAGAACGTTGCGTAGAAATGCATGATCAAGGTTTCCAATAAATGGACTGGCGTTATCACTGAATGTTAAGCTGTACCCCCAAATGAACCACTGGTATTTTCAATACATCATATTGCCACGTACACACACTGCCTAAAATTTACCTGAACTGTGACCACAACAAGAGATATCAAACAACACATGATAAGCGAGAGTGCATTCTTTTCTCTGGCCATTCCAGAGTAAAAGTAGCCGATGCCTGGTATCATCAACCAGACAAGGGCGATAGATACTAGTATAAACGCGATATCACCTGGCTCGTAAGCCATATATAAAGACAGTAGGTTGAATAAAAAGAAAATAAAAGGAAAGAAATAGGAGGAATTTCATAAAGATTATGGTCCTTTTCTTATCTCCTGCAGAAGATATGCGCAGTGAAGTTTATGTGCTTGTATTATCTCTCTCTCTCATTTTTCTATTAAATCATATTATTGTCTTATCTAAACTTCAACACACATCGACGTCAACCTCATTCTTGGTCTCACTTCAATAAATGAATAAAGAAAAGAGAGATAGGCAGAAAGGATTGGCAAAAAAAAAAAAAAGAGGAAAGAACTATTTCAAATGGATCTGAAATAGCTTTATATAGTTCAATTTTATTTTCGGTGCAGAGTGACTCGCCTCAGACACGAACATAAAGAATAAGAACCCTTTTAAAAATTTTTATCTGCAGCATACATCATCGTTAATAAATCATCATGGAAAAAAAAGAATCCAAGAAACCATCGAGTAGACTGTTAGGAATGAAGGTAGAAAGGTCACATAAGAAGAACAACGTTGAACTGATGATGTCCTAGTTTATGCAAAGATCTCTTGAAAAGGAAGTACAAGAGCAGCTAGAAAGAGAACGCAAAAGAGTGATTTCAGAAGCTGAATGGGTGTTAGACACAAAGGATATCGAAATACAGAAACCGTAAAGTAATAGCAACTCTAGTATGCATATGTTTTTCACACATTGATAGTAAAATCCAAATAGAGTATCAGCCTAGTTATCTTGCCTTTACAGCAGACGCAGCCGTAGGAAGGAAGTCATTTAAAAGTTTCAATAAGCAAATCGAGGTAGACCGCTAATAAATAACAATAACAATGACAAAGCTCACTCTTTTTATTAATGTAGAAAAATGATGAAGAGAGAAAAATAGCAGAAAGAGAGAGTCGTGAACGCGAACAAGAAGAGGCACAGGAAGAGTCTGAAAAGGCATTTATAAGTGATATGGCATCTATTCGATCAGTAAAGAAGAAATCCAAAAAGAGAAAAGCAAAGGACACAGATGATCAACCAAGGAAGCAATCCAAGATGGGATTCATCAAACCAGAATAATAAAGAGAGTTTTAAAAAGAAGAATTTTGTTTATTCATGCTATCATATACATAGAAGCTACAATAAAGAATACTATGCTGTTACCATAGGGATGGTAACAAGGTTACGTGAAAACATCTGCATAATATTTTTTTTTTTTTGTCTTTTCTCTCCTTTTTTTTGCCACACAGCTTCAAATGCGTCAGAGGCATAAGAGAGTCACGTGTAATGTATTTTGAAAGGGAAACCTTTTGCAGAAATAATAATAAAAAAGGATTACTTTTTTTATCTTTTTGTAATTAAAACGAACGATGGACCTTGTTGCACGCAAGAAGCTAAACTTGGAAGTTTTAAAACGACACGACCCAAACATCACTGACATTCTGGACCAATCAGCACATGCAGTAGTTTATAAATTTGACATTGAGAAAAAAAGTTGGGTACGGGCATAATACACACACACATAATGGCAACTTGTGTTATTGAGTTTCTAATCATGTAAAAGGAAAAACTGGGTTATGAAGGTGTCATGTTTCTAACAAAAGGGTAAGTTGATTATATGGGAAGCAACCCTGTTATTGACAACTGTTTAGGAAATGTCATCCTTATTTCAGTTTATACATCTTGAACAGATTATCTATCGAAAATTATTGCTTAAACTTGACAGACTTTGAAGACATAAACTTGACAGACGAGTTTATTATCTATCAGACAACAGAAGGTTAGTTCTACCATTGGTATTGTTGCTATTGTTTATACCATAGTTCTTTAGGAGAAGCGTGTGCCATATGGTTATTCGAGAAAAAAGATAGAGAACGTATTTTGGCAAAAGTTCAAAAGTAATGTAATGATGAATAGCCATGGCTTGTGAAAATCTCATGGTTTTATATAGGCTACACGAGGGTATCAAGAACTTACCTGCAACGCCAAAGAAGCAACAGCAACAACCAGAACCAAAAGTAGATATACTCGAAATGCTAAAGAGAGGCTCAACCAAAAGCACACCTATTCCTGAAAAGCAACAACAACAACAGTCTATACAGCAGAATTCTCCAAAGCAAACGACCGACTTACTAGGTCTCTTGAAGAAGACAAGCATACAGACACATCCAGAAAACGAACTGAGACGGGTACCGGAACCATCCGAACAACAACAACAGAAACCCCCTGTTAACCTCATTGTACCAACCATGACACCGCAACCTCCAACAGCGCCTCCAGTTCCAAACGCTAGAAATTTATCTTTATTACAGGTGCTTCAGAATGGTATTACACCACCTGTGCCTCCTCCTATACCTCCACAGCAACCGTTGTTACCACAGCACCAGCTAATGAGTTTAATGCAGCCTGAAATTGGCAGAAGGTTCAATGGGCGGCCGTTATCAAAACCCGAATTCATTCAACAAGTGCTTCATATGATACAGGTAAAAACGCGTGAGATAGGTTCTATTCATATTGTGTTATTGACATGTCTTTTTATTTAGCGAGATCCCTTATTCCTTGATTCGCTTTATGAATCTTATAAGACTCAGATGGTTCCTCCTCCTTTCTAATAAAAAGATAAACTTTACCACGCGTATTTTCTTCTCATCCTTTACGGTATCATCAATAACTTCAGTCAAACCGAGATCATATATCGTTGATCTACAACAATGAGCATTGATGTTGCAGTGAGAACGGTAAATATTAAAAGTGACTGTCCCAAAGTCGTTTGTCTATGGTACTGTGTATTAGAGATTCTTTCTGTTTGAGTTTATGTTTAGAATGATATGTAAGTCTTTTTTTTTGTTTTGTTTTTTGGGTGAGTCAAAGCGTCTAAATGAAACGTCTATCCAAGAGGAGGGTTGCCCCGCATCTTTAGATTTCATTTCGTCAACCATACAATACTCACTATATCTGTTTGTGCATAACTTCCTTCCTCTTCTTTGTGTGCATTCGGCGGCATTTAAACAGTTTTTTTTTCTTTACCAAAAAAAAGAACACTGACACTTTTTTTTTTTTTTTTTTTCCTTTTCTTTTCTTCTCTATTTCTTTAATTGCACACATAATGGATATTGGAAGCTCTTATGGCCTCAGTGGGCCAAGTATTACCATAAGAGAGCTTACCAAGGATCGTATTAACTTTATTTTAAGCGACACCGATTTGAGGTAAACCGCAGAACGAATAATTCTTGAAAGCTTACTAATAATCTTTTGGGCAGTGTTGCAAATGCACTTCGTCGAGTTATGATTGCAGAAGTACCCACAGTTGGTAATTGAAAAAGATCTCACTCCTCTTAAGTATATCAACTGATTCATGTAAAATAGCTATTGACATGGTAGAAATTGAAACGAATACAACTGTACTGGCTGATGAATTCATCGCTCATCGACTTGGAATGGTTCCTATTGATAGTAGAGATGTGGATAAATTACGATATACTAGAGTAAGTTTCTTTTTAATCTAAATATTGTCTTGCTAACTCGTGTTAGGATTGTACTTGTTCTCAATACTGCCCAGAGTGTTCTGTAGAATTAACATTGCATGTCAAATGCACTGATGATAGAACCAAGGACGTAACAACACGAGATCTTATATCAACAAACCCTTCATTCACACCAGTACTCCAAGGTAAGTAACCAATAGAGGCAAAAGAGAGAAGACAAAACTGATGTAGATTAGACAAGGACGATTCTGGTGTACTCTTAGTCAAGCTACGTAAAGGTCACGAATTGAAGTTGAAGTGTATTGCAAAAAAAGTAAAGTTTATATACAACAAAACAGAGACATATAGACTGATAATGAAGGGGGAAATATAGGGTGTGGCGAAGGAACATGCCAAGTGGAGTCCAGTGAGTGGTGTTGCCTTTGAATATGATCCTTATAATAAATTGAGACATACAACATATTGGTTTGAAGAAACAGAAGAAGAATGGTAAGTTATTTGGATGCTTGAAAGAGAAAGATAATTCAATGTGTGTATAGGCCATTAAGTAAAAATGCACAATATGAAGCACCTCCTGATAAAGATGCGCGTAAGTCTTGATGATATTATATGTAGCATTCGATAATAACTATATGAATCAGCTTTCGATTACAATGCAAAACCTGATAAATTTTACTTTGAAGCAGAGGTACGTTTGTGTACACATACTGGTTTGTATGATAGAACTCATTTGTATTCGCGTAACTATTAGACCGTCGGTTCCTTAGCACCAGAAGAAGTGGTAACGATGGCAATGAAAACACTAGTCGATAAATTGGCTTATGTACAAATGCAAATACAAGAAGAAGTAGAAATGAAGGAACAAGAAAATCCAAATGCTTGGAATAATTATTAAAAAGTTTTATGTATAATTGTATAAAAAGTGCCTCTTTTTTTTATGTTTGATGCTCCTTAAACCACTAAGAAAGAAAGATAGATGAAAATACTATTGATATATACTTTTGTTACAACTTACAGCTACACTCAATTTGATGCCTTCATCTAAACCAATCTGGGGTTCATAACCGAGAATAGTTCTTGCTTTATTGATGTTAAAGTATCGAGAAGACATGGCTTGCTTAATTCTGGCACGAGATAGGCCTTCTTTAACTTGGCTTTTATCCCAGAACATAAGTTTGATGTTGTATATCGCCTCACTGATCACTGCAATGACGGAACTAGCACCCTTGGATAAGATGATCTTTTTGTTATTGGGTATATAACATCCATAGACAGCCCAGACACGAGAAGCAAAGTCCCAGAAGGGTATAGGTGTACCATTTGTCAAATTGAATGCTTGGCCTGCTGCTCCTGAGTTGGGAATAGCGAGTTTTTCGGCAGCCAAGACGTGAGCATAGGCAACATTACCAACGTAGGTAAAATCCATCAAAGATTCGTTACTGCCAATCTGGAAACGATGCTGTCCACGCTGACAGACCTCGATCATACCTGGAATCATCTGTCGATCGCCAGGTCCAAAGATAGCAGACGGACGGATGGTGCAAGTCAGCAACCCTTTTTCACCATTGGCCTTCAGGACGACCTTTTCACACTCCATCTAATGCGATTCTGGTCAACGACTATATGCTCTTTTGTACATATGCGACTTACTTTAGACTCTGTATAGACATCGATAGGCGTAGCTGGATAAGGTGTATTTTCGTCCACGTTCATCATGGGTTCACCAGTAGAGATCACACTTCCTGAGCTTGTGACAACAAGTACCTTGATTCCTCTTTCTTGACATGCGTTGATGACATTGCGTGTTCCGTCAACGTTGATGGAAAAATAAAGATCACGAGGAGGATTGCTAGAAGCTACATGCTGAGGAGAGGCAGTATGGATGACAGCTGTGATCCCTTCAAGGGCGTTGTAAACATCTTCAAACTTGCGAAGGTCGCCCACAAAGTACTTTACGTCTGGCTTTGGGTCTCTAGGCTCAGAAATGTCAAAAACAGAAATGGTTGAACCATCATTACGAAGACGAATCTGTTCCTGAACATGCTGGCCAAGGAAGCCGTTGCCACCAATAACTAAATATGAAGGCATACAAAAAGATGTAAAAAAGACAAAAAAAACAGGGGCGCTCTTTTATTTTGTATTATCGTTGTACTTGATGTTCTGCAGGAAGCCCCGCTTTATGACAGAAATATATGGAATGTCCTTTATCTTGACATATTGTAACTACTCAACTCAAAATGCTCCTCTTTTTCCCCTTTGATTCAAAATTAATATGTCATTGATACAACAATACACACATATATATATTTTTTTCTCTTTGTTTTTCTATAACAAAATCTGTATTTTATTATCAAATAGTTTTCCTTTTCCCTCTCCTCTTTTTCTTTCTTTCTTTCTTTCTCTACGCGTGATCATCATCATCACTGTCATCTTCATCGTCGTCATGTTTCGTCATTTTTGCATTATTTCCTTCTAGTTGATCTTCAGCTGCACGTTTTGATGAAGTATCAAATATCCTTAATTTATAAGTGCCGTCTAGTTTTGCAACTGCATCTGATTTTGTCTTTGCATACTCGATTTCCTAAACAAATGTATTTAGCATGGTATAACGTGCATATGTATAACATAGACTTACAAGAGGATATCCCAAAAAGTTGAATCCTGTTAAACCTCGCTTGGCAGTAGTAGCAGAAGCAATATTACTATATACAACAAACGCCTGTTCACGCATTTTCTCGGATTTCTTTGTGACAATTTCCAAGATTGAGCCATAAGTTGAAAATAATCCATATAAACAAGCTCTAATTTCTATAATTGAAATCTATAAGTCTCTCTTTTTGTTGTACTGTATTATGCATACAGCATATATTCACCTTCAACATTGGCGCGTCCTTTGATATTTCTTATATATAAAGTTTGGCTGGGATCTATGGAGCTCATTGTATAAAGAATAATATTAAAGAAGAAAGAAAAAAAAAGTGTAAAATAATCCAGTAAAAAAATTATGGTTCCGTCAAAGTCACAACTCACAGGTTGGCAACAAGACGAAAAGGAAAAGAAGGGGGTGGGTTGTTATGGTTACGAGTGATACTATTTACCTATCAACATGAGTGTAAGATATGAATCAAGTTTTTCTTTTTTTGTGTATTTCTTGCTCAAATGACAATTTCCGATTTTAGATGCAATGATGCAAATTACGTATAAAAAGGCATAAATTATTATTCCTTTATTTTTTTTTATTTTTTTAATCATGAAAAAGTGGATACTTATCTTTTTATTTTACTTTACAAATATCATTGCACAACAGGAACAACAAAGGGTGATCAACTCTTTTGATATTTCAATACAACAAGAAAAAGCAAATGAACTTACTGAGACAATAATTGAAACGGATTCTATTGCAACTTCATGCAGTAGTTGTATATCACTTTTACAAATATTAAAAAAGATGTCTTTATTCTCGGAAGCATTTTTAATCTCAACTTTAACAAAAATGTGTAAACGAACAAATAAAGTAGATGATGATGTCGTAAGTAGAATCATAAAGTGATCACAGGCACACTTGAATTAAAGCATAATAGTGTGAAGGGGTCATCAGAGAACAAGCACCCATTATCCGAAAAGTAATTCCGGTAGGTTGATAAGATTAAAAAAATGATGTTTTATTAATATTTTATTATAGACTATGGATATATCCGGAAGAGATGGACATCTTGCATGTGCTGCTATCCTCAACTCTTGTCCTTATCCAGGTATATCAAGTACTTTATAGCGTATATATCTGTATTTATGCCCTTCATCCAGAGGTTGAACAATGGAATATCACATTTCCAAAACCTAAACCTGAGCTTAAGCAGGAACCAATAAAATCAAATGGTCAGACATTTACTGTCCTGCAGCTCAGCGATTGGCATATCGACCTTGATTACCAAGTAAGCTATAAAATAACATTATAAATTGCATACTCATCCCTTATAGACTGGAGCAGAAGCCAAGTGCACTAAGCCTATTTGCTGTAGGCCTGCATACACTGATTATACCAATATCACAAAACGAGCCTCCATGTGGGGTAAGAACTGGAACTTATCTATTGAATCTCATAGGCTAAACTTTCCGTTATTTTTTTTTCCTAGGCGAATACGGCTGCGACACCCCACTGAGCTTGATTGAATCCATGTTGCGTTTCATTCCTACAGCAGAGCCTGATATCAAGTTTGGCATTCTAACGGGTGATATCCCTCCTCACGAGGTTTGGTCTACCTTGCCATTCATCAAGACTAAGCTCATCCAAGATGAAACGTACCGTATACTTCATGACTACTTTGACTCCCCATTATTAGTCAACTCTATGCTCTACCCTGCCGTGGGTAACCATGAATCAGCGCCCACTAATAACTTCCCCTTGAGACACTCAACCATACCTTTTGAAAAGAAGTTTCTCGACTTGAAGTGGCTCTATAGAGCATTATCAAAGAACTGGCAAGGCTGGTTATCCCCCTTGTCTCATCCTTCTGTTGAGGAAAACACTGGAAGCTACTCAGCACGACCCATCCGTGGCTTAAAGCTAATTAGCTTAAACACAAACTTTTGCTACACTCTCAACTGGTGGCTCTATCAACAACCAGTGGACAAGGTAAGTCTATTGAAAATAGCAACCAGACTCTAGATGTTTATAATCTCAAAAGGACCCCAATGGCATCTTTGCTTGGCTAATCAATGAGCTTCAGGATGCAGAGGACAATGGTGAACGTGTATGGATCATTGGTCATATTGCGCCTGGCGACAACACATGTTTCCATGACTACTCAAATTACTACTCTCAAATCATTGAGAGATACTCTCATATCATTTCTGCTCAGTTCTTTGGTCACACTCATAAGTATGACGACAAGATTGTACTTCTTCTTTTGCTTGTTACTAATTGAATCATATAGAGATGAGCTGTCAATATTCTATAAAAATGGAAAGGAGAAAACTGCAGAGAATGCTATCTCTGTTGGATACATTGGTCCTTCCATTACACCTTTCTTAAACCTTAACCCAGGTTTCAGGTAAAAACTTTAACTTTCTTGGTATAGAAATATATATTAATTAGTCATCAGAGTATACAAGGTGGATACAAAGACTTTTGAAATTATTGATTCTATTACGTATTCAGCTGATCTATACAAAGCTACTGATTTGAATAATCAACCTGTAAGACAGCTCATAAGCTTTGTTCTTTTTTTTTTTTTTTTTCTTATCACTTATTAAATTGCATGTAGAATTGGCATGTGGAATACTCTGCAAGAGAGGCCTACAGCTCAAGCCGTGCTCGACTCGCATCCTCTATTTCTCCATTGACGCCAGCTTGGTGGCATAATGTCACAGTAGATATGGAAGACGATGATACAGACACGTTTGAAAAATATCGTCGTTTTACCACCAAATCATCTCCTATAGCACGAGAATGTGACGATGAGTGCAAGAGAAAGACTATTTGTAACATTCGTGCTGGTAACTCTGAACATCGATGTGATTATGATTCTGATGTGTTTGAACCTGAACAAAAGAGACAAAAGACTGAAATGCATCTCTGTGGTCTGAATATATTTTCTCAATAAAGCCTATTCTATTCACTCCTGAATATCTATCAAAAGTATAAACTCAGCAAGTGGCTTTTTCAGATACCAAAACCTCAAAATTTTATTTTTTTTGTTATTACTCTTACTATTAGAACACACGATGGCAACCAACATGGAAATAGCTGTCAGCTACCCTGCTTCTAAATTTGAAGCAGATAATACTATTACTAATCCTAAAGTCTTGGAGAAATATCAACTTGCTGCTGATGTTGTCAATGGTAACTATAACAGAAACCCAATCTACACGATCATAAACATCCTCTTTCTTTAATAGTTGCCCTTCCACTCGTTCTTGAAAGAGCCCAAGTAGGTGTCTCAGTCTGCGATCTGTGTCAATATGGTGATGACTTGATCAACAAATATGTAAGTTTTTTCAATATTGAAAAGATAAAGGGGGAGGAAAACTCATTTTGAAATAGACAGAAAACATGTTCAAGTCTGCAGAAAGAGGTGTTGCTGTCCCCACCTGTGTTTCCTTGAATAACTATATTCAATATTTTTCTCCACTTGCTGAAAACGATGTCTATTTGAAGGCTGGAGATGTTGTTAAAGTGTAAGATCATTTTGAGATTCTCTTGATTTGTTTTACTAATGTCAAAAACATAGTGAATTAGGTGTACACATTGACGGATACATCGCTACTGCTGCCCACACAATCGTTGTGACCGAGAATAAGCAACAGCCTGTCACTGGCAAAACAGCCGATGTGATCTGTGCTACCTACTTTGCATATGAAGCAGCCTGTCGCATGCTTCGTCCTGGTGTCAAGGTAAACAGTGATATATGCATGGACTAAGAAAAGAAAGGACTAATGATGTATACTAGGCATCTGAAATCACGCGCGTGATTACCGAAATTGCAGCTTATTTCCGATGCCAGCCTGTCGAAGGAACCTTTTCTTCGCCCATGAAGCGATTTGTTTTGCGTGCAGGAAAGGACATTGAAAACCGCTTCTTGGACGATTTGATTGTATCAGAATTGGAAAAATATGACTTTGAGATTGAAGCCAACCAGGTGTATCAGATGAACATTGTCTTGACTACAGGTGACGGACAAGTGAAGAATACAGACTTCAAGCCTTTTGTGTATCAAAGAGATGTCAACAAGACATATCAGCTCAAGATGAAGTCAGCACGCCTTGCCTATGCCGAAGTCAACGCCAACCACACCGTATTCCCGTTCGCGACACGCGCATTGTCCAGCAATGCTAGTCGTCTCGGTCTTCAGTCCTTGCTACAGCATGAATTAGTTACTGCTCACCCCGTGATGAGATCTAAGCTGAATTCAGATGTTGTTGCTCAGTTCAAGGGTACTGTCTTGGTCAATGCAGATGGACCTACCCGTACGACACGTTCTTGGTCTTTGCCTTATGTCCATTCTCAATACTGCATACCCCAGCCTACGACTGCTGCTGCCGTCTTGAGCACACCTCCCATTAGGGAAATCAGACAGCCTAAACCACTGCCTGCTGTTGATGTAGAATTTGGTGCACGCCGGATTGAGGTAAACAGACTGATATACACATGTATAAAACTAATACTGATATACTTTTTATTCTAAATAGAAGGAGGATGTTGAAATGGATATGGAGTAAAAAAAAAAATATTCGTAGATTTATTAGTTTTGATAGAACTTGTTGCATACTTTCTATTTGTAAATAAACACATATAAAGAACTCATAAAAGAAAAAATTTGAAATTATGTCAATTGTTTATTACTCTACTTTTGGCTTCTTTGTAACAGCCATCAAGAGGACCTCTTTTGACCTTTGTCTGTTTCTTGTCAGGTTCAGCAATCTTGATAAATTTACCTCCGCATGTTCTTTGATGTTCTGAACACCAAGCATCTGCTGATTGTGGGATCTATAAAGAAATGAACAAACAAAAGCGTTACGCAGAGCACTTTAATATATACCTGTTTATCGATCGTCTTATAATTCCAAAATACGGTGATTTGTTTGACATGGTCCCTGTTTGATAAAATAAGTATATGAACACCGTTTAATCATTTGCCTTTACATCACATTTCCAGACAAGTGTTTGATAGCGTTTTACTTCATTGCTGAAACTGCAAGATATATCCGTCACTGCAGCCGAAAAAGAAGGGGTGCTACTTACTTGTGACTAACGGTGATATTAAGTTTGACTAGTCTATTAATACGTCTGGCTTCTCTATGAAATGCAGGACTGTGTCCATCTGGATCGAAAGGTCAAGGTCAAAAGTCGACACAAATACGTATTTCTTACCATAGCCATCACAGACTTGTGTGATAAAGTGTAAGGCATGAATCGTTTCGTGCTAAGTCTATCAATGAGTAACTCTTTTATTCCTTCTTCATTACTTACCAGTAAGGTCTCTATAAGACTCTTTTTTGATCTAAGCTTAAGCATAGGCTTGGAGAGACGAATAATACAACTATTGTTTGAAGTCCCTGTGCAGCTGCCCGCTCTATGGTTACATATAAGCAAAATGGTGTATCTTTGATGTATACACATTACAAGATCAACAACAGTTACGTTTTAGTTGATTATCAATCCTTTCTTTATTATTAAAAAAGCAATGAATTCTGTCTTTTTAAGAGAAGAAAAGATAAATGTGGTCAGCACTGATAAATAACACGTAACTGAAAAAGTTGTTAGAGACTTCATATAAATAGCCTGATCTTGACTTGCTCTTCTTTTCTTTTCTTCTTTGGACCAAAATGTAAGACCAGCTATTCCTCAGCTAGCCCTAAGGTATGTTATGCTTTTTACTCTTGTAAGAAACTAACACGCAGTATTATAGATCATAAAATCGAAAACAGTATCAGTGCTAGCTGGAGGTAATTTGATTCTTGCCAAATTTTGGCCCCATCCACTCTCTCTTGCTCTCTCTTTCCTCGCCACTTTCTCTGGGCCAGTTATCGCTGACCCTTTTTAATGCGCTTTTGGTAAGATAATAATAATCTCTTTTACAAGTTTACTCACTTTTCCTGCTTCTTTTTCTCTTATAAATCCTCTTTATAATGTAAATATTTAATATCAATTTAATAACTGATTTACTAATTATCTCTTTATTCATTCTTTTGCTTCTTGTGAGCTCTTTTTTATCATTACTTGTTGTCTTTTTATTGTTATTTGTTGTCTGAAGTTATCATTTTTTTTTTATCAGTGTGCGAATAAGTTGTGAATAAAGTGTATATCTATATACAAACAAAGTCCAATAGCTAAGAATAGTATTCAGGCTTTTTGACATTGACACCATATTCAGCTAAAGCAGCTGAAAGATCTTCCATAGTCAATACAGTCTTACGCTCCTACCAATGTCGTCAATGTACATTCAACATTTTTATTTCTAATATACCTTTCCTGTCTTTCTGTTACCAGATTGTCTTACTTTACAATGCTGAAATGCGTCTGTTGCAATATCCGCAATGAATTTTTGTGTGGCAAGTGCTAATAGACGTTTGCTATAGGTTGCGGATAAGTAAAAAGATCAAAAGATGTATAATGTAATCTTACATTCGAACGTCATCACAATCAAAGCCAGATTTGCTTAGATAATAGTCAGTTACTGCATCTGGTATCTATCAAAGAGAGAATTATCAGACTATGTTGTCAATACGTTTTCTCTTGGGTTTACAATGGGTGCATAATTATCCATCAAGGCAAGAAATTCAGCCATCGTTCTCTCACGTTTTGGTGTCTCTTGTATCTCTTGCTTTGGAGTACTCGAACTGGATGTTAAGGAGGAAGGATAAGGTTGGATATTACTATTGTCTGCTGTGGGCGTTGGTTCAGTCATTTGAGCGATTAATGTCAAGTGAAAAAAAAAAAAAATCAACTGCTTTAAAAATTTAGAATCTCTGTTTTATCGGAGCTTCACTTTGGCATCTCTGAACAAGGCAGCTTTGTAGCTGTAGATATGGAAAGCGGTAAAAGCATTGTCGTAACTAACTTACTTAATATAAAGATAAACTGCTCATATATTATTCTAAAGCAAGTTTGAATGCATAGCAATGTCAATCATGATAGCAGGTTTCGCTTAAACCCTATAAGTAAAAAACTTTATTTAGACGAAATCAAGTAAAACAGCAACAACAAACATCGGGAACAAGAGCAAAAAAGGTAAGATAAAGGGAAAGCAAAGAGAAAACTAAAGGAGCTCTTGAATAGAATTAGTAAAGGAGATGTCCCCCTGCGAATTGTAAGTCTTTGGAAGGCTCTCGTCCTGAAGCTGGCTCAAACTCTTGAAGAGTTGATCAAAGAATCGACTACTAGACATTTAAAGAGTCTATACACCTTAATTCGAAAACGTGTATAAAAATCATCAAGAAGAAAAGACAAAGGAAGATGTGAGGTATAATATTCAGTGTACCAAACCATATGAGCAAGTAGCGTGCAGAAAGGGTGCCTTGGGTACGATCGTAATCTGTCTCTGGAAAACTACTCAGAGACAAAAACAATACAACGATCACGATTCTGATGAATTGAATGACACGAAAGACATATAGATACAGTTCATCCATTCACTATTAAAGAGTAGCTTTGAAGGTATTGAGTCATTAAAGTATCCTCTAGAGTGTCCTACATGAAAGGATAAGCATAAAGAGAGAATATATCGGCACATACAGGAAGTAAAGGTAAAATTGGGTCTGCAAAATGACACCTTTTTCTATGAATAGAGCATTTAATTTATCATCGAGCACAAATGCACCAAGTACATACGACTTTCTATTTTTGTCAATCTACAGCTTGGACATTGGCGCGGTGCGGCTTTGAGAGAGTATATCATTTTTTTTACAACAATACGGATAAATGATTAACCTCCACAAAACTACCGCTCACGTGACATAATAGAAAGTGTATATTAAGGTACCAAAAGAGGTTTCACATATCTTTTTTCTTTTTTTTTTTCTGTTTCTTTTTTTTTTTTCTTCACCACAAAGCATCGAATAAGCATGATTACTTCCATTAATGATCCTATTTTATGCAAACAAAATGCAACTTCCTGCATTTATCCTGAACAGGACAAGTTACTATTACTTAACAATAATAATAATAGACGATCTAGTATAACCACAACAACAGCAGCAGCAGTAACAGCAGCAACAACAACAACAACAACGTCCAATATGCCCGGTATAAATAATAATAAAAAAGAAAAAAAAAAGTAAAAATTGCTAATAAGCAAAGGTATGATAGAATTGACCACATCAAATACTTCAACTGAAAATACCGAAGAAGCCGTATTACCTCCGACCTATGCGAAATTACCGACAACTAAACTTGAAGAAGAACCAAATCCATTTGAGCAGAGTTTTGAAGGTGCAACAAAGGCAGCTGAAATTATGCCCCTCCCACCAGAAAGAATAATACCTGATTCTATGTTGGATACAACAAGTAAGAAAATGGACTGCTTTAATCCCATTTGCATGAATTTCTTACTTTTTTTTGTACGTCATAGGAAATGCTAATAACAAACAGTCCGCTACAACATTTTATAATACATTTGATAATAAATCACAATCAGAAGAATCAAAGAAGCCAGCGAAGAGAACAAGAAAGGGTACGATCAAAGAGGCAACGACAATAGAAGATGAAATCAAACGAAAGAACTTTTTAGAAAGAAATAGAATTGGTAAATAGAAAAAAAGAAATTCCTTAGGTCACGCCTTTCTAATAATAAAAAAAAACAAGCTGCTTTAAAATGTAGACAAAGAAAGAAGCAATGGCTGCAGAATCTACAAGCCAAAGTGGAATATTTAACAGCAGATAATGAACAATATCACTTGCAAGCGAATGCATTACGTGAAGAATTGATCAATTTAAAGACACTCTTGATGGCACATAAAGACTGCCCTATTAATCAACAAGCCATTCAGAATGCTTTAAATAGACCAATACCTGGTTTGCCTTCTTTGGGTCAACCACCTTATGAATATATCAACAACATCTCTATCATTCAACCTCCACTACCACCTCATCCCAAGTAAATTTTAATGTATATTATATGTATCTTTTCCTTTTATTATTAATAAATGGCATTCATGCAGAAAGTTGAAACAAGTGTCAGGGTGTAATAGTTGTTGATCCACATGAGCATTCTATTTTTAGTATAAGAAGCCTTTTTTTTTTCTGAATTGTGTGTTGAAAGAAATACATGGCATCTACCGTAGCAGATCAGAGTTCAGTTGGTCAATTAACTGAACCTCATTCACAACAAACTTTCCAACATGAATAAGTAAAGCAAAGTAAAGATTAAAAATGTTGGCATCACTCAATGTTATTGACATGTATTCATAGCATGTTTGTTCACCAAGAGAAGAGGGTAAATTAAAACAAAAAAGAGAGAGAATTGCTTATTACAATTCCATGTAGAGCCATTAAAAAGGCACTCACAAGATCCACCTTTACTATGCTTACATTTATATTCCACTTGTTTTAAATTCGAACATGAAGTATGGTCATTCTTGAAAGTGAAATTCTGAAGGTTGCCAGAAGAAGTGGTAGGAAGATTTTACTTAGAACAATCAGGTAAAAGTTCTAGGACGTTCATTTTTCGAGTCAAATTTCCCATAATGGTAAATCCTTATCATTAATCTTAACTCAGGGCAAGACATAGATTAGTTTAAAATAGAGATCAAGTCAATCAAGATTTTCGGCTTATTTTCTGGTGTTCTTTTTGTCTGATTAGGCAATATTTTATTCTCATCTTTAGTAATTACCACTTCCCTATTCGTACTTACAACAAACCTGACAATTTATCAATAGCATGAAGCGATTGAAAAATTGTATTAAGTTTATAAGGAAAACAAAACACGGTTGACAGCATTTGGAGTCGGCGTGGAACCAACCAGGGTTGCCTTGGAACGACAGACAATTCATTCTGACTAATCAATCACACTTGAGGACATGTATAACCTTCTACAATGGAATATAGGAATGGAGTTTTGCTTCTTTTCTCTTTTTCCTTTTCAGGTATTCTTAACTTCATATAAAAAGTGCATTATGAACAAATCAATTGTTATAGACAAGATTCGGTCAGTGAAGGAAAAAAGGCTCTCAATCAGAGCATCAAAAGAAGGTAGAAATAATCGCTGGTACAACAAAAGATGTTGTGTCATTAAACGATATTTCTAAAAGGGGATAACCCTGCTACTACAGTTGTATGCAAAGACTGAAAAGAAACTGACCATTATACCAAGGCTAATTTCAAATGCAAATTTTACAAGCAAATTAGTGCCGACGATAGTAAATGTTTATCTTATGAAGAGTATTTAATTCTTTTGCGTTGTCTTTTCTAACGTTCTCTATTAATTTGGAACGTCAGGTAAGAAGCGAAAGTAAAGCGATAGTGTACAGATGGAAAAAAGAGCCGCAAAAAGGAATAGAACTTTCGCAAACAATGAAAGCAACATGGTTGTATGCACAAAATGCCACAAGGCAAGGTACAGGTCAGCAAGATCACCCAAATATGAATATTACACTGCTACTAAATAAGAAGCAGTCAAAGAAATTTGTGCCAAAGATTTCAAGCATTTACCAGAAAAGTACCTTTTGATAACTGTGTCAATGAAGAGTTCAAAAATTGTCTGAAGCTTATTATAATTTGTGTAAGCAGAGCTTTAAGACAGATAGTAATCCATTCCCAGTTGTTTGTAAATTACTACATTATGCTTCAATCTCAACGTCCAGAAAACAATGATATTCCTCATTGCATCTTTAGATAACAATTCTGGCATTTCGTTTGCCAGATGATGCATGCGAAGAACGTAACAAGCAGTACAAATATGCCATCAGATATGTTCATAGAAAACTTGTTTTCTATTGATACAATACCTCCTGGTTTTATGTAATTTATAAAAGTGACAAGTGAAAACCCATGAAGTTTGTTGAAGAAAACAAATTCAAAGCTTCCTTTCTGTTTGCTTAGTAACGTCTTTGACATGTCAGATCTGGTTTCATATAATGAATAAAGTTTAATAACCCGTGAATTGGACTTCGAACAACGCATGAATCTTTCTTGGAAAGTCCCTCAATTTTTATTTTAAAGTTCGTATTTTTTTTTTTTAGTTCAACCTTGAATTGGCAGTGGAACGGCTGTAAAATATGCAAGTATCGCTACAATGGGAAGCTTTGGTGTTTATGTTCTCTTTCAACAGGTTCACATATGCTGGAAACCTGCGCGATATTCTCTCGAGATACTACGGATTTGTTTGAACTGTAGACAGAAGAATTATCCCAATGGCGCCAGACTGCTTTGCTGACTTGTATTCCTTTGCCTCAAGGGTTTGGACAACTGCTGCGCCTCCTAACATTCAACACTGCGTTCGTGGTTGGCAGGGTTGGCAAAACAGGACTATCCATTTTTGAAGAAGATTTAGCAACTTAATATACGTGATATATGTTAGTCAAATCACGAACCTGTGCTAACTATTTAGTTTCTATAACTTTACTTACGTTAATAGCATTCTGACAATAACTAATGTAACTATATTGGTACTTATTGTGTTGTTATGCCAATCTTTGACTCTCTCTTTCTCTCTTTCTCTTAAGACTATCTCCGCTACTTCTGCTCTTATCAGCATCATATATAAATAAACTATTTACTCACAAACAACTGCATTGCTTAATATTTACTCAAGTTGATCTGTATCTACACGAAAGTAATGATAACACTGTCTTAGTTGATAAAAAAAAGTAACTCAGTGATGATGATTGCTTAGAGTATAATAAATAGGCCGCAAAAAAATTTTCTGTTTAATTTAATTCAATATCAAAAGAGTATAAAGACAAGTAAACTACAACACGGCTAATGTTTATATTACTTATTATATGTCTTCTTTCCTCTCCTCATATATTTTATCTGCCCTTTTTCTCTTAATAAAAAACAGAGATGCCATGAAAAGAACAGAGCTACCAAAAATGGTGAACATTTGCATTGTTTACGATTTTCCTAAAAAGTATACTTTATTGATTTATGAACGAAAAAAAAAAAATTACAGACTTATCTCTCATTTTCCATATAAAAAATGCAAGTGGATAGCTACGAACAATACACGGATGAATTACTTAGCAGAGTCTTTGAAAATGCCAAACAAAATCAACCGCTATCATCTCCTATTTCCGACTGGTCAGCATCTCCGTTATTTTGCAAACCAATCGATCAGACTCCTATTCTTTCACCCTCTTTATCCAATCGATCTATTGAAAAAGCTTTTTCTCCAGTAATTAAATCGCCACAATCTGATCTGATATCTAGCAGGCATGCTGATGTGTCTAGTATGGATTCCGAGAGTATTATCTTACCTTTTGTTCCTACTTCTTCTATTACTCCTTCTCTTCCTTCCTCTCCTGTCAAACAGCAAAAGAGCTATCTGCGTGATACGTTATCTAGAAAACTAAGCCGAAAAAAGGAGTTCAAGTCGGCCAAAAAGCCTTTGAAAATACCTTTGGTCAAACCAAACTCATCAGAAGAGCCATTAGAGCCAAGCCAAGGACAGCAGGAACGACCACAGATTCAGAGGCAGCCTAGTTTTTGGAAACCGCGTGAAGATAGGCCAAATGAATGGTGGAAGCCGAAGAAAGGTCAAGGAGAACAGAGCCTGAAACAGCACAAGGTTGCGTCCATAAGAACCAAGAAACCAAAGCGTCCGATGGCATTCAAAACACCTAAACGGAAGCCAGTAGCACATGCTGAAAAAAAGAAAGTTTCGACACAATCACATCGGCCTGGTACGGTAATCATAAAGAGAGTACCTCATAAGCAAGTAGCTAGTACAAATGCAACTGCAAGTATGCCTTCAAATGAAACAATAGCCGTAGCACCTGTTTCAGCAGCCATGCCACAGCCGGTTTATATGGTACAGCAGCCTTACGCGATGATGCCGCCAGTGAATCATGCTGGATATTACTTGGTTCCTTCCATGGTGATGTCAGCACAGCAATCACAACAACAACCACAAACTGTTTCTGAAAAGGCAAACCTTCAAGTGAAAAGAAAGAAAACAACCACATTGCATAATCCTAGAGAGGCATCAAATGATAAATGTATACTGATGTAGCAGCCTCAAAGGATACATTCTTGCTCTAGATACCACTATTTAATAAATTTTATCTTTTTTTTTTTTTATTTATTTAGAAGCCAAGTCTATATCTTTTTCTTGATTTGCGATAAGCCTGTTGTCATTTTCACAGTAACAGAATCAAGCATACTCAATAACTAGAACAGCCATGTTACTCACACATCTAGTCGCTGTTATTAATTCTCTCTTTCCACTTAAAACTTACCACATTGCTCTGCATCAACTCAATAAACTGTTTTTGGCGTGTGATAACCTTTTGAGCCTTCTTAAATCTTTTCAACTGAATCAAATCCTCTGCAAAATACAGCCAACATTTACACTCTAGTATCGGATCCTTCAACTTTCTCGCCAACTGTATCTGTCGTACGGCCAATTCACTTGCTTTGTACGCATATTGCGTATTCTGTTTACCTAACGAACAATATGCCCCTCCCAAGACTGAATAGTACACACCTGTAAATGCGATGCGATCTGCCTCTGACGCAAGAGTCCACATACGTCGTGACCATGCCATATTTAGCCTGGTTGATGCTGCTATGTACGCAAACGGATAAAGCAGGATATATAAAATACTGCCATTCTCTTCCTTGGGGAAATCAGGAAAGCCGGCTAATAAGAGTAAAGTAAAAGTGTCTTGATTCTCCATCATTTTCTTCATTGCTTCCATTGTCTGACAATCTTTGCAATATACAATCCCTCTACGCTTTTTGTTTTCATAATGTGAACGTTTAAGCAGACAAGTTTGTAAAGGACAAGTTGGCTTAGATATGTAAATGGTGATTGAATCTGCATCTCCCCCAGTAAAAACGAATTAGACCATTAAGAAAGCATTTATAAGCAAAGACAAACCTATGTTTATATTTGAGTCTTTTATTGTTATTTCTTTTAGATGCTTAAATGAAAATATTTCACTCAAAGAGCTTTTTCTTACAAGCGGCATACACAGTTAAATATATTAAAAAAAGAATTTTAATTTATGTTGCCCAAGCCATGTTCTTTGAGATAATCAGAGCCATATTCTTCATATTCCTTTCTTGTTACAAAATACTGCTTATTTGTATTGTCTTGACCAAACATGGCAGCTCCTCTCCATGCATCCAATAATGGGTCCTTGGCCCTTTTGACAGTAATGTTTGTGTTTACAGGATAAATGGATTGTAATGATGCATGGATTCTATCGGATAAACCAGGTACTTGACTATAGCCACCCGTAAGGAATATATTCTATACAGCAAAACAATTAAAAAAAAAAAGGCAACCTTTTTCATATATTTCTCTTACCTGCATTATCTTTTGTCTTTGATTCACATCAAAGGTTTTCACAATATCATTCACTGTTTCTATCAAACCAGCTTGATCCAAGCCAATGATATTGGGCTGAAACAAGACTTCAGGCACTCGGACGCGTTCGACATTTACATGAAGCTGATAGCTTTGTGCTATATCTGTAGGATCCCAAGGAGGATACATGCCTCGTGTTAAAAGATGGATTAACGTATTTGTGGGTGATGATATGGATTCATACAGATGCTCAGGTAAAAAGTCGGGATCATATTGTAAAAGTAAAGATTCATACTGATTCAACTGTGACATATCCTCCTCCTCTTCATCAGATTCATCTTCTCGACTCTACAGTTTAATAATAGTTAGGACTTATCGCCTTTTTTTTTTCTTTTTTTTTGGAGGGTTTGAATGCTTACAATTTCTCTATAAATAGCCCAATCTTCATCATCCTGTCCAAATGTGTCTTCCTCAGCTCCTTTTCTTCTACGTTTTGATGTTGGACTATCACTTGCTAAATTAGCGATGGACTTCATACGAAGTTGTGAAGCGCGACTTCTTCGGTCTGCCAACTCTGAAGCTAGTCGTTTTCTTTTCTTTAATCGATCAATCACCTGTTGTCTCTTTTCTTTGATGGACTGAACCCAGCCCGCAGGGTCTTCTTTACGTTTCTGTTCTTCCAGTTTCGCTTCCTCTTCTTCCTTGAGTCTAGCCTCTTCCTTGGCCTTTTTAGCTCGCTGACGAGCATCGTAGTTTGCCTTCATTAACTTTTGCTTTTTCTTTTCCTTCTTTCCTGCTTCATCCAACTGATCGTCTGGAACATTAATCAAGTCTGTTGCTGGTGGCTCCTTTTCTTCATTCTCTTCAATACCCAGTTCCTTATTTCGTGCTCTTTGGATTGCAGTATCCAGTTGCTTGATCGTATCATCCAAATCAGATTCATCCTTAAAACCTGCCTCTTTTAATTGAGCCTTTTTAAGAGGTAAATCAGTCGTGTATTCTTTTTTTTTGTAACTAATATCTTACAAGCCAGTCTGCTTTCTTTATTGTTCCTTTGGCATTTTTCAAATTGGTAAATGCTTCATATTGTTGTTCACGAGCAACCAACTACAAGATAAATGGGTTAATTTAGTTTATTCTTTGTCTTCTTTTTTCTTACTTTTTCTAATCGAGATCGAGCTGCTGATTCACGTAGTCTTCGCGCATTCTCTTCCCTTTTAGCTGCCTGTCTTGCCAACTCCTCTGCAGATTTCTCTTCCACAATGGGTGCGGCAAAAGGGAACTGAATGATTCTATCTATCTCTTGAAACGTGTCTCTATCTTCTATTCGTTTCAATGCCTCTTGATAATCTTTGGCAACAAATGTATGTGTACGGACAAGATCTTCTGCCTGTCCGACTGTCATCTTGGTTGGAAATGTAGGATACTTAAGCTGCATCAACTTTAACATGTAGTCTGTAGCTTGTGTGCCTCCATAGTTGATCCTATATGTGTATATAATGAGATGACAATTCCTTTAAAAGTGTTTTAATATACTAACCGTTTTGTTTTAGAAAGCACACCTCTGCCTCCAATGGTTGGAATAATATGGGTTGATGTATTTCCTGAAGATATGATTATACCACCGTCATCCTTGGTTCCATTATTTGCATAGTAGCTGAATAACGAATCTATACCATAGGCAACTGAAGGCACTCTGTATCCTTCAAATAAAAGCTCGTTCATCACTATCAGTCCGTCTTTAGAACATGTACCCTTCATATACACACATATATACTCACAGTTTCGACTATAACTTGGATTACAAACAGCCTCTGTCATGATGATAGGATGCTGTATGCTCGATGTGTTTATGCCCAACAGTAAAAATATATAATCCAAGACATTTTCCTATATTTTGATCAGTTTCCTGTATCTCTTTAAAGAAAATAGTAAATACCATCTTTTCAAAATCACAAACAACATTAGCATCAAATGGTGAACGAGCACTTGATTTAGCTGCTGGATCTGCCAAGGCATCCATTCCAACAGCCAAAGTATTGGTGTTGAGTCGACGATCTTTATATTTTGAAACGACATTATCAAAGACAACTAAAAATCGTATTAAGAAACCTGTTTTATATGGCTGTGAGCTTATTTACGCGAAGGGAGTTTTTCCGTAGCCCAACCGGCTCTGCATTGTTTAGATCCTTTTTCAAAAAAGTCAATTATGATTCACACAAAATGTTTAAATGTTACCATTATCAATAACAATGGGTGTATTTAAGGATTGATAATGTTGATAATCATCTCGCACAGTGTAATAAGGTGCAATATATTCCTTTTCTTCAAGTGTGTAATACTTTGGTATACTGGCTTCAACCATAAAATAGAAAATAAAAAAGAAACAAGTAAAAAATAAAAAATAACTGGGTTATTTATTATTATCAAGTCGTCTTTTTCAAGACAACCACTGTAGAAGAAGGTCGCCACTGTGTATTGGATGGCTTCTATAAGAGTATGAATGAGATTGACTTTACAATTTATATATCATTATTTACAATCAATGTCCTTTCTATTGTCGTTTGCTTTTCTTCTTTTTCTTTTTTTTCAAGTGATTTTGGTCGTGAAAGATGTGCATCCTCCAGGTGTATAATAGGTATATCCTTTATTCCTTCTTTCTTTATCGCTTGATATATCTGATACGAAGCCTAATAGGATGATGGTTAAGGGTATATATTTCACACAAGATTGAGCTTACATATGCATCAAGGGCAGCATATGAAATCTGTTTAGGTGTCAAACTTCGTACTGCCCAATTACTTATTCTGACATCTCCCTTTGCCATGCGTCGTTTTAGCTAAATAAATATTAGCTATGGGAACTGATCTGCTTCCAAAGTAGCTTACAAAAAAGGCAGTCAATGCTCTTAATGACCTCATGTGGTATTTTTTCACTTCAGGTAATTTGGATGCATTGGCAAATGACATGAGTTCTACTAATCCATTTGTCTTGATTCCAAAATCACGATGTAGCTTCAATCCGTCCATTCTAATATTTACACCTGTTTTAAGTAAATCTCTATCTTCAAAAAATCTCTGTAGTTCTTTAGGAAATGCTAATGTCAATGAAGAAAGTTAATTCGACTTGATCAAAGAATCAGTCCAAACATATAATTACATTTCATTCTTGTTGTTTGAACTAGTAAAATTGCATTGGAAGAACATATCTGAACAAGGGATATCTTTTTCTCTGGTTGACCTTTTATAAACGTAGGTGGCCATTCGAAATCAACTCCAAACACATCCCCTTGCTGACTCTTTAGAAACTCTCGTAAAGTGGTATTGGCCTTGTCTTCGGTATTAATGCATTCTACTTTATAATGTTTTGGATAGGTTAGCTGTGGTAGATCCTGGAGAAGGACACTGAATTCAGCTTTAAGTTGTCGTTTTAATGATATCTCTCTTTGTTTTTCCAGCTGCTTTGCCTCCTTTTCGGAAACTTCCTTTTCAGTATCTTTTGTTGAAGAGACTTGTAGAGTCTCTGAATTAGCTTGAGGAATGGTTAATGATCTAAGAGTAGAATTTAGAAAAAACGAAACAAAAGAAGTAGAAAAAGAAGGACACTGTTTGATATGACTTATTTACGTTGAAATCATACGAGACAATGTATATCGTATGTTTGATCTTGGAATACGAGCTCTTATACTATAGGGAAAAGTGTGCATAGTGTCGAATAATAAAACCAGAACAAGGGATGAAAGAGAGAGACAGAGGGAAGAAAAGCGTAGAAATAATAAGTCACAGTAACGGATTTTATTTAATATAGTGTCCCATTGAGCGAAATAATAAAGACCGCACAGACGAGATCAAAAGGGCTATTATAGAGACTAAAAAATCCCCCTTTTGCAGATCAAGGATAAAAAAAAAAAGGTACACAATGTAATTAGAAGGCAATCAAGGTTAAAGATTATCCGATACCATCGAGCCAACTGAGAAAACGCCCACGTGGAGAGTTGGTTTCCTGGGAGAAGCAGTTATGTTGAAGTTGATCTATTTTAGAGAGAATGGAGCAGATAAGTTGGCCAAGAGTTAGCAAGCCTTGAGGAAACGTGAAGACTCGTAGGAAGCTTATTGAAAAGAAACGACAGAGGATCCAAGACGGAAAATTATCAAGGCTGGATTAGATATTTCAAATCCTTCTTCAGAAGACAATCATTTGTTCTATTAAAGTATTATTCATTTTATTAAAATATGTTGTTACACTAATGATACATGAATTGTGATATATGAAGTATGCTTTTATCGTTTTGCTTTCCTTTTGAAATATACAAGAATTAAGAACAAGAAAATGTTGAAGAAAAAGAAGGCAAACAGAATACCCAAGTTTCTCCATTTATGGGCTGCGCTCCATCCCATATTCATTTCATAAAACTCAACACCCGACTTATAAGTACAGTATCCACACTGTTCAGGTTGAGTAGCGTTAGGATTAGCAATATACCCAGGAGCACCGGAAGAGAAAAAGTTCCTTGTATATTCTCCACAAGTTTGTCCAGGTGGCGGAGAGAAGCGAAGGAGATCCTCATCACTACATTTCACAACAAAGTTTTCAAGTTCATTTACCATTAAACCTTCCACATAATAGTGGAACGGGTCAATCCAGTACATCCAGGAACTCCAGAACTTGGGCAAGTCCTTTGGGAATTGAAGCATACCACAGAACAAGATAAGAATGGTAAGAGCAAGAGGGTTCAGTACGGCGGCCATCGTTGGGAGTTCAGCTATAGCTGCAATCACAAAGCCGAGGGTAACAGCCCAAGAGATCATGACGACATACATAATATAAAAGTAACCACAGGCTTCAGGAGTATTTGTCATGCCAACAGTCCAGTAGAAGCCAAACATAAAGATGGCTGCAAAGAAGATGACGTATGGTATTTCTACCAAAATGGCCGATAGACCCCAAGCTACCCAGCTATAGTAACGTGATGCGTATTCTTTTCTAAAGAATGTTCTTTCGGTCATAAACTTGGGTTGAGCCAAAATGACCATGGTAAATGCCATGATAAAAGTAGCAAAGAATGCAAACATCTTGTTCATCATGTCCGAAGAAGAATCCTTGAGTTTCCAAAATGTAAAGCCAGTAAGAAGAGAAGTAAAAGCAATGTTGATAAATCGACCAATGTTATAATCGGGTGATCGCCAGTAAGCAAGCGACATACGGCCAAATACAAGTCCGAATTGAGTGAGGAAAGATACGGAATAGGTTTGCGCCTTGCGTGTAGGGTTCTTGATGGCATTTCTATCGATTTCATCAAGCTCTTCATCAAGTGCCTTTGCTTGAGGGGATTTTCGCCAAATTTCGGCCCAGTCCTGGGTAACCTTTCCTGCCGTTCCAGCACCAACAACTTCAAGAATGTACTCGGCTGGATTAGCATCAGGAGAGCATTTGGGGCCACCGTTTGATTCAAAGTAATCAATCATCGTACGTGCATCTTTACCAATTTCACCATAGTAGGCTGTTCGGCCACCGCGTACTAGTAGCAGCAAGTGATCAAAGTGTTCAAACAGGATGGAAGAAGGTTGATGGATAGTACAAAGGACTGGCCAACCAGCATCGGCCAGCTTTCTGATGAAGCGAATGATGTTATAAGAACTCTGTGCATCAAGACCAGACGTAGGTTCATCCAAAAACAGCAACTGAGGCTTTCCCACGAGTTCCATTGCAATAGTCAAACGCTTACGTTCTTCAACAGAAATACCGTAACCGCTTTCTACTTCACCAATCTGTGCATCAGCAATGTCATCCATTTCCAATAACTGAATAATTTGTTCGACGTAACGTTTTTTTTCTTCGAGAGGAACATCTGCGGGTTGTCGCAGTTTGGCAGAAAAGTAAAGGGCTTCACGCACGGTTACCATCGGCTGATGTATATCCATTTGTTCACAGTATCCAGTGATTCGTTCGAAATCGTTCATCAATGCTTCGCCGTTCAAATAAACATTTCCTTCGACGACACCAATTGTCTTGCGACGAGCCAAAACATCAAGTAGGGTAGTTTTACCTGCACCACTAGAACCCATAAGCGCAGTCAGGTGGCCTGGTTTGACAATGCCGCTAACGTCGTTCAACAATTGAAGTTTTCCTCCCTTGATAGGCACAGTATAATTGATGTGTTGCCAGCAAAAGGTGGTACCAGTAGAGATGCTTTCCATACTTTCAGTGACCTCGTGTTGTTTCCTACGACGTTCGTCTTCCTCTTCAGGAGTACGTGGCTTAGGTGCCTTTCCGGGCAGATAGAGTTTGGTCAAAGAGGCAGATCTTTTCAATTTAATCCATTCCATGGAAGCGGCTGTCATGAATGTAAACAAAAGAAAGAAGGCTACAACAACGATAAAATCAGGAGCCCAGATCTGCCTTGGATCATAAGATAATGCTTGATTGAGGTAATCATCGCCTCGAACAAAAGGTTGTCCTGGAACACCGCCTTGCATCGTACACACCTTATAGTTCCAATCGTCATAACCAGGTCCATAAGGAACAGCATTACCAAGTCCTTCACAGGTATAGATTTGACCAGACATTTCGTTGGATATGAGTGCCTTGTAAGTATATGTGATTGGGTTAATATAATAAATCCAAAACAGCCAAGGATGCATCTTGTTATAAGGAATTGTATAACCAGTATAAGATGTAAAGGCAATCAACACAACACCAGTCACTTGAGTAGCCAAAAAGAAACTTGAAGTGATAGATCCAAAGAAACGGAAGAATCCATTCATGCACATACTCAAGAAAAAGAGAGTAACAAAAGAAGTAAAGAACTTTCCGGCACTTAAGTTAAGACCCATCATAAAGTAAGAAATTATTTCGTATATAAAGACTAGAAAAAAAAAGAGACACACATCAGTTATCATTGTCACATCACTATAAGTAACAAGCTTACCTTGAGCAAAATTGTAAGGAATGTCCATAATGACTTGTGAAATGTAAAAGGCGGAAGGTCTATATAATGCGTACTGTTTATGCTTTTCGAGAATTGGTCTGCCCATTAAGAAGCGAACAAGCTCAGACTGTGACATGAAGGTATTGTATATAACCAAGAAGAAAATGGCACCACCTCGTGCAAAAGCACCAGTGCCAGAAAGCGGAAGGAGGTAGAAGCATGAAGAAGTGATGAAGCTTTGAATGAAAATAGTGCCGTATCTAGAAATGAGCGCCTCTTTATCTTTGATCAACAGACGATGTTGACGGACGGTAAGAGCCTTAACTTGTTGATAAAAGGATGCAATGTATGGGTATCGTTTTGATGCACGCTTTTGATGTTCCTCGCGAACAGCATCTTCAAATTCCCTGGCCTTTTCGGACTGACGAACTTCTTCTTCGTACCTTTCCAGATCCTGCAGCATGTGCTTATATATATCTGATTCATAGTATCTTTCTTGAAATTCAGATGCATGAGATGGCGCAATGTTTTCGTATCCAGGCTTGTACTGACGTTCGAGGGGGTTACATAAACCTGTGAGGAAATCAGGAGTGGATTTTCTTGGGGCACAATAGAATCCCATGTCTTCAAAATACTGTTTTGCTTGACTGACTGGGCCATAGTACATGACATAGCCTTCGTCCAGCAAAAGTAATTTATCAAAGACGTTGAAGATGCTGTTAGATGCTTGATAAAGTGTTGCAATCGTTGTTGTTTTGAATATATCTGTCATAATTCTCAATGATTTGACGTAATCCAAAGCAGAAGCTGCGTCCAGTCCTCTTGTGGAGCAATCCCAGCAGTTGATAGTACTTCGAGTTGTTATCTGTTCAGCAATTGACAGACGTTTACGCTCGCCTCCTGATAAACCTCGTACAAATGCGTTACCGACCATCGTATTCATCTGCTTTGTAAGTCCTAGCATGCTGCCGAGTAAATAAAGAATTCGGTCTACAAACTCATGCTTTGATTCACCAGGAATTCTCTTTCCGGGTGTTTTGGTCTTTAATGCGAATTCTAAGGTTTGTTTGGTTGTCAGTGTGGGATAATGTTGATCTTCTTCCTCATTATAACACACTTGTCCTCTATATCTCTTTGCAAATACATCGGGGGCAATTCCGCCGTAACTAACGTCTCCGCCGATATAAGTGTATGCATCTCGCATGTTTGCAATCACTTTTAGGAAGGTAGTACAACCGGCCCCGGGGCGACCCAAAACAAGCAACATTTCTCCGTCCCTGCAGCACCCTGTCAAATCTTTCAGGATTACCCTTGTGCTACAGTTTTTATTTGGTAGAAATGCTTTCCAAAATGTGAATGCTGACGTGATATAGCTCATAACAGTAGGAATTGTGTATGCATCTGCGCCCAATCCCTATAATAAAATGAAATGAGTCACTAGTCTTTATGTTCAAAGAACAAGATTTTACCTCAACATGAAGATTTTTCCATGAAACACCGAGATTTTTACGCTTGTGGCCATGCTTTTGCTCTTCAGAGTGCATGCCACGCAAGAACTCATCTAGATCGAAATCCTCTTCAGCTGCCTTTCCTTCTTCAGCTTTTGAAGCGGATGTCCGGTGGCTTTTACGGCTGAGCTCTAAACGCAATTCATGATATTCATTTTTTGCCTCTATTCAGGTGTCAGATAAATATATGTGTATATATATGTTAAAATTTGTCGTTTATTGTATTCTAACCTGCTACATCTACTTGAACTTCATTTGATTCACCGTATGTGTCGAGGCAACCGTAATGCCTTTCACTACCAATAGTAGTAGCTGTAGTGGATGCAGAACAGGGATCAGACTGTGTCGGATGATTGGATGATTTTACGTTTTCTTGCTCAATTGAACTCTGCATTGTTTATGTATATAGTCAAGGAACAAATGAGTTCCTAAAATAATAATAATACAGAAATTCCGGTCGTATATCAAGAAAATAAAAAATATATAAAAAAAGGAGCCAGAAAATATTTTTTGATCTAGAAATTATATATGGTTGAATGACCGAAACAATCTGGGTTCTGGGTTCAATGAAGTGCCTGCTGCGGTAATTTGTTACGTATTATGTTGGTAAGACATGACATAAAAGATGAACGTATTAACATATAATCTTTCATGTCTTGTTTAACATGATTTAACTGTGTTATTGTAGAAAATGAAAAGGGGAAGTTGAAATACACCAATGGAAGCCAATGAAGCATCGCTTAATAATCGTGGCTTTCAACCACGGATATTCTTTTTCTCCTCTTTAATGTTACATTGAATTGTCGAGTTTCATCATCCATTTTTGTCAAGATTAAAATTCTCGAAATTTCTTTTAGACAAGTTGATATTCTAATTCATTTGATCAATCTCGGAGTAAGCCGAATAGAGAGAGAGAGAGAACAAGCACTACACTAATCAGGAAGCTGCCACTGGTTAATATAACACTTATAGTTGCAGATCAAAAAAGACAGCCTATTGATCGCATTACTCAGATCAAGGAAAAAAAAAAAAAAGGACAACAGCTTATTGGGTAAATTACTTACCCTTTATTTTTTTAACCAATCATTCGTTATTGACTAAGGAAATAGTGTGCTGTGATGTTTCGAGAAACTCTAATGGCGCGCGGCAACATACGCCGAGTACATTGGCTAGTAACAGATCTAGTAACTGACGGGACTCAGAATTTCTGTAAATCTGCATAATCTAATAGGCCGCAGCAAAATCGAAAAAAAGGGGTGAAGCAGTAACCTAAATAGGCATTTTTACTGAGCATTTATCTCGTAACTTGCTGATTTACTTAGATTTTGATCAGAACCAAGGTACTGCAGCAGTCATCATCGAAACTAGCATTGATCAGTCACACTTTTCGAGAGGAGCGCCTGTATTCAAAATGAAAAAATAAGGCTAATTTAAGTAGCTAACTGTTTTTTTTGTCAATGAAACTGTCAAAGTGCTCACGTAAGCCTATGCTGATGATTCAACAAAAAAGTGATTAGAAAAGACGTGTGAACTTGTTATCCTTATATGGAAGCTTCAGAAATTTAGCCTTGACAGAGAAAAGTCTATATTGCCTATTACCTGAGTTTTGAGCACCTTCTACTTCAAGATTGTTTGTTATTACTTTTAGTGCATTTGTTTACGATCAATATATTATAAGGAAGGCGTACCATGTCTTTCTCTCTCTATTTTTTTTTTTTTTTTTGCTTCAAAGCTGATACAGCAAATGCACGGGTTAGGTCGAGAATCGCTGCTATATATATAGTAAATCTTGATGTTATACACTCTTTCCGAAAAGTAAATTCGCCTGTGATCGAAAATAAATGCATCCAGTGTTGAGAACAAAATTCATGCTGTACGAAATGTAAATTCGTCGTCGCCAAGGATATTTTCGTAGTATCAGCCTTGACATCCATGGATATACTGTATTTCCAAAAAATAATGCCTCATGGTCCTTGCTCTGACTCGCTTGTCCCGCCTTCTTGCTCTCTGGCGTGTATCTGAAACGCTCCCCTAATAGTCTCTTCTGACGCCCTGGGTTCTCTCAGTCCTCCGTTCCTTTTTTTTTTGTTTAAACTTCTCCTGGGTAGTTATCGCTACCCTCCCCAGAATGCACCTTGGTGGTAAGTAAAACTAACATTAGGATATATACTCATTATCTCTCTTCCTCTCTCTTTTGACATAATGTCGTTTTATTCAAACGTATTTTTCTTCGTCGTCTTTTTACGTAAATAATTTTTTTATTTTACGACAATGTTTTATAAAATTAACGTCAATAATTAATAAAAATACAATAGTAATTGCTGTCTTCTGATACTATAATTTTTCGAAATAAAAGGCATTCCAACTATTACACCACTAATAAGGGTGATCGCGTAACTATGTTTTCTCTCGATGCGCATCCTTGTCATCATTCCGTACTTTCTTGTAACGTTATTATGACTTTATTATTTTCAGAATAAACTAAAAACAGCTAAAGGACCAATCAGTCCATCACATCACCTGCTAGAGTCTTGTAAAAAAAAAAAAAAAAAACTTAGTATGCCGGGCTTAAGACACAAAGATGCTTTCTTATATTTACCATCATTTCAAGTCCTGTCCTTGCTGTGTTTGAGCACTGGTCATACTTTTGTTTCAATTATCATCGATATGACCATTTAAACATCATCCTCAACACGCATTAACCTATATTCCTCATTTAATAACTCTTCTCTCAGCCTTTTAGTACGTATATTTATATAATAATAAACAAAAGGCTTTTAACGCGTGGAAAAAAGGGAACGATGAAATGTAAATATTATAAACAGGCAAATAACAGAAAAATAAACTTAATCTATACAAGCTATAGATAATCTCATATTGATTATTGCAGTCTAGCAGCTATAGTCTAACATATATTTATCGTCTTGATATTCATAACTCCTATTTAAAGAAATAGTACCGAGAAATGTCATGAAAGCTTGTTATGTTGATGGTGTGTAACTACGGATAGTGCTCCCAACCAAAGATCATCAATAAACACAGGATTACTAATCATTTTGAACCAATTCAAAATAAACGTACTTTTTTAACATCGCTTCCTGTAACAGGGAGCCAAATAATCGTTTAAATGAATGCACTCTTCGGAAATGAATTTCTCCACGATTATAGTAATTAAGGAGGTCCGCATTAACCACATGAGTTTATTTATATGCTAAACATGGAAGCTGTCGTCAATTCGGCATGTATTTTCCTTTATGCAATTAAAACATGCAGGATATATATTCAGGGCTTCCATTATCTTTTTGCACAGTCCCTTTCGGTAAGAAGCTTCAAGCTATCTTATTGCTTGTAATTCAAGAAAGCTGATAGTGAGAAGCTCAACGGCTTATTACAGATGTATAAGCAACTGTTATTGTAACACTAAAACGATACTTCTCCTTTTTTAAAGTCTTAAATAGAAACAAACTCTGTAGAATATAGAAAATTTAAGGAGCAAGCTGCATGCTACAACACGAAGCGGCTGTTCAATCTCTGTGTCCAATCAGTATAAGCTTTATTGAGAACACACAGAATATCCAGGCTGCTGAGTTATCAACCTCTCCTTGTTTTTATATGCATAAACATAAACTCGAGTTTGCCCCTCTCTTAAGAAAAGCTCCTTAAAGATTTCTATTTTTACAGTACTGCTCAACTTTATTTGAAAACATATAAAATGGCAAGTCAATTAAGGTCAATTTCAAGTTATTAACAAATTATATTTAAAAAATGAAGCTCTTCCCTATTCTCGCTGTTGCTGTCTTGATCGCTACTGTCTCTGCTGCTCCTAGAAAACATCGTAAGGGCCATTCTGGTGGAAACAAGGAAATCAATCAAGTTGCTGGTGGTGCAGGCAATGGCGGTGGAAACAATGGTATAGCCTCTGGCCTTCTTGGTGGAGGTATCTTGTCAAAGAACGAAAACAAGAACGATATCAAGCAAAATGCTGAAATCAGCTAGACGTCATACTTCAATTCAAATGCTTTGAAATAAAAGATTCAATTTTGTTATCATATTTTCTTGACCTGTTCAATGCTCAAATATAAGATTATATTTTTTATTAAAAGTAGTAGAAAGAATGATGAACGTATGACTGTATGAGAACTATGCTTTTTAATGGCCGACTTGCTGCAGTACAGCGTGATAATTTTCTGAGTTTCGCTTCAGGATTTCCATCACTGGTCCTAATAGTCTTGTAAACGCCTTCTTACCAAGCGTTGCACAACGAAGGCGGCCATTAGCGACAACCGTGGCAGCTCTTGGTTTATCATTCAATAGTGCCAATTCTGTTTCAATTCAGTTACAAAAATACATACCCATAAAAAAAAGTACGACACTTACCACCAAAATAATCTCCCTTTTTACCCACCATGACCTGTTTTTGTGATCCATCAGGCATAGTCTTATAGAATATAGCTTCTCCACTCTCAATCAAGTAGAACTCTTCGCCAATATCACCTTCCTTGATGACCACTTCTTTATCCTCAAAAGTGACAGATTCAAGAGCATCTGCGATTTTATGTCTTTCGTAAACTTCCAGGGATTTGAAAATTGGAACCTCCGACAAGAACCGCTCATACATGGTTCGCTTTCGACTTGTATTTTCCATCAGAATAGAGCGAAATGTGATTCTATCGAGAGCATAGAGCACACAGTCGGTCACTGCAATGATCGAGGCAGCACGAGGAGCATTGTACATTAAGGCCAATTCACCAAATGATCCACTGGGGCCATAAGACGTCACTTTTTTCCCGTCAATGAAACAATCTAATTGACCCGACTCGACTATATAAAAGTAATCACCTACAGCACCTTGTTCGATCACATGCTCGCCTTGCTTGACTTTTTTCTCGGTCATAGCGTTCACAACATCTTGGTATTGCTCATCATCCAAATGCTTAAACAAGAAATTGGTACTGATAGCAGTGCGAATCTTGGCTCGTTGGTCGTCGCTCTTTGGAATCACAATCTTTTCTGTGCGGAAAGTGGGTTGCATGGATTCAGCACTGACAGATGTACGACGGCCGCGGTTGGTCGGAGGCGCAAGGTTAGGCATATCATCCGATACAGTATCTCGTTCCTCATCTTCTTCATCTTCTTCTTCGTCCTCAAAATCCTCATCATCTTCATGCATTGATGCACTCTGAATAGCCAATGGATGAATCTCTCCGGATGGCTCATGTCCAGTCACTATTTAAAGTTTAAGTATGTTATCATTGTTATCATTGTTATTATACCAAGTGGATGGTTTCGATCTGCAGCGCGTTCTTTTTCTAATTGCTTTAGGAAAAATGTTGTACAAAATTGAAGTAGATCGTCTGGTTGATGTTCATTCACTTGTTTATCTAATTCAGCTTTCAATGAGTTGTATTCTTGGTAACTGAATCGTTTATCTCGTTGCATGTTGAATAGACGAAAAAAAAAAAAGGAAAAGAAAAGAAAAAAAAGCGTTGAATTTTAATAGGGTTTGTTTTTTGCATAATGACATTGTGTATGTCGTCTGAGTTACCAAATATGGATTAAGTTTAAAAGGAAATGAAAAAGTATGCATACAGATTTATATGATTATACGCACAGAGTTATACCAAGTCTAGTTTATTTGTTTATAATGAAATGAATACTATAATATTCATGTTTGTTGACAAAGGATGAACATGTCTATATATATGTGTATCATGTCATAACCATTTTTATTTGACGTAATAAATAAAGTGGTTACTGATAGAGAAAGAGAGAGAGAATAGATTGTGTTCTTTAATAAGGAATAGAACCAGTAAATTTTATTTCATTTTAAACATTTAGCGTAGAATAACCTAATGCTTTTCTGTCAACTTTTTTCTTTTTGGAAAAAAATAGCAGCCGAATTAACTAAATAAAGAAAAAGATATACTTTTTAGAAAGAAAAAAAAAAAGCATCTTTTACTGTAAATGAGGTCAGCTAATCATATCATTTCTTTACAAAGTGTGATGTAGTAGCTACTGCTGTATAGGCTAATTAAGCACACCGAACTCAGTAATCATACTCTTTGACTATACCAAGAAACTTATAAAAGAGCCATTTATTTACACATCCTTTGCTCTCATCTAAACAACATACTTTGTTGTAATTTTTATAGAGATTCAATTATCATTCTGATAAAGTGTTTGAGATACCCTTTGAGTTTGCTATAAACCCCGATTAGGGCGGAGATATTGTCTTTTTTTTGACTTACGACTTACTTTGAATGTCAAGTTGCTCTTATAGATCAATGGCCATCAAAATCATAATTTCACGCATTATTTTCTTCATTTAATGGAAAACACTTTGATTTTTAGTTGCTGTTATTGTTACTAATCTCACCCAGGTACAACACTAAGGCAAGAACGTCATTATTCCAATGTGCCTTTTGAAAACTAAAACGTTTCTACTTTTTTGATTCAATCAAGCTTGAATATCCCCTCTTAGTAGAGATCATTTACAAATTTAGTTTAAAAGTAGAGATGCTACTTGTAGGAAAAAGAAAGTGGTGTATGTTCAGAGATATTCAATAGCTTACATATATATATATATATATATATATATATATAAAAGCGTAATAATTGTTTTAGGAGAATATACTCATCAAAAGCTTATTCTATATGTATTCATTCTGACAAACTTATACAACGGATAGCAGTCCCATGACAAGGCTCCCGACGATGACAAAACCAACAACAATAGACGTAACCTTCACAATAGAGTCTTGTACTTGTTTTGTTGCCCGGTATGTTCTTGTTGTTGTGACCAGACTAGCATCTGTAGGTTGCATAAAGGATATAAGTAGCTGTTCCAGTGCAAATTCACCATCCAATTTGAAGGCAGGAAGTATATTCAACAGTGCCAAAGCAATGGTGAATGAGGAAATATATCTAGTATAAATTTAAGCCTTGTCGTTCTTTTTTTCCTCTTGTAATAACGGGAATATTTACCTTAATATTAATTCTAAAATGTGTGGTAATGAAACAGGCAATATCCAGAATCGTGGACTCAGTATGCTAACTTTAACTAAGAAACATAATAGTTCAGCATAATTCTCCCTTTAAGATAAAATACTATTACCGCTTTCCCAAATATCCACAAGCTCTCCTTCAAATATGAATATCCTTCGCCTATCTATCTCTTCACTTTCTACCCAGCTTGGAATTTGCGCATATATCCGCACGACTTGACCTGCTGCTGAAGGGGTATAGGGAACAACACATGACATCTCTGGCCCATGGCAGTCAGATGCTTCTTTACAACGTGGAATATCTTTTGAAGCCAAAACTGGTAATGTAGATAAACACTGCTTGTCAAGTGCCTGTCACAAGCATTAATAGAGTTCCCTTGTGTGCCTTTAAAAAAATACATACTGTTTCAATTGATCGGAAACATGATATGGTCGCATTGAGTGATCGGCCAAATGGGTTGGTGTCATCGATGTCACAGCACTTATCTCCGTAATTCTCATGTGTCTTGCTTACACAAAACCCCTGTTCTAACGCGTGTCTGCCGTCCTCTTTAAATAAAAATGCGTTCCAATCCTCAATATTATGGGTCAATGGTGTGTCATCTAGTTGATAAATCAAGGTAGCTGGAGGTAAATGGGTAGCAAGTGGTGAGTTGGTTCGAATATGCACTACACTGACACCGCCCTGTGCCTCTAGCGATTGCCAACCAATCAAGATGAGTAACAGCTTGAGACCACCTGCTAGACTAAGGGATGCAAATAGATAAAGCACAAGATTATGCCAAACGCCAGCACAGATGATTTTGAGTTGTCGAAAGGGAGCCAGCGCTTGAAGCTGTTGATCGGGTATATTCACAAAGGCTCCCGGATATAGGTACATGACAAACATACCAGAGCTCTGGATGGGCACTCCTTCAGCAAAGGAGGCCATGGCGTGACCTGCTTCATGGAATAACCCACAAACCGTCAGTGCCAATAGGTAGTATCCAATATGCGACATTGGAAGTGTCACACCGGGTATCTTTTGAATGAGAAGGCATTAGCAAAAACGAAGACCAGTTATTTTCATTGCTTTTTACCATTGGTAAAAATACTTGTTCATCGCCATTATTGGGTTCTACTAACTCTCGCTTCACATGCTGTGACTGATCCACTGAGGCAATGCGTGTCAGTGAGGAGAGAATCTTGAGCCCTGCATACACGATCACTGCCATGCCTACGACCATGGTCACAGAAGCAGCTAAGGCACCAATATGGAACCAAGCTTTCCAGAACCATGGAGCGAGTTGAGTTAAGCGCTGAAAAAATGAATTTAGACGATGTGTTGTGTATTTGACTTGAAAAAGCTTAATCGACCACTGATCTCGTTCTACTTCATTGCTGGAAGATATGGAAAAAGTCGGCAAAACACTATGTGGCGTTGCCCGTCGTGGACTAGGATTTTTGGTAGTGAAGAACTGTATCAGAAATACAAAAATATAGATAAAGATCCATAAAAGAAGAAACTGCCAAATGACTGAAATTAGTTCCATATGAAAAAGAAGAGAAGAGGGGTATACGTTCCTCTTTTAGGGGGACTTGCAAAAAAGATGAAAGAGGGGATTGAATTTTGCATGTTCAATTTTGCTCATTGGCTGTTACTAATAACATTGACATTGACAACGTGAAGAAAGCATCTAGCCTTTTAGCAAAAATAAAGCAATCTAATATAAGCCATTCTGTCAGTTATTACTTAAACTTCATGAGGCTATATTAAGTTTAATTTATCAGCTAAACCTTGTCGACAAATGACAAGGTTCTATACAATTGAGATAAAGATGTTGGCTACAAAGGTCAAAAGGATTACGTTGAAAAAAGATATCAATACACACATCATTGGCTGTATTTCTTTTGTGGATTATATTAACTTTTCAAAAGTCAAGCATTTAGAAAAAAAAATAGTACTGAAAGTCTTGAAACACAATACTCTTGAAAGTCCAAGCTAAAAAAAAGCCAAATCAGTTACTGCTAAAGTCTGTCACAGCTGGACTAAGCATGCAGATTGCTATTATGGTAGGTGCCTTAAATAGAGAGCTTAACTTGGACAATATTTTTTAAACACCAATTGAAGGAACAGCAGAGGATAGCACGCCGCTCCAAGTAATAAATCAAAAAATCTCACGCTATTTAGAGATAAAACTTTTATAAAGTGCTATCGTATCAACATTTAACACTTTAGTTAATACACACTGAGAATGGTATAAATGCCACTTGGAGGTTTAATTAGGTATACAATATCTAATAAACTCACATTACAATCCTGACTGAATATATTGTCAAAGTATCAAAGAGAGTGAATTACGATACAGGCTACATATCCTTTATAAAGACACACTCTGTAGCAAAACGAGAAGTATATAAGACGAACTACTATCTACTTGCTAATCTTCATAATAAAATCACTTGTGTTGAATCCGATTATATTTCACTGTCCCCTTAATTCTACACATAATATTACAGAAGCAAATGCATCTTTTTGTTTTTCATTTACATTAATTCTAAAAATAAAAAGCATATTGCTTAAAGAAGAAAAATAAGAACCCTTGCTCTCCCCCCGAAGCGGGAAAGACCAGCTACCCGGCGCTTCAACATCCGGCAATATTCTAGGAGCATTCCTTCAATCTCGGAATTGGGCAAACTATAGAGTTCGAGTGTAGAGAAAAAAAAAAGGTTGAAATGAGAGCCTTTTATAGTTTCTGGTTTGTTTACATTGTGACTTTGAAAAGCGTTCCTGAGTTGAAAAAGAAAAAATTCCTTTTGGCTGCATGAATTATTTTAGGGAGGTGATATTAAGGAGACAATCTTAAGGAGAGATCTTTTATTGGATAGTTTGTAGTAGGCTACCTTTTCGCTCACAAGAGTGGCTTTGATATTAAATGTAAACTATCTAGTATTACTCTCTCTTTTAAAGAAGCTTTAAGTCGTCCTAGTCTCAAGTTTAAATACTATACAGCAAATTGACTATTTTTAAGTAGAAAAAGAGGCATTTACATATTTATATGGGGCCTCTACTATGTAAGACCAAATAATTGAAAAATCAAAATGAGAGATCCACAATGACAATATTATAGTAAATATAATAGTATGTATTTCTCTTGAAAAAAGAAAGTGCTCAAGAAAAAAATATTCAACTATCAACATGTCCTTAGTTATGCAATGCTTGCTCCTCTGCTACTGTATATTAAGCAAATGCTATTCTAGCGTAGAAATCTTTCTCACGTATTTGTTAGAAAAGAGACTCACACAGTGTGAGAGCAAATAGTGCGTCATAGTGCTTTAGAAATAATAAGCTCATGACACGATATGAAACAAAGGCACATTTTCTTATCTTTCGCAGCTGGGTTAACTCGTTTTAACACATCAACAACAATAATAAATACAAACAAGAATTTGTTCATTTAGCTAAACACCCATATTTATATACATAACATAGCTCCTATTGTCTTTAGTAGTGTTCATACTAGTAAACTATTTCATTCACACATGTATACAAAGATACTTTATTTGATTATATTTGATTCCTTTTTCTAGGATAGAGAGCAAAAGATTTATTGTAAAAGCAGAAGCGGATATATAATAGAATCAATCATGTAGTTTAGGACAATCCCTACAAGAGCGTTAATATCTTTCAAAACAGCATAACGCAACCAATTTACCTTGTCTTATGACTAAAGGCACCACATTGACAGCACCTGTAATTGACATGGTTTATAAGAGTTGATTGAGTAGTAGAACACATTATTTAAAATAAAAAGTAAAGAGAAAAGTAAAAAGAAAGGACTATTATTTATACTTTGATAAACAAGGAGAAAAAGCCTAGCAGTGCTATTTGTTTTACAACTACCCAACAATAGGCAAGTTGATATCACGCTGGGTAGATATAGAGTTTAGCTTGTTTCAACATTGGTTTCATGTTAAGCGATAACAAAAGGTCATTCCAAAGAGAATGAAAGCTACGGAGCTTTATATTCCTCTTATTATTTATTAAATTTATTGATTTAATGTATATGAGGCTTATTACTTGCCCAGATGTCTGCATTATATTTGGCCACTTCATTCATCAATCCTACTTGATCTGCTACTGACTTGAGTGCACCCAAGACGACACCATTACCTGTCGAGAAATTGTACATGTAATAATGAAGCCCTACTTCATCACAAAACTTTCGAACAAGAGGCACGCAAGCACGAAGATTGTGACGAGGTATTCTTGGGAACAAGTGATGTACGGCTTGATACTGAAGTCCTCCGTGGAACCAGTCCAACCATTCGGGACAGTCAACATCCATTGTGGTTCGTAGCATTTTGGCAGCAAAGGGTTCATTTGGTCCCTTATCCTCTGTTGACATTCCAAAGTGAGACAATGTAATTTGTACATGAAGAGGAAATGTGAGCATATATGATACAAAAAGATAAGCAATACGGAGCTTCCATGTGGGTACATAAGACAGGAGAGCGCTGAACCAGATGAAGAAAAAGGTAATGCCGATCAATTCAAGTCTTCGGGTACGTACATTCTTTGCAGTAAAGAGGTAAACAAATGACAATCGATGCAAGTTAAATCGACCAAAGGAAAGAATAAGGTAATACAAATAGTGTTGGTATCTTACAAAGAATTTAGCTGCTGCGTCAAACGGCAAGACTCGCTTGTAGTAGGTTGAATAGACATTGTTGAAGAATTTGGTGGTGATGGCCAAAAATGGAAGGTGCTGAATGTCAGGGTCATGTTCAGGGTGATTTGTGACAATGTGGTGCACATTATGATTATCCTTCCACCAGCCTATGCTTAGTCCACCAATGAAATCTGCAATAATCACGCCGATGATATGATCAATTTCGCTTTTGCCTGTGATACCATTATGCCCGGCGTCGTGGGCCGTAAAGACGAGCTGGTGCCAAAACCCGGCCAGGAAGGCAGCACCGGCTATAAAGTGCCATGATTCTGTTCCCTTGAGAGTAAACCATAATGACAGGAATAAAAGAGTGATATATCGGCAGCATTCTTCACCGTATTTCCAATAGTTACATTTGAACAGCCCACGTGCCTTGATTTCTTGTTCTAGTCGACGATAAGCCTCTCTTACTTTAACTCTGTCCAGATCCCGTTGATCAACTGAATCCTGTGTGAGATCTTCAAAGTGAGATTTGTGTAATTCATCAATGGCATCGTCAAATGCCTTGATTGTCATTCCGCCTTCCCAGGTTGCTGTCAGTTCCTTATTCGACCTTGTTATTTTATGCGGTCCTTGTGTTGTTGTCTCGGTCGTCTTTATGTCGAGATAATCTCCAATATAGTATAAATGAATCATTTTCTCATATACTTTGGGAGGATGCAACGATCTGATTTCGTCAGTAACATCTCTTCCGAGCGCGCTCCTGAGGGACGCTTCACCTCCTGGATGTTTGGCGAGAAAATTATTGACTTTGTATACTTTGGATTCAAATATGAATACAGCGTCTCCTCTTTTGATGTATTCTTGGAACTGTTCCTCACTAATAAATATTCGTGTTCTTGGCACTTCATTGATTTCTGTGTTAGGCGGCATGATTGACAGATTCTCAAGAAGGAATACTTTTAAAAAGAAAGAAGAGAAGGAGAGAGAGGGAAAAAAAAAAAAGTTGGATTTAAAGAAAAGAGTCGTACAAACGTAAGACCAATTGTTCAAAACTAAGAAAACCCAAAGGACAAGCCAATAAGCTGTCTGCCGATGAAAAACAAACTCCCCTTTTAATTAAAGCCCTATGGCTCATTTACCTGTCTTTTTTTAATCCAGAAAGGGAAAAGCTTACTTTAATCCACTCTACATCTTGTACGGTTAGTTTATAAAGATAAGCAATATGGTACAATCATTCAATATATCTATAAAAAACTTAACAAGCAAAAAGAAACAAAGATCCATTATCAGCCACATAAAATTGTAAACAGGAGATAGTGGCAGAATGAACGTTAAGGTGTCTCATTGTGATGTTCGCTTTCAAGCTTATACATTCTTTTTCTTCTATGCTACGCGTATCAAAAAAGAAGTTCTTAATTGTATCTCATCAATGCTTCTTTTTTCCGATGAAAAAACAATCTGGTGATTATGTTAAAACAAAGTTTGACGCTTGTAAGAGTCACTCTTTGTTTTAAAAGCGTCTATTAGTCTAGAACAAGGTTAAAAAAAGAAAAGTGTATGCTTTATATTAGCGCATTCTACGCGTAAACTATTTGCTTCTCTTCTGAGTATCCTTTAACCCAGGCAAAACTTACAACCTTATCAACTATATATCACAGCTAAGGGTATTACCAGGTGTTAGGAACAATGTCCAAGCATCTCTTGACTTTTTGGGCAACATGGTCTAGACTAAGATAGAGACTTCATCTTTTCGTTTGCAAACACTGTTAGACCGATCATTAAATTCGATATATCTTTTGAATAAAGATAAACGCGCCATTGCGAACAAGACATGGCTGATATTGTTCAGCTTCAAAGCCAAGCATTTGGAACAAAAAAAAAAAGTATACAAGCTGAAATTGATTTTCTCCATTTTTTACATAAAAATGCATCGTAGATCGCGTACACCAATACGACACAATCCGTACCAAACACCACCAAGGCCTACCACCACTGCAGCTCATTCAACCACACCAGGCGATGTTGATCCTGACTCCTCTCCAGCAGCATTTCGCATGGGAGGATACGAACTTATCAGCAGTCCTTTCTTTGATGATCACTTTCCTTCTGTCAGTTCATCTACACAACATGATCAATTCAGCATCTTACCTGATGTTCCACCTCCAGAAACAGCACAGGAACGATTGAGAAACATTAGGCAGGACGCTCTGAGTTACCATTTACCAGGAACAGCTTGCTTTATTGGAGAAAAATTGATGGTTACGACAGGTAAAAAGCTTGTGTTAACTATAGATATGTCTTTGTATTAAAACATTCTATAGATTCATTGAATGATATATACCAGCTTGCTCTTTGCTATTATCAAGTACAGCAATATGAACGAGCATTAGATACTCTAAATAAAAAACAGACGATAAATAAAAGTGTCAAAGCAAGATATCTGGCAGCCCTATGCTCGGTAAGATTCATCTAAATAAGCAAAAGCATATGCTGACTCTCAGTGTGTTTAGCTGGCTCTAGGAAATGCGAGAGACGTTTTGGACTACCTTGGAAAGAAAAATCCGTTTTCAGGAAAAGGTACGGTAAAAGGAAGAAGAAAGGATATATCAAAAGGTAAAAGGGAAATTTATGAAAATGATGTAAACATAAACAGACAATTATTCAGGCCATGCAGAAGAGGACGAATCGGAGGGTTGTATAAAGTTGGAATCCGTAATGTGTTATGTGCGAGGAAAGGCGTATATGCTATTGAAAGACATTGACAATGCAAGGGAATGTTTTAAAGAAGCATTATTAATAGATCTAAAATGTTATGATGCACTAGAAGCACTTGTGAAATACAACATGATGGGAGAGCATGCAGGTAGACTTGCCTTAGATGAAGACCTATTTATATCTAACCTTGATTTACAGAGTGGGAATTTGTGATGACGCTTCCTTTCGATGACCACTGTGGACCTGATGCAGAATACTTTCGATATTTATACGGCCTTAAACTAAAAAAGAACATTCTAAGCGACAGATACATGGATCCAGAGTCAGGGAACCTGTCCAACAGTTTAGATGTCCAACTAAGTACCGCTGAACGTTATTTCTCTGAAGGACGATATGAAGATTGTTTAAGTGTGTGTAAAAAGATCAGAACACAAGACCCCTATTTCAAAGAATCAACGCCTATGCTCCTTGCATGTTTATTTGAGTTGGATATGAAGGTAGAACTGTATGAATATGCACATGAACTTGCCGATAAGTCACAGCACGAAGACATTGCCTATCATGCCATAGGGCTATACTATCTGTACATTAAAAAGAATCAAGAAGCTAGGCGATTCTTTACGTAAGCACCTTCAATACCACACACACATATGTCTATGAGTTTTAGTAACCCTCTATCATAGCAAAGCCATCAATCTCAATCAATTTGCAGAGCACTCTTGGTTAGGCTATGCTCAATCATTTTCTGCTGAAAAAGACCATGAACAGGCTATTAGCGCATATATGACATGTATCCGGCACATACCAGGGTAATTGGGGAGTTAAATGGCCCATAAAGGCATATGAACTGATGACATGCTTAGATCTTATATACCCTTAATGCATATCGCAATGGAATACATGGAACAAAACAATATGGAAGCCGCCATTGAATACTTTACGAAATGTCTTGCAAAAAACAACACCGACCCGTTTCTGTATAATGAAGTAGCTGTCTATTATTATAAAAAAGGATTGTAAGTACTAAAATTGGATATACTCATCAAATTTTCTTGACATACCTCTTCGTGGTAGATATATTCAAGCACGAGATTATTCACATACAGCGCTGAAGCTTGCTAAGAGTCAACAGTGCCGAAAACGCATACTTTGGGAGAAGATCTGGTGCAATCTAGGTCATGTGTATCGTCATGAACCGTAAGTGAATAAAAGTGACGCAAATAACATACTCATTTCGTAATAGTTTGCGCAATTACGATAGATCATTGACCTGCTTTGAAAACGCACTAAACCGAAATCCAAAGAATACAGACGCACGAGCGACTGTAGGTATGATCTATCAGCTCAAGGGGTGCACTGCCAAAGCAATCCAGGAGTATCATCAGGCGCTTCGTGACGCCACAGACAATACGGAGCTCATACAGGAATTGCTAGATATATCGCTTCGAACGAATGCAGCCACACCCTTTAAAGATGTTGATCCCTTCCTAGGTGGTGGTTTTGATGTGTTCCAAATGGCAGAAAGTTTGAAGAACAGTCGAGACGAGGTAGATATCGAACTGGATGAAACGTATTGGGGAAACGAAAGAAAAGAAGAGGAGACTCATGAAAATGTCGAAATTGAACTGGATGAGACGGACTTGGGGAACGAACGAAAAGAATATATGCGTCATGATGAATTGATGGGTGATACAATTATTGGTGATGAAGGAGATAGGCCCAGTATGGGACGTGATTGGCTTTAATTAAAAGTATCTTTTCTCAGCGGTAAATATACAGTGTAGATAGACAATGAGCCACAAAATGGGCGCTCTAGTAAATAATAAACTGTTCTTGTGTGCATGAGACAAGAGAGAGAGAAAGAAATTTCTACCCTCATAACATAAAAAGAACAATAAAAACGCCGACTGAAAAATGCAGCCCCTATAATTTGCAGCCGTCTTTTTCAAAGACAATGTCATGAAAAGGCGATTCTTACGCTGGGGCCTATCTTCTAGTTTACTTCTGGGAGGAAGCTATTATTACTATAAAAATAAGACTTACAAGGTACCCACAATACCATACGTACCACCACCTTTCTTGTGGGAGACCATACCTTCACGCATCGCTGAGCGATTTACTGTGCCTCAGCCTGTCACTGATGGTGTGATCTGGAATATGCTTAGTACATTGGTTATTGGCACAACTGGCCTTTTAGCCAAAGGGTTCATGAAGGCCAACAATACTACAGTCTATGGACTTGATTCTTTTCTTTCCATTCTGAACGATCCTTATAGAACGCGTGGTGTGATTACAGGTAAAATGTCAAGCAGAATGAGAAAACAGAAAGAAAACGCAACTAAAAGCAAATGACTATAGTGGCTAACCATAAAAGTACTTTGGATGATCCTTGTTTATGGGGCGTGTTACCGACCAAGACATTATTTTCAATTGACAAAATGCGCTGGACTCTGGGTGCAGCAGACATCTGTTATACTTCAGTGTAAAAATCATGAAAATAATTTATGTTAACAGCTACCAATACTCTCTCTTCCTTTATAGCTTTAGATCCTATTTTTTTGCGTTTGGACAGACAATACCGACCATTAGAGGAGGCGGAATCTATCAGCCAGGTGTGGATTATGCCATTCATGCCTTGAACCAGGGTGGATGGGTACACATATATCCTGAAGCCAAAGTAAACCAAACAGCCAAGATGATTCGGTTCAAATGGGGTATCGGCCGTATCGTCATGGACATGAATCATGAACCGATCGTTATACCCATCTGGCATGAAGGTATGGAGAAAACGAAACCACTGTATGATCCAGCTGTGCATTTCAATCAATCTATCGTCTTGGTCTTTGGAGAACCTGTGGAGTATCGTGATATATTGGATGCTTGGAAACGAAATGAACTGACAAGAGAGGAAGCACGAATCCAGATCACTCAGAGGTTTTATGATGCAATAGAAAACTTAGAGAAAAAATACCGTTCGATGCAGAAATAAATTATAATGGTTTATAGATCTTTTTTCTAACCCACTGCTGAGTATCCGCTTTTACTGCATGATTGGGAACAAAAAAAAAAGCATATTCCATTAGGACCGACACAAGCTTATCTTGAAGGGCCATTCATCCAACATGCTTTTTGATGTTCTGATCGTTTTATTTACGCCGCCAAGATTCAAAAAACTCGAAACATCCTTTTTTTGATCACGTAGTTCCTCCCCTTCTACGGCCGGAATAACGCAGATGGCAATATGTGTAACACTGAATTAAGCTTTCTTTTTAATTTTCGCGCCTTTTTCTATTTCTTCTTTCTTTCTTTATAACAAAAAGATGCTCAAAAACTCAACCTGGAGTAAGAAAGCTAAAGATGTTGTCTATAGGACCCAGCTGATGTTTCTTGAATAATAGATTTAGCAGATACTAATTTGACCAATTTTGGGTCAGAACTTGAACGACAGCACCGCAAAGAGGAGGGTGAGCTTGAAACAGCATGGAACTATGAAGGGTCACCTATTGGACACGAGAGGTAAACAATATATATAAACAAAAAAGACTGTAAGACTGAAATGAATCAAGTGGCATGTGGATATGGAGAGTACAAAACTTTGGCCTTGTGTCAGTACCTGAAAATCAATATGGCAAATTCTACCAAGGTAATAAGTGAATCATATCAAATGAAGGGTTTTTAATTTTTTTTTATTTTTTTTATTTTATTGTCAAAAGGCGACAGTTATATTGTCTTGAAGGTAAAAAGGTAAAACGGAAATGATCAAAGAGTCGCTTATGACGGAAAATAGTCTATTAAAAAAGAAAACTCAGATGGTCTTGTACACCACATTCATTTTTGGCTTGGATTAGAAACAACTCAAGATGAAGCAGGAACAGCTGCTTACAAGACAGTCGAATTAGATGATTGTAATAGCAAATATAGATATCATAAACTGTTTTAACTTTTCTTCTTTTTAGTCCTTGACTCGTTAGCTTGTCAACATCGAGAAATTCAACGTAAAGAGTCAAGTTTATTCCAGAGTTACTTTAAACGCATCACGTATCTTCAAGGAGGATTTGCAAGTGGATTCAATCATGTCGAGGAAGAGGAATTCCAAACGCGTTTATTACAAGTACATAGGCCCAAGAGTTTGGAGGGCAGTCGTAGAAATAATGCAGTGATCATTTCGGAATGCCCATTGAGTTATGAAAGCCTTTGGTCAGGTGCTGTTTATGTGCTTGACACAGGCAATGTGGTTTATCAATGGCAAGGAAACAAAGCCAATGGTATTGAGCGAGCAAAGGCAGCTGAATTTATTTCTCAGTTGATTTCTGAACGAGATGGAAAAGGAGAGATGGTGATTGTTGGTAAGTCACTATGGTAACCACAAAGCCATGGCAACTGAATATAATATATAGAACAAGACTCAGGTAGCCATTCCAGAGAGTTCTTTGAAGCACTTGGTTCGGAAGGACCTATTCGAGATGAAGAAGAGGAAGAAGAACAAGAACAAGTTGTACCACAAAAGAGATTATTTAAACTATCAAGTTCTGGATCATTTGGTTTTGGCCAATTGAAGTTTGAATTAGTCGCAGAAGACAATATTAGTAAAGACATGTTTGAGAGCGAGCATGTCTTTATATTTGACGTTGGTCATCAAGTCTATACATGGATTGGCAAACAAGCGAGTCGTAAGGAACGTCGCCATGGGTTACAATATGCACAAGACTATGTTAAATCAACAAATCGTTCATCATTTACTCCTATTTGTCAAATTGTCGAAGGAGGTGAAGATGAATTATTTGAAGCTAATTTAGAAGGTTGGCAAGGATGGTAAAATTGTTTATGAAAGCTTTATTGTAATAAAGAATTACCAACAATCGTGAAATGGTTCATCTTTCCAATGAATGTCTTGATCTTTTGTTGATATTAAATGAAGATGATGATTATATGCAGGCGTGTTATTATTATTATTATTATTATTAGAATGAAGTGTATCAAAACTATGACTTGAAGATGTAGATGAATTAGAAAGTGAAGGAGGTGAACTATTATTTGATTCTCTCTGTAATAAATCTGATAGTAGTGATCTTTGCGATGTAGGTGGTCTAGGCTTCATTTTAATAAATTCATATTGAATTTCCTCTTCTTCTTCATCGCTATAAAAGTAATCCTCATCTTCATCTTCATCTTCATCTTCATCAATAATAATAATCCTTTTATTATTGTTGATGATCGTCTCTTGTTCTATTTTATTCACCTGATCATCATCCTGGGTCTTTATGGGCCCGTCATGTTGTGAAACCTCGTGGCAAAATGCGTCATGAGTAATGGCAGGTGATGATGTTGAATGATGAAGGGTTTTTTGTTGCCACAGTCTCCAGGACATGTATTCTAGTCTTTGACCATTTTCTATAAATCGTTTACATTTATTTAAAGCTATAATGAATGAGTCTCTCTCTACACTTTGTGATCTTCTTTTGCTACGGGTTACCTGCCCATACATCACTTATTTGATCTTTATCAATTGTTTTTGGATTTAATTGGATATTTAAAGAGAGAATATGGTTCTTTAAAGACATATTAAAAATAATAATAATAAAAGAAAAAAGAATAAAAAAAAGAGAAAAAAAAAAAGAAATAAAATAACTCCTTAAACAGCCTAATGTCTTAATAACCCTTATCAATGACCTGCTGACAACTTTTTTAAACATAAGAGCAGCATTTGTCAAATTATGATAATAAACGGACTTTTCTCATTTGATCATATGTTACTCTCCTTCCATGTCAAATAATAAAAAAAAGTTACACTCATAATCCTTTTGATCTGTTACCGAGTGGATCATTATTACCATGGCTTTCATTTTATAAAATGTTTGTGATACTAGATCGAGAAAGTATAGCTGTCAAAAGAGAAATAAAGAGATACGTTAATGAAGGACTTTTTCTAGAATTTAAACTCTGTCATCTGAGCAAGTTCTAATCAAGCTTAAAAAAATTTATATATTATTCTTATGCATTTTATCAACAAATATATACAAATAAAAGAGAACTAGACCCTCTTCTTCTATCTTTTTCCCTTCTCTCCCATCGGGGAGCACGGACATAGAATCGGGAAATTTCTTTTTAAAACGATTTAAAGGGTTACTTTTTTTTTTCGAGAAACCTGTTCAATTCAAGGTCATCACGGTCTCTTATTTAAGCTAAACAAGTTATATTTACCTTAATTGAGAGACATTGCAGATGTGAAAAGGCATACGCATAATCTATTTAATCTATGACAAGATGCTCAACTCAATGAGAATAATTGATAACAACACTCCACTCAGCCGAGTCAATTTGATGTCATGAACCACAACAGCTCTTTTTCTTGTTACATTAGTATCACTCTCGGATCATCTTTGTCACTTGGTCATAGCAGTCATGGTTGTAAGAACCATGCAATAGTAATTGTAGTAACAGTAGAGTCATAGATGGTCCTAAATCAGCCCACTTTTTACAGCTTGTGCTTTGTTCTCTAAATGTTAACTATTTTAGATCATCTATTCTAGTCTATTCTAGTATCTATTCTTTACATGTAAGAAATGTTATGTTTTTATGACCATGCAAACTTGTATAAAAGACATAAACAATGCAAACAAAGAAGGAACTGATTGGACTAAAGGATTATAAAAAGAGACTCACATGTTTAATGAAAAGTTACTTTTCTGCAAGCAATAACTGTTCCCAAAAGTATAAAGATATCCGCGCGTTGAATGTTTAATCAGCCCGTGGGTAATTTCAAAAGTATGAGGGTGAGTCGTGACAATTAAGATAATAAAAGCAACAAAATGCATTTTTCACTAAAGGAGGAGAGTCATTGATGACCAAGGCTACTTTTTATTGAATCTTTGAGTACATGTTGAGAACGTATACAAGCATAAATACACGTCATTACTATTACAATTTGTTGAGTATTTCGTGACATTTTTCTACTCTGGTAAACTGTTCAGAATACGATTGATTTTATAGCTTCGCTCTCAAACGTGACAAGTGCTATATAACTATACATGCCTTCTTTATATCACAAGTATAATAAAAGGCTCATGAAAAAGCGTTTTTCATGCTCCATATAAGCATCAATATTAAACCCCATCTTTTATTCCATATTCTCGAATATAAATTCTAAAGTCACGCGCTCTTTAAACACGCTTGTGTACTTTGTGTCACGTTTAGTTGATGGATATTAATGTCCATCATGTATGTTGGCTTTGCTTGTGATAATATTCATATCCTTTATGATTATATCTTCTGATATGTTCTATTAAACTTTTAACAAATTTACCTACGCCGAAACGTCTTGCTGCTTTGCTTGTAAATGCTACACAGAAAAAGTATACACAAAGGAGAGAGGGGCATTGTATATACATCCTTGAGATATGCGCATTGTTGGCAATTATTTCAGGCGCCTTTAAAAATCAATGCAAAACAATCGGTCCTCTAGGGTTTAACTTTTACGCCAAGTATGAATCCCTTAAGCAATTGTGGCTAAATACATGAGATACTTACCACTTGTTATTCAGGCTGAAATCCTAAATTTCCAAAATGGAATAATGATAGTAATTTTAGCATGAAATCTTTAAGCCAATAACGTTTATGAGATACATAAAGTGTGCCTTTAGTGAATTGACCCAAAGATCATACATCAGAATAAAGGATTTATAAACGCAGCAAAAAAAAAAGGAAAACACACAGGATTATAAAAAAACCTTTATCTTGGCTTTATTTCCTTTTTACCAAATAAAAAGTGACACTGATGTTGTGAGAGTAGTCGTTGGCGCAAATGTGGCAAATTGGCTGCTAGGTATTTAATAACAAACAAACATGTCTTTACTATACTATTGTCAAATCTAAATAAATGGTGTCATTTGGCTAGTAGAAATTCATTGTATTTTGCTAAAGAAAATAAGGGCGTTGAGAGCGTTATTTAAGAAACACCTAAAGTCATTGTCATTAGCTACTTTCAATTTTTTTTTAATCTCTCTCTCTTTTGTGACTTGACAACCTCATTCCAACATGACTGACATTCCTTCAGGAAAGTTAGTCTTGTTAAGAGATTTACATAAATGTCGAAAGGGGGATACAGTCAGAATAACAGGAATGTAATGTAGCCACTGTTATCATAATGTAACTCATGCTAAGCAAATTATAAAGTTGGGAAGTACAGGAAGGTTTTACAGGTATTCTCAGCTATGAAGGTATTGAGGTCGAAGTACGCATGGACTACCAGGCAGACATTTCTTTAAATGGACATTTGGTGCAATGCATCGGCGAAATCCTTGAAGAGGTAAAAAAAAACCTTAAAGAGCTCTTAAAAACTAACATACAAATATAAAAGCCTACATTCGGCATCCTTCGAATCAATGGAAGAATTCTTCGAAACGTTGATATGTTGGATATGGAGCTATATGAAAAAGTAACAGACCTTGTTAATAAGACATTGAACCAATAAGCTTTTCTTGGGTGCGGATAAACCATTCATGTCTTATTAATCTCTATTTTGGAGGCGGAAATTGAATGTTACTATAGAAACAACAACAATAAAATCTCTTAAAAAGAGACTTTTTTAATATTTTTTTTCTTTTTTTTTTTTTTATCAAGCCAGTATGGGGAAAGGCAAGAGAGCTCACACTATCAGTATACCAAGTATAAACTTGAAGCCACCCAAGTCCTCTTCTGATCACTCGTATGCACCCAGCTTTGTGAATACAACACTCTCGGAAGCAACTTCAGTCATTACCAAAACTGAAAGGTGGCAGCCACCTCGTAAGCCCAAGATGAAGTACGATGACTTGGAACATAAAATGGAAGCAGCTCCTCTTTATGTTCTTGTCTGTACTTACTTGAACTACTTTGTCTTGATTCTTTTTGGCCACTTGAGAGATATTCTTGGTAAACTGTTCAAGCCTGAAGACTATTCTCACTTGAGAATGAACCAAGTACGACCATAATTTTCCGCCTTGTTCACGTTTACTTATCTTTTCTCTCTTTATAGGGCTATGCTCCTCTTGTTTCCGATTTTGATTCCTTTTATACCAGACGGCTTTATATTCGTATTCGGTAAAAATGACACATTATTCCTAAGAGAGGGGTTATGCTTATTTTGTATATAGTGATTGTTTCAATCGCCCCATCACTGGCGTTGCTTCTCGTACAGTCAAACTTCTCGACCGAGTCTCTTCTGATTTCAATAGAACGTTTAGATTGACAGGCACAGCAACAGAAACGCTCAACTTTGCATCTTACAACTACCTTGGATTCTCTGATAATACCGGCCCTTGTGCCGATGCTGTCGAACATGCCACAAAGGAACACGGTATTACAGCAGTCAGCCCCAGATCGGAAGTAGGTACAACACAGCACGTTCAAGAATTGGAACGCATGGTTGCTCGCTTTGTTGGAAAAGAGGATGCTATGTGTGTCAGCATGGGTTTTGCTACCAATTCGACCACTATCCCTGCTCTTGTTGGTAAAGGCTGTCTCGTTATCTCTGACGAACTCAATCACTCATCCATCGTTTTCGGTGTCCGATTGTCCGGTGCTTCTGTTCGTGTGTTTAAACATAACAATATGGATGACCTGCGTGAATTACTCCGCGAATGTATCTCTCAAGGTCAACCTCGTACACATCGTCCTTGGAGAAAGATTTTAGTCATTGTCGAAGGTTTATATTCAATGGAAGGTACAATTGTTAACCTTCCTGAATTGGTTGAACTAAAAAAGGAATTCAAGGTAAAGAAAAAAAATGGCATAAAGATATCAAGCCGCCCTTTAACTTTAAATTGATTACAGTTTTATTTGTATGTGGATGAAGCACATTCTATTGGTGCCCTAGGTGAAAATGGTGGTGGTGTTTGTGATTTCTATGGTATTGATCCGGCAGAGGTTGATATCTTAATGGGTACCTTCACCAAATCGTTTGGCGCCGCTGGTGGTTACATTGCTGGAGATAAAGCTATTATTGATCACTTACGCTTGCGTAACCATGCTTATAACTACGCTGAGCCCATGTCTGTTCCTGTCACTCAACAAGTTATTACCTCTATGAAAATTATATGGTAAGCTTAAAAATATTTCATTATAAAGCAGATACGCTAACCTGTCTAAAGTGGTGAGGATGGTACTGACATTGGACGTAAAAAGATTAAGCAATTGGCAGAAAATTCACTCTATTTTATTGAACGTTTACGAGAGATGGGATTCATTGTTTACGGAGATCAAGGAAGTCCTGTGATCCCCTTACTTTTGTTCAACCCCGCCAAGATTCCTGCATTTTCTCGTGAGCTCTTGAAGCGAGGCATTGCTGTTGTTGTTGTTGGATATCCTGCTACTCCCATCATTACTTCTCGTGCACGTTTCTGTATATCCTCTGCTCATACAAGGGAAGACCTTGATAAAGCTTTAGAAGCTATTAGTGAAGTTGGAGATACCCTACTTCTTAAAGTTAGTAATGAACCTTGTAGAAGATAAAGCATATCTGAATAAGCTAATTAATAATACACATACACACACGCACATTAATAAATAAAACAAATGCATTAAATTTGTGTCTCCCCCCTGCCTTTTTATTTCAGCAGGAGATGGCTTTGTTTACTTGACTAATCTTTGACCGCTGCATGTAGTTCCGACACACAGGTAGATTTGTGTGTGATATCTTTGCAGATCCACCTACTTTCAGCTTCCTTATATTTACTACTTGACAGCAGTAGTAACAAATATAATAATGAATTCAATCGTAAGATATCAAACATGACAGTAATAATTATATTAAAAATAAACAGACTAATACGCCTTAATTCATAAATCAAAGAAATAAATGGACAACTCCAACTTTTACAAGAATTTTGAAAAGACTGAGTCTCTTTTAGTCTAACTTGACAGATGGCCGTAAGAGACTTTACGCTTTTGTTAGACAAGTAAACATAGTCTCCAGCTTGATATACAAACGTTTGGTCTGTGGTATTCGTTATAATATGCTGCTTGTTGTTGTTGAACCAACTTGGGTTCTTCTTGTATATTCAAATAGGCCATATTTTGTTCTGAATGCAGTTTTTCCCATTCATCGTCTTTAGTGATACGAATACGGTAATAAGCGTTGCGAATGTCGAGCTTAGTACCGAATTTGACGATTCATAGGCTCATTGATCAAAGGAAGGGGGTACTGATCGTTGACTGTGGATTTATTGAGACCACGGTAGTCAACTCAAATACGCAACGAATCATCTTTCTTTACGAAAATAATTAGGACAGCAGCAGGGCTGGTTAACCGACATGTGAAATCCAGGTGTTAGATTTTCTTGTAAGCAGGTAGTCAGAAGCTTAAAGTTCACCTTATGACAATGGACATATAAGGCACCTTCAATAAGAGGGTATATGGTAATCAGCATTGTTTGTGTTTGGGTAATGGGGTAACTTTTTCTTCGCTAAACGCATCCCATATAGTCAAGGTATTTTGAGTGGGAGTTGAAAAGTAGTTACGCAAATATCGACATAACTACCCTGGACTATTGTTTGACCACTTGAATGAGTACACCTGTTCACTGTTTATTGATAAGCTCGTTGAATATGGCCGCACTAGCAATCTTGGTGTCCTGAGGAGTGGGAGTGGAGATAAAATCAACGTGTGTAGAATGATTTGGTATAGAAGCTTGTGAGTCGATAGGAAGTGCGTCTATAATAGGAGCGCTCGTGAGACAATGCAGTGAGCAAAATTTCGAGGAGAAGAGGGTTTTACGAGGCTTCCACCGAATGATGGGATTATGGGTACTTAGCCAGGGAATATCAGAAATGATAGCTAAAGACAGCATCAAGAGAAATGGTTTCCGAATGATCGCCAGCAGCAAGTTTTAATCTCGACCCATGCGTGATCACACATAATAAAATGGCGCTACTGTCAACTGTCTGGGTGTTGGAAGAGGGGTAGACCATTGGATTTGGAAAATTTGATATAAATGAAGTTTGACATAGCTTCGGAATCACTCATGGCAGCTATAGAAATACTGATTTGACCACATTGCAATAGAACTTGAATTGTAAAATACCACTCTTTGATGAAGGCGCAGGAGAGGTAGAAAAAAATTGTAGATAGAGAGGCTTGACATCATTTAAAGATAATGCTTTATTAACAAACCCAAGGCACACTGGGCCCGGGAATCAAGGCGGAGAAAGATGGCGGTGTATTTTGTAGTGGATCGTTTACCTTGGCATAAGTAAAGAAGATTGGTTTCAACATGGAGCTGAGTATACACCTCACCAAAAACCTCACAAAGAGTTGTATAAAGGCACTGAGATACGTCATACATTCAGGTAAGGGCTGATCGGTGTCGAGAGCATTCAAAAAAGGCTGGAAAGTATGTCTAGTCATGAAAGAATACAAGAAACAGATTTTGCTAATTTCGTTTAAAAAACGGGAACGATCAATATTGATGCATATCTTGACATGAGTTATGTAACTAGCGAGTCTTTCGAGCGTACAATCATGAATGGGAGGATCATTGATACGAGCGACTTTAGGTTGATACTGAGGGGAGCAACTGAAAAAACAGAAAAGACGTCATTAGTAGTATTGGTTGCTCGATGGGATCAGATAGGCTAGACTTCTGTTTTTCCATTTATTCAGCCCCTTTGCATGCAGATGACCCTATAGATTGCTTCTTTTTAACTTGATGTGACTTTGAAGAACAATTAAATGCAGTAGACCAAAATAGGAAACCATTAAAGTTTGACGGGAATGTTTAGCACAGGCAAAGCTTGAGATGCGGATCAGGGACAAGATTAAAACTTTGGGTAAATAGAGCCTGATATGCGAAATGTAATCATGCAGGATGATCGAAGGGACAGTGAAGGTGCCTTTGTGTATTTAATAAAAACAAGCGGGTGTTTATCTATACGGAAGTCAAGAATGTAATATAATTAGAAAGAATAGACTTGAATCATTGAGTTCTTAATTAAAGGATATCCAGGAGTGTCAATATTATGTACAAGCATATAAGCACTTGCAAACACAGCAACTTGTAGTAATTGTGAACAAATGCTTTGTATGTATTAAGATATTTTCTACACCGCAAAAAACTTCGAATTCACTTCAAACAGCACAATGTCATATTGTTAGAGCGGCCATTGGGCATTAGGCGTTACAGCATATCTCACTTTGTGTACATTAAAACTGGAGCCATAGGGAATCATAAAACTCTAAAAATTCAACCATGCTGACAAAAACAACTAAATTTTGTCGTTTGCCCGTAACAGAGAACACTAATGAAATGGAACCCCGCTCTCGTTTCATTGATCTATTTCTTTTTGGTTTGCTTAATGATCCCAACCAAGCCGTTTGACGTGCTTGGCGAGATAATCTTATAGTATAGCATACACTCTACTCTGTGTTCCTCTATCGCATCTGATGAAGAATATTGACAACAATAGTAGCATAAATGATCACATTGACCACGTTAGATACAAATAGCAGCTATAGGCTCCTTCCTTTTATAAAACGCTTACGCGTCTTATTTTGATAATACTCCTTTCTTTTTAATGAAGAATTTATTTTGTTGGTGACCTTAATAGCTTTTTTTCAAATAAAAGGTTGAATACAACAGCGTCTTCTTACGATGGACGAACGAAAGAACCCTGAAGGCCTGATTTGTGTATTGCAAGGTTGCAGGGCGTCAAGTGGAGTACGACATTAGGCTTTGGAGAAGCAAATATGTATCTAGTGTGCCAAGACTTTTTACTCGTGGCTATTTTCTGCAAGAATGCGCTGGATTCACAAAGCATGGTGAGAATCCTTGGGCTGCAAGCCGTTGGTAGGACCATCGCTTTCTACGTCTTGGCCTTGCCTACAAGCGGCTTGTACGTCATGTACGAAATCACGAAAGTCCAGATATCAGATTTATTGCAAAACCTGTCGAAGCTAATAATAGACATTTCTGATCTGCTGCTTGTGCTCAATGTATACGATAGAGTATGTATTCCTTCCGCTAGCCCCAAGCCCTTCAACGACATTGCCCGACAATCAGCAGCTCCATCTTGGACCAGCTGTTTACAATGAGGCAGAGCCGAAAACGCCCTTGCCATTTAAAGAACCATCATAATTAAAGTAGTTGTTTCCTAATACAATGATTTTACATAAAACTTCTATGTGCAAAAACAATTGAAACTACGTAAAATCATTGTAAAACGGTAATCTGATTGCAATGGTTGTTTTTTTTTTCTCTCACCAAGCCTACAGAACAAGCTCCAAGTATAATTCTAATCGCATGCACAACCTAAATGCAAGCTGCTGGCCAAGCTAGGGTTTACAGACAGGTGATACTACAAAGTGGATCTGACTAGCTTTGTTGTATCGTGATAGATAATTTGAGACTTCAATCATTCGCAATAAGCCGTTTTTATATCGGTCATTGACAGGCTTTCAATGTTTTTCAATTTTTGGTGTACACTACGCGCACGAGGAAATCCACGAGAAGGTTAATGTTATAAGCACCACCTGTGATGTCGTCAACGAAACGCTTCAATGTATAGCGTTACATTAAACTTATTCAGAAAAAAACATCTTTTCATGTTTCTTGATGTAGGATAAGAAGTTATCTTTTAAGAAGAAAAAGATAAATTGTTGTTATTGCTGTATTTTAATGTTTTTATATTGTCAGTTTGATCAACAAAGAACCAAGATCAATCACGAGTAATTATGGTATATACGTATTTTATTTCAAAGGATATCTCACAGGACAGCCTTAGGTTAGGTAGATACTTTAGTAGTGTGAATTTGTACAGTGACGCCGCATGTATAGGAGAATAAGCGCCCGTGTCATGAGCCTTCTCATGGATTTCCTCGTGCGCGTAGTGTACACCAATTTTTTCTGGATGTCTTTGTCAGTTGCATTCCACTTCATTTGTTTTCTCCATAGGCGATTAAGCTCAAGCCACTGGTTTGCAGTAAAGAGGTTTCGTTGGCTATTATTATTACTGTCATTGTCTGTCAAGTCCAAAATACTGTTAAACCCGTTGCTGATTGAATTCCTGTTTGTTTGAATAGTGTTGACGATTTGCTTCCGAATCAGAACAACAAAATAATATTTGCAAACACGATCAAGTCTGATGGATTTTCGGTTGACTTTGTGTTCAACAAGAGAACGACAAAAGATGCCTCTTCGAAAACAAACATTGATTTAAAGCTTGAAGGCTTTGACTTGGAAGAAGTAAAGCAAACTTACCAGCCCATGTTTTTAGATCCTAGGAGAAAGAGTGTGTTCACTGCTGCAATTGGTTTGGGTAAAGTCAAGCACAAAATAAGACGTTGTTCAACGGCTGAATATTATGACATGACGAAATCAACAAAGCATCTTAAAAAGTTAGAAAACCTTAAGGTTGAAAAGGGTATAAAAGAAATTGAAACCAATATACCCTCTCCAAAAACATCACAATGCGCTGCTAACCTGCTCTATATTGACTATATTCTTACACATGTTGGCACCTTATTTGTTTTCTACGATTACAAAACAGCAAAAGATCGTTTCTACTTGTATCAGGGCAGACAAAGAGCAGCAGAAGAAACGGTGAATATGCTTGTTCATGGAGGTACCAAGTATAATAAGAAAAGAAAGAAGAGAAACAGGAAGAAAAAAAGAAGCAAGAAGAAAAAATTGACGGCAAATTCAAAAGAAAAAAAGAGCCAAGTTGTCAAAAACAGGTGTGTAATCAATTTTAGCTTTGACAATCAAGTCTTATCTAATTGTTGTTTTAAAGAAGCCAAAAGTGGAAGCCCGCAAAGTTCCAAATGGAGAGAGAGAAAGTGCCCCTTGTAGTCTTTGGTGCGGGAATATTTGGCAAAGACTCGATAAAGCTGAAGGGAAACAGGTGCAGTGTTACTGGTGTCTTTTGGCGAGCGTTAAAAAGAAGAGAAGCAGCTGGAGATCTAATCGCAGTTACAATTGATGAATACAAGACTTCAAAAGTTTGCAATGCTTGTAGTAACGATCCTCTTGCAAGAATGTCTGAATTGAAAGGCTGTAGTTTCCTGGTTTGTAACACCTGTAAGACATTATGGCAGCAAGATGTCAACGCTTGTAAGAATATGCTGTCCATTTCTCTCTCGATTTGAGATGGAAGAGGCCGGCCTTCCAAGTATAGAAGAAATTAAATGTTTTTTAAAATCGCCGTAATGAACACGGTTTCCCTTCTGGAATAAAGATTGTTACAGGTAAAGATGTCTGATAATTTTACTCGATTTTTACTAAATTTCTGCATGGTACGAACACTAGTTCGGTGTGACTGTAGGTAAATTAGTTGTCTTCTCCGTAGTTGGCTTTGTTTTAAAAGAGAGGAAACACAAAGAGGAACAAAAGGTATTTTTCCCTATTACGTTATAGGAAAGTTAATTATCAGTTTATATTTTAAATCAAGGAGTTGCTCACTCAAGTATTGCTAGAGGGCATGTACTTACATAATACATATTTATATGAATTTTCGATCTGTGCTCCGTATATAAGAAGCATATATTTCATATAAGTTATAATCGTATAGTGTGAACTTAAGCACAAATGCGGCAGTAAACGAAAGTAATAAAGTAGGAGATTGTTCTAGGTCGCAGAAGATGACTGAAGCTTCTTGAGATAGGAATTCTCCGCATGGATTCGCCTTATACTTTGTATCGCTCTGGTGACAGCTCGACTGGACCAGAAAGTATGACCATCGAATATGTAGCGTCAGTGACAACGCCAGATAGCTAGGATGATGCATACAACGATGGTTTGACTGATCAACCTGAAGGTCGAGATGCATTTGCAGCGATGATGTATAGGCTAACCAGCGTTAACCAGAACTGGAACAAAAAAGCCAACCAATGAAAATCAAATTGATTCTATAGTTATTTATCTACAGCCAAAACAAAAAGTCCAAAGTTTGCTTTTTAATTAGTAATTTGTCATGACATCTATTGATGATAGAGTAAAAGGAGAATATCACTTTCCTAGAGAAAGAATACCAAAGATAATGAAAGGTATATATATAACAAGGAATCACTCTAAAAAAACATAACAAAAAGAGTAGACGAAAACAAGACACCGCTTGTTATCGTAGCCTGTGGTTCTTATTCACCTATTACGTATCTCCATTTACGCATGTTTGGTAAGTCCATATTCAAAAAGGAATATAAAGATGGTCAAGGAAATAACAAAACATAAAAAAAAAAAGAAATGGCCAAGGATCATTTTCGTGAAAATAAGGAATACGAACTTGTTGCGGGGTATTATTCACCTGTATCTGATGCATATGCAAAGGAGGGCTTGGCGGAAGCTCATCATCGAGTCAACATGTGTCAGCTTGCCGTGGATAGTACCTCAGACTGGCTAATGGTAGATCCTTGGGAGTCACGGCAAAATGTTTATCAACGAACAGCTGTTGTACTAGACCATTTCGATCATGAACTAAATGAAGTTGGAAAAGGAATAAAGATGAGCTCAGGTAAATATAAAAAAAAAACAAAGCGAGAGAATTATAATATTCAATCATATTATTACAGGCGGGACAAAAAAGATAAAAATCATGCTATTGGCTGGTGGTGATTTGATCGCTTCATTTGGACATCCTGGTGTTTGGTCTTCTGAGGATGTAAGTTGATAATTTATCTGATAAACTTATTAATTATTTTATTGTAGCTTCATCATATCGTGGGTGGATATGGATGTGTGATTATTGAAAGAACAGGTACAGATGTCTATGGGTTTTTATTATCGCACGACGTGCTTTATGAACACAGGGTAAGTAAAATTGACTTATGCGTGCTTATGCATTTAATAATATATAAATATAATTTTCAAATAGAAAAATGTTGTTATAATTAAACAATTGATTCACAATGATATTAGTTCAACCAAAGTCAGGTAAAAAATCATAAATAAGAAGGAAAACACAGTGTTCATCTATTTCTTAGACTGTTTGTCAAGAGAGGCATGTCCATCAAGTATTTATTACCCAACCCAGTCATAGATTATATTGCAAAGCATAAACTGTATTTACCTTGAAAAATTTTTTTCTTTTTTTTTTTTTTTTGCTTGGGTTAGTTTGTGTACCTTTATAGACAATAAAGTGAGTTGCACAACTTAAAATACAGGCATGTATGATGAGAAAAATGAGCTCCCGTCTCTCTTTCTCTCTCTCTCTCTTTTTTCCCTCTTGTAAATATATTTATCAAATGGGCGCCAACATTTCACACAGACGAAAGCGAGTGTCATCAGTACAATCAAAGAAAGAAAAAGAATGCCCATCGATAACACATAAATCACCTACTACATCAAATTCATCAGATAGTGTCATACTCAGTGGAAGAAAATTTCATAGTGACCCTAATTCTGTTTACTGGTTACCAAGCGACGAAGAAGAGATGGATAGACTTGTTGGAGTAAGATGAACCGTGAGTTCGATGATATAATCTAACACTTTCAATAGCAACACTTTGCCTTGAAAACACTATTCGAGGGGTAAAAAAAGAGACAAAAACAATAATAGAACTTGCTGACACTCTTTGGGCAGAAATATACCCCAAGTGGCCTTTAAAATACTTGACTTTGAAAAAGGAGTAAAGATTCTCGATTTAGGATGTGGGCCAGGCACGTGGATTATGGTAGATGTCATGATGGATTTGATATTCTATTTATTAACCATATATATATAAAAAGGATATGGCCACAGAATACCCCAACAGCGAGTTTGTCGGGATAGACATGTGCGATGTATTCCCAACGAATATCAGACCAGCCAATGTTACCTTTCAAGTCTCGAATGCATTAGAGGGTTTACCCTTTGAAGACAACTCATTTGATATAGTCAACTTCAGTTTATTTATTTTAGCATTAAAGAAAGATCAATGGTTACCCCTCATGAAAGAAATTCGTCGTATCCTGAGACCAGGTGGTCTCTTTCATTCAAGAGAGGCTAGTATGCTGGTAAGACAAAAACTTCGGAACAAAAACGAGTGATATAAACATCAATTTATCCAGCTTCTTGGAAATCAGTTTGTACAATGGGCGAGTCAAGTGTGTAAGTAAATGTCGGATAATGAAGATTTGTAAACTCATTTTTGTTCTAGTTGAACAAAGGCTAATAGAACGAAACCAAGAACCTGCTATTTGTGATAAAATAAAGGACCTCATGCAAGAAGCAGGGTTTGACATTCTCTCTTGTGTAAAAAAGCATACATACCCAGGTAAAATATTGAGATAACAAGTACATATATATATTGACTCCTTCCATAAGCTCGTCCTGATCATTTGAGTCGCGAATTTTTGTGGGACATTAAACATATTTTTAAAGGATGTCAACCCTTTTTACAAGATCATTTAGGATTAACAAATGAACAATATCCAGCATTTTTACAACAACTAGTTACTGAATGTCAAAAATCACCAGAGCCTCGATGGGATATGGTTTCGACTTTGGGTAGAAAAAGTACTTAGATTATCCATTCTCTGTAGAATAAATTTGAGTGTTGCTATTTATATATGTGTGTGTTTATGTGCAGCCTTTACCTTATTAATCCTGAATTTGCTATCCAAAGTGCAAGGATGCTTAAACTTGCTCCAATAGTGAATACGGTATATATCTCCTTATGCATCAATAGTTTGTTCAGCGTTGATTGAGTAGCCTCATGTGGCTTTATCACGGCTAATTCAATCGGTTTATCATATTTTTCTAGTCTTGTTATTCGTATCACTTCGGAGACTTTTTCATTATATTTCTCTAATGTGTCAATCGACAAGTAATCCTGTTCAAACCGGTTGACGACAGAAAACTGATCTAGAGGGATCGTACTGAGAGACTGAAGCTCATATACACCATACCGAGCCTCAAGTGCATGTGCTTGTTCGCACACAGCATCGACATCTGTATCAGAAGCAAGATTTGTCAAGAAACTGTGGACCGTGCTTGTGTCACAGGGAAGGGCGAGTACCTGCTTGCGTTTGGATAACACTGTTGCCGTGGCAACATAAACCGGCATGAGTGGATTGGAGGATAAAATGAGGTCAAAGAGTCGAGTTATCTTTTCAAGATCGCTTAAATCATGACTATACCAGGTTATGACCCATGAGAGAGCATAGTAAGGTAAGACACCTGCCCTATGGATTCGAATTAATTCACATGTGCTTTTCTGGAATATATGTTTGTCTTACTCCATTATAAATTCGTATAACTCATTATCCTCTAATCGAATGAGGCTATCAATCATTGTCAACTGCTTCATCACAGGATCCAAGGTGGCAAACATGGCATCTCTCAGATAAAACAGAGCTACACGCTCCATTAGTTGACATGCGTATTTCTCACCAAATAAAAGTAAAAATACAGAACAGATATCATGGAATCCCTATCATCCCAATTCAATAAAAAATCGAATGAGTTTTTCCCGTCTTTTTTTTTTTTTCTTACCTGATAATAATGTAATGACGGGTAAGATCGTAAAACGTGAATGATCACTCGGTAAAGTTGGCCCTGTAGCTTTTCTTTCTCCTGATCGTCTACGTCTATCACATGCTTAGTTTATAAAGACATTCATTGATTTCTGCAGTGTGTATATACTTTTTGGGTATGCGTTGAAGGATCGTGCGACGTCTAGTTTGACTTGTTCTTCATCCTTATGCGGTACTTTTTAAAAAAGACATTAAGTATCAAATACACAACGAAAAGCTGCTTACTATTTAAAGAACCCTCTCTCTTGACTTTTCTTTCGGAATAATGTAATAAAAAGGGCCTAAATAACATATATATACATAAAACATATATATATATATATATATATACATAGACACTTACCACACTCTTCTTCTCACTGGGTCACTCACAAACCCAGATTGTCTTCCAATTTCTCTGAGCAATCCATAATCCTTCATGCTCAAAGCTTGGTTAATTTTGAAAATATCCTTAAATTCCTCATTTTCATAAGCTGCAATCTTGTCTTGTCTCTTTTTCACTTGCTTTCGTCTATTCTTTTGTTTTCGTTTCATCTAATGAATTGAAAAAAGAAAGGGTTTAAACTCCCTCACGTGTCCTGTCTTTTTTTTTTCCTATTTCTTTTGTCCCATAATGCTATTGTTGTTACAGACATGGGCATTGTTATTATGCAGCATTAGTGTCATTCAAGGACAGCTACTAGAGAATGAACAATACGATGAGAACCTTACATTTCGCCATTTGCCTGATGGTAAACTGCTGGCTCACTTTGAATTCGAAACAAAAATGAATGCATCTTTGCCACGTAAAGCGACTATTTTTTAATTGATCTTTACGCCCCTTTGATTGAACATTTGAATAGTGTCAGACTATGGATTATACCCAAAGGCTATCGGCCAAGTCCTTGATTCCCATACAGTGAGTGAGATGCATCTCTCGTTCACTCAGGGACGTTGGAATTATGAAGAATGGGGATACCCACCTACGCTATCTTCAGGAACAGGAGTGGAACTTTGGGCATGGATCAAAGACAATGGAGAGTAAGTGGAGCTAGAAAAATCAGACATGATCAAGTGTTCACTTTATGCAGTGTAGATACCAAATGGAAGGCGCTGGCCAACACATTATCAGGCTTATTTTGTGCGTCACTCAATTTCATAGACGAAACCATGACAACTGAACCCAGACTCAGTTTTCAGTCTAGTCAACATGATCAAAAGAACGAACAGTTACGGTATGGATCATTGCCTCATGAAAATGTCTGTACAGAGAATTTGACACCTTGGATCAAGCTGTTGCCCTGTAAAGCAAAGGTAAGGTATCACATTGGCAAATGGTCCTGTATACTAACCTAATTTAGTCTGGCATGGCTGTCTTACTTAATCCTCACAAGCTATACAATTCAAATTTTCACACCATGGCCATTCATGCAACTTCTATTTGCTTAGTAAGCACTTTTCTTGATTAGGTAAACACATCTAATGGACACATAGGATGAATCATGCAGTGAGCAAAGATTGGAGTTGGTTCAAACAATTACTTCCGTCATGGATCCCGTAAGAGAAACGGGCCGTCGGGATTGGTCATTAACGAGCATCTTTGATCGTCAATTGAACAAGGCTTGTCCACTCGCCAAAGAAAGTAGAGTGGTAGTAGATGTAGCCAATGCGGGCGAGGGGTATGACTCAAGGCCCCAGCCATACGTGAATGGTACCATGATGAGCTATGACTTGTCTCAGGCGCCTTTAGATATTGGTATGACGTGGCATCATGAACGTGCATTTGAATATCGTAAGTTCCCTCTTTTTCTTTCAATGATTAATGGTTAACATGTATGCAGCACTTGAGCCTAAAAGACCAGTGATATATGCTCAGCGTTATTTTACTGGCTATGGGCAAGAAAGAGGAGGATTGAAGATTACGATGTATAACAGACATAAAACGGAGTCTGTTCCAGTCATCTACTATGATTCAATACCATGGTACCTTAAACTCTATATGCATACATTCAAAGTAAACGTCATAGGCAAGGATGATCATGATGTGGTAAAACAAATGTATTATCAACCTGCCATTGACAGAGGAAGGCCCAGTACGCTTGAATATGAGTTATTACTACCACCAGATTCGATTGTTACCATGTCTCTTGATTTCGACAAGGTGTTTTTAAAGTATACAGAACATAGACCAGATGCTAATAGAGGATTTGATATTGGGTAATAATAGAAATAAAATGTATAAAACCTATTAACACTCTCCTTTAGCTCTGCCGTCTTGAGCACATGGGACTCGGAACAGAATTTGATGTAAGTTGCCCATCACATTTAGTTGAAATTTGTATTGATTTATTTGTAGGCGAATCTATACGGATACACTCTTGGTCGTACTGCCTACACCAGATTTTAGTATGCCTTATAATGTGATTACGCTCACTTGTACGGTCATTGCTCTCTTCTTTGGATCCGTCTTTAACTTACTCATACGTAATTTTACACCTGTGTAACTTCGGGTTCCAACGGTAATGTGGGGTAAAAAATTAAGAGCGAATCACATGTAAAGTTTGAATGTCAATGACTCAACATTTTTTAAAAACTGCCACACACACATCTTTACTTTCTCATTTTTTTTTTCTTTATTCTTTTTCTTCTTTCCTTATTAAAAAAATGCTTCCACTGTCGCCACAACTTTATGATAAAATAAAATACTTTGCCAAGTTTCCTCAAACAGGTGTCTCCCTTCGTCAAATGGTCATGTTTGGTATGCGCACTTTAACTATTTTTAAACTTTTCTCTGATCAATATATAGGACAGAAACCATCAAAGGCAACATTATTTAAGGCTAGTCAGTTCTTACATGGTAATGATATTCAAGTATAAAGAAATGAAAAGCTAATGATCGAATATAGAGGAGTTACCTATTCGATTAGCACACCGTGTGAAAGAACTGGACGAGCTACCAAGGAACTTGAGTAAGATGCCTTCTATCATCAAAGTCAAACACTGGTATGCACAGTCCTTTCAAGACCTTATCGAACTAAAGACACCACAGATATCCAACGAGATGAAGGAACAGCTATACTCAAAAATAGAAGAATTACCCCCTAGTATTCCCAACCCATCTTTGGCCAACGTGATTCAACCACAATCTAGTCTGCACCGGGCCATGCCTAGTGGACACAGGTAATTTTTTTATTTTTTATAAAGAATACAGTACTCAAAGTACTCTAGATATTATAGTAATGCATATGATGTGGAATGTTCACCAGAGATTATAGAATATACCGACCAATTTGTAAAGACAATTGAACGAGTCAAGAGAAGACATGACCCTGTTGTGACAACAATGGCACAGGGTATATTGGAATATAAGGAGCATTTGAATTCACCCTTGATTGACACAGAAGTACAGAGATTCCTTGATCGATTTTACATGTCACGTATTGGCATTCGTATGCTGATAGTTGATAAGACAAGCGAGCTTAGGTCAACACGTTGCACTTTATCGAGGACCATCAAGAAAGAATTATGTGGGTGTGATATGTACAAAGACCAATATACGTGAAGTCGCGCAGGACGCGATCGATAATGCGAAATTCATATGTGAGGACCATTACGGTTTGTTCAAGGCACCCGAAGTCCATATGTTTTGCCCAGGTGATATCGAGTTTATGTATGTGCCGTCTCATTTGAACCATATGTTATTTGAATTGCTCAAGAACTCACTTCGTGCTGTTGTGGAGCGATACGGGCCAGATTATGAGGATGAGTACCCACCGATCAAATTGGTGATTGCACATGGTAAAGAAGATATCACTATCAAGATTTCGGATGAAGGCGGAGGTATTCCTCGTTCGGGAATTCCACTTGTTTGGACTTATATGGTAATCGCTAAAGTAAAATGATGAAAGTGTACGTGTGATGCTAATATATTATTTTAGTATACGACGGCTCAAGCTCAGGAATTAGAGCCAGGATTTAATCAAAGTGATTTTAAGGCGCCCATGGCAGGATTTGGCTATGGTTTACCTATTTCAAGACTGGTAAAAAAAAAAAACATGCAATGGTCTATGACAATGACTTATATTATTTATATAGTATGCAAGGTATTTTGGCGGTGATTTGAAATTGATTTCTATGGAAGGGTAAAGAAAAGACTATAGAAATATGATAATCAGACTTATTTTTGAATTAGTTATGGAACAGATGTATATTTGCACCTGAATAGATTATCCAATAGCGACGAACCCTTAATGTAAATATTTTACAATTAAAAAAGCAATAAAAAAAGGTAGATAATTTATGAGTATTTGCCCTGCTTTTTGGATGGCCTTCCTATGATGTAGATACCATAACTTTGACGAACAACCCAATCACACTGTCCAAGAAGTAGAAGATCAAATGGATGAACCTATTGATGCTGTAGTATAGATACTTGCACTTTTTTTCTTTTAAATAAACCATACCCCCATACTCAAGTCTATTCGACTGTGAAGAATTTTCACTTATTTGAAAGAAATTGAAGGATTGATTACAATCGTAAATGATTAGAATAAAATCTCTACTTTGATTTTTAATATCAACATCATGTACTATTCCTATAAAACGACAAAAGTATCTCACTTTGACCCCCAACACATAGAGATTAGAGAACAGTGACAGTTCATATTTGACACTCGGATGGGGAGTGAGCGCTATTTTCAAGATAACAACAGCAGTGAACTGGATCATACGATATTACTCTAACTTGACAGCTGACATTCATTCAAGCACATTTATCATTTTTCGTATCTATAATATATCAAGCCTTTTTGACTTTATCAATGAATGGTTCCTTATAAGCTTCTGAGCCCACCTCTCTTCTTTATGACTATCTTATAGTCACATTCTATAATAAGATTATGCTTTTTACGTTTGCTCAAACCTATTCATTAATAAACTTGAAATTCAGTAAAGATTGTGTGATTTGTCTAATTATGCATCATCTGCTTTAATCTTATAATAAGTCCACATGTAACATGATCACTTCTCCCTATTTGCAATAGTTTGAAATAACACGGGTAATTAGCAATTAATTTGCTTTTTTCGGTAAAATGAAAAATCTCAGCTCACCAATCGCAATTATATAAAAGGGAAAACACGCCTGTCAGCAAATGAATAAGATTTAATAAAGCACGATCAAGTTGATTAACAACAATATTAATCCTATTTTTTATCCCATCTTTCGTTGCTCCTTCGTTCATTTTCGGTGTTAATGAACATTAAATGACACTGATGCATTGTCTAATAAATAGGCGGTAGATCAAACCTATTCTTTTTGTGTTTTTAGTAAATTATCAAACACAAGCCCATGAGGCTTGTTGTGGACATCTATGTGTCTTTTTTTATATTTCAAAATCAACTTGGTTTGCATATTATCTCTTGGAAAAGGGAATAAGCATCACGTGAGTAAGAATAAACAAAAGAAAAGAAAAAGCAAATAAAAGCAAGTAAAGATTTCCATTTTTGTTATTTTGAGCCACAGATTCAAGAAAGGGAATAATATAAGAAGATTACAAAAAAAAAAACGGAGGGAACAATAAGAAGTTCAGTGACATTTTTTTACACGAAAAATATAAATCAATAAGAATGGATGTTCAAATTAGGCAATGACTAGAGGGGGCTCAGGCATTTGCGATCGATCCTAAAATGTACTATGTACCACTCACATTTTCATAAAAGTCTATTTTATAAATAAATGACTGACTACTTATGTCATTTCCACATAGGAAACATAGAGAGTTTACTATTCTTGTCATGTGACGACAGACTATAGTATGAAATGGTCATTGGCACTTTATAGTTACTGTACAAAAAAATATATATGCAAAAAATTGTAGCTAAAATTGGCCATGCTTGGCACACAAGGTAGGACAGTGCAACAATTGAGAATATTTCCTTTTTTAAAATGACAACTTGCAGTCAAACCTAGAACAGTAGAGCGGTTTTAATGAAAAAAGTTACGAAGATCCTTTTTTTTCTCGTAATTATGACTGATGAACCTGTTGCTTAGCAATAAACTGCATGTTACTTTTTTATATTATAGTAATTATGATTATATACACCTAAACCATTGTTGTCATACACGTGGATCAGCATATATTCCCTCCCCCCCCAATGATCTCTGCCCATCGTCCCCCATCCTCTCTCTCTCTACTTCTATTTCCTTTTGCCTCTCTCTCTTTTTTTCTATTTTCTCCTTTTATTTCTTTCCTGTTACACGCTTTTATAATAAATGAACCTATTTGCACGTCATTGAATGGTATTGAAATAAACACTAAACGTATTCATAGATAAAAAGAAAAACAATAAAGAAGGGGAGTGAATGGGGGCTTTTCATTGTGGGCGTGCTTGGGAAATTTAGTTAATATATCAATGATCGGTTGTAGATCGAAGGATTAAATGGGGTATGGAGATTTCGATGCCCTTTTCATTGAGCAAAAAGGGTGCCCGTTGTTACTTTTTTGGTCCTTCTGACCATTCAATGACCGTCTTCCTTGCGAATCCTTTCCTTTACGACAATTCCTCATCCTGTATTGCTAAAAGATTGACTCCGAATTTTTGTTATATTAAATTAAACTTTTTTTACAAAAAATATATAAAAGTCATCCCTTTGTCCATTCTTCTTCTTTTTTCTTTCGAGTCTTTTTTCTTATGAATCAAAATACTGAAAGAAAGAAATCAACATCTCCCAGTATTCAACAGCCATCTCCATTATCTACAGAATCACCTTCAGCCCGCCAAAGGGCTCCTTCTTATCCGAACGGGATCACTTTTTCACCCACACTGACTGAAAGGTATATTTACAAGTATTCATTTGTATTTTTCTTATACCTTCATTATAGTCAGCACAAGTACTTGACCTATCTGGAGAAAAGATCAGCTCACAATGCCTTGGAAAGACAACGAAGGGAAGGCCTGAACTCAAAGTTTCAGGAACTAGCCCATGTGCTGCCTTCATTACAACAAGTGAAAAGACCAAGTAAAAGTATGATTGTTGCTAAATCACTCGAATTTGGTAAATACGCACACTCATCTCTCCTCTCTTTTCCAACCTTCCTCCTCACTCGACTCCCCCTTTTTTTTCCTTGTAGTATCGACAGCGACAAAAAGAGAATCCGAATATCGAGATGAATTACTTGCCCTTCGTAAAGAGAATGCCCAGCTCCTGAGACAGGCAAGTCTTTGCAAAAAGCGTCGAAAGGAAGCCATTGATCAGTCAAGGCAATCCGATGCTAAGCAATCCGTTGATTCCGTTCTAACACCCATCATCAAATCAAAAAGTTCAGCTGGTAAATTAAAGCCTCAGATACGTGAGCCTTCTTCTTCAGCAACGCCACCACCCTCTCCATCTCACCTGACTAAACGAAAGAGATCAACAGACGAGTCAGTACGGGAAGATCAAGAACCGGACAAAAAGAAACACAAAGTACAAGTGTCCTGTCATGCTGGCGATACAAGTAGACGATCGTCTGCGTCTTCTAGTGCAACTGCTCCTACAACCACGCAACGATATAATCAATTCCGCATGATCCACAATTCATATTCGCCTATCATGACGGATTTTTCACAAAACTTGGTATATACTTCGTCACCTCCAGAGCCTCACGTTGTACCACTGAATGCAAACTCGCTTGTGTCCTCAATACCAGCTGTCAGAACACCTGTTGTTAATATAGGCAATCAACCAGAACAACAACAACAACAACAACAACAACAAATGCAACCCATATATGACGTTAATCTCTTTGAGATTTTTTCTCCAATTATGCAAGATGCTTCTTTTGATGGTAAGCGATACGGATGATGTTATTTCATACTCATTGTTTGAGCATGGTCATAGATTTACCCTATCCTTGGGAATACTAAACACACAATATATTTAATACTAGCTATACCCCCTTCCATGTTTTTTTAAGACCAATCTTTTTTTATGCAAACTATAGTGTATATGTCCTTACAAGGCATGGTCTTTTGTTTGGTCTGAATTTGTTCTTTTTATATTGAAAAAGGGAAAATATATATATAATAATGTAAATATTCTTTTATTATTTATTTTCAATGGCTTTATATGTTTTGCTTTTTTTTTTGCTTTTGCTTATGTCTACGCTTTATTTTATTTTATTTTTTTGTTTATAAACAATAAACTATAAGGACACACTTCATGTGAATAGATATGGTAAACATAGCTCATTCCATGTTTTGCTCGTGTTATTTTCCTTTTCTAGTAACTAATGCTTCTTTCCCTCTATCTCTCTCTCTAGTTCTCCCTTTACAGAACAATAAGGGTCTGTTTGCTTAATTATTTCCTAATCTTACCGCGCGCGTCCTTTTTTAGGACGTTGTTATTACTTCCTGATGATCATAGAATATACGTCATTTAAGGTTGGAAAGCCTTTACGGAATTCATTTAGACTGGAGCATTCATACAATAATGAAAAAAAAAAAGAGTTTAGTCTTTTTTCATTTTTTTGTTTTTAGCTGCCATGACGCTCTTTCCATAACTATTTAGTAGCATATAGATGCAGGGCATTGAATGCACAAAGAGCCCCTCTTGTGCCTTTACACAAAACGTCACGTTGTAAGCAAGAGATTATTTCAGTGCAATGGTGTGTTCCTTTTCGCAGGTTGAACAAGATTTTATCTCTTTAGCAAAATGCTAAACTAACGCTTGGTAGGCCCGCCTCAAGGAACATTGACTACAAAAAGGAAAAAGGGTGTAGATATGAGATGAACTGAATGATGATGGTATTTGTAATATCTGCAAACAATAAGCGCTGCGAGTTTGTCCTATTAACTTATACACACATACACTAGGCATAAGGTCTCAACAGGGTCCGCTACTTTATATACCAGGTCTATGCTCTTTGTCCGTACTACTTTTAAGATAAGCTTTTCAGCCATATGCATCTAATGTCAACAGTTTAGGAAAGTATTTATTAAATGCAGTCTTTAAAGTAATCTTCAACACTTTTCATTAGTGAGCATACGCATAAAAGAAAATGATATAATCATGCTTGATATGTTGTCAGCAAACAAATAATGTCAATAGTGACAAGTTCAATAGCCTTCAACCAGTAATATAAAGGAATTGACAATCATCTGCATGCATTCATCATATTACACTTTGTAATAACTTGGCTTAAACATAGATACAGAAAGGTGGACAAAAAAGGAAATTGTGTATTTGATTGACAGATCTGTACTCTTTTAGGAACATGGGATCTTATTTGCGCGGTTATTAAATCCCTCCTTTTTTTTCTTGGCTTCATGTTGAAAGAAAGCGTTTGTTTGATGATCGACGTGGGACCTTCTTTTTGTGCCTTGTGACTCGATAATATTGATAAAACAAAATAACAAATAATAAAATAAAAAAAGATGAACAAACTCTTTATTGGAGTTGTTTCAGAAAACCAAGAATGGCTGAACTATATATTTACCCCTAACTTATCAGTATGACTTTACAGATGGTTACAGACTAGAATGTTTATTTTTAAGTCATTATTTTCAAAAAAGAATGAAATGTTCTATCGTAAACGATTTACTCTTGTTAATTATCGTTCATATGCGCAAAAAACTTGATTTTCATTCATCAACTTTGTCAAGTCAGAACTGGTTTTAAAAGCTTATATTTGCCTCCTTTTTTTAGATGCTTATTTTAATCAAGGATGGCGTTAAACTAGTTTTTTTTTTTTTTTTTTGAACCTATCGATAAACGATGTCAGATCTTTTAGTTAAGGTTGGATTGCTACATGTGGAACATAACATATGCTCCCTTGTCGCATCAAGTATATCGGTTCCTGTCACTTTTATTTAATAATTGAAGAAATTTGTTATAAGGAATATATAAATTGAGCGACTAGGCATATTCAAGAATCATGATATATCTGTTTTTTTTTTGTTTCCATCTCAAGTACATACAAGAGGTTACATTCATGGATACACATAATGACAGATTGCATAACTTTAGTTCGTACTACGCTTACACAACCAGTCAAACACCTCACGGGAATACAAACCAAACAAGCAAATGACATCGTGATTCAATTGTGTTTTAATCTCTTGATAATAAGAAAGAGAGAGAGAGAGAGAGAAAAGGGGAATAATAAATGGAATAAAAATAAAAATAAATATAAAAATATGAGTTTTATACAAAGCGTGTTCTTTTTGTTACTCTTCTTGAAGGGTGCCTAATTCATTACTACGACGAATGGATGGAGTAGAAGAGCCTGATGAATGGCTTTTTCTTGAATTATCCGCACTAGAATCCTCTTCACTACTGCTAAACACTGCACTATCATTATGAATCACAAGTTGTGGCGTTGTATCTGATTCCTTTGGCCCCCATCCGATGACGCTCATACGACGCAGCGCGCGTGCCCAGCCACTCGTACCCTGGCCTCCGCTTGTTGTTGTCGAAGCTGACCTCTCGGGCTGTGGTCCAGTGGAAGGAGAAGACATGATGGAAGAATGTCTTCGCTTTTCATCTCCATCCTGTGTGGATACTGTGCTGGGAACCGCTGGTTTACTGGCTGGCTTGGACCCCCAATAAGAGATCGTACGACGACGTTGACGGTTGGCTGTTGTCTTTGTGTCGTTGCTGGGTGTTGTGGGTTTGGGTGTTTCTAAAACTATCGGTTTCTTTTCTTCCTTTTTAGGTTGATCGATACTCAACACATCCTCCAACTGTTTATTATCAATGATTCTCATAAGAATCTTGTTGATGTATAATTGAAGTGCTCGATTTGTTTCCTGAAGTAGTTTGTTCTCTTCAGACAATTCTAATAGAAAGAGAATTTTGTGAGTCTATTGTTGTCTATATAAGCATCTTTGTTCTTTTACCGTTTTGATTCCATTCAGACGCCATGTTTAACTCGGCTGCTAGATTAAGGCCATTGGAGGTGTTACTGTTTGAGTTTTGCTTTTGGTCTGTAGCATCTGGTTTCTACGTGTTAAAAAAGTGAGTGACCACATAATACTTGTCTTGTTATTTCTTACCTGCATGATAGGATTCATCATAAACTCACCAGTCATGGTTTTTTCGTGTAACAAGATTTGATAACTTTCATTGTCTTCCATCAACGAACGATTGACCTGCTTGACATTGGCTATTTCATGCTCGAGATGCTCAATCTTGAGAGACTGATTCTGAACCTGATTTTTATGCTCCTGCAGCATCGTCTTTTGTTTCTCAAGTTCTATCTTGAGGTCAGCAATCAGCTTATCCTGTGCCTTGATTGTCCTTTGAGCAATTTTTGCTTCTCGGGCATAAGAAGGGGAAGCCAGTTTAGGTGCGCTCAAGGTATTCGCTGACTCGCTGTTTTCCTTATTCTCTTCGATATCACCCAACCCAAACGGACTAAGCGTCACGCTTCGCCTTCTCGGTGTTCGCGGTGTTCGTGGTTCAGCAATACTGAGTGCTCTTATCTGATTGTAAAGGTCTGCTTCTCTTTGTTGCCAATTGAGCCTATCTTTTTCAAATTCTTGCAACTATTGATTGTTTATAAATAAATAAAAAATAGGTGTCATACAATGTGTTACCTCCACCGTCATCTTCTTTTCCATGTCTCGTTTGGCTTTTGAAAGTTGTTGAATTTCTTTCTTCAAATTTGATATCTCTTGATCTTGGTTGTATATTTGAGTCTCGAGTCTTGCTTGAATGTTGCTGAAATTGGAATTATCAAGCTGCATGGCAGTAATTTTCTATTTTGGCAACATTTAAAAATAATGCATTTTTTGTGTTGTATATTTTTTTTTTTTTTTCTGTACTTGTCTTAAATAATCATTATCGTTACTTAATGCACTCTGTCGCTTGGTGTGTTGGTCAATATCCATTCGAAGCTATATTGGCATGGAGTTAGTCACGTTCATATATTCGTTCTCTTACTTACTTCATTATTCAGTTCCTGATTCTGCTTGATTTGCTCCTGTAAGGTCTCAATCATAAGCTTCAGCTGCTCTTCATCTGTCGACATTCTTATAGACATACACTATGAATCAAAAGAAGAAGAGGGAAAAAAGAGAAAATAAGGAAAAGAAAGGGGCAAAAAAAAAAGAAGAAAGGAGAAGAAAGAGAGAGAGAGAGAGAAAGAACAAAGAGTAAGAAGGAAAGAGAGAGAGGGGATTTGTTTAATATAAAAAAATTTACAAGTGCCATTGTGCTACTTTGCAGCACGTTGTCTTGTGCCAAGTTGAACTAGTGAAATCACAGGCATATGTTGCTCTTGTTATATAAATACATATCAAGATATATGTTATTAAGAGTTTTAAAATATAAGAGAATATGAAAAGAAACGAGATTCCATAAGATTCTTACATAAGCATCAACTGGCCTCAACTTCATCTACATAACCACTAGAGAAAGAGCGAGTGAGAGAGTGAGAGATCCCAGCCCGAACTCCGATCCAAAAAAATAGCAAAGTGACTAGGATGATTACCCCACATCATCTTCTTTTTTATACTTTTTTTTTTTAAAAAAAAAATAACAATGGCCCACTTTTCACACTTGCTTGCTACCAACTACAAGACATTAATTAGTCAATATCTCGAAGAAGATGTTCCTTCCTTTGATTATGGTGGTTATGTTGTAGGAGAAGATGATCAAGTAGCTGTTCTTTATATGAAAGCAGAGGGTGTTATTGCCGGTGTTCCCTTTTTTGATGAAGTGTTTAGACAGCTTGATTGCAGGTAATGATGGATTAAAAAGATTGAAATGTATACAAATACTTTAATAGAGTAGAGTGGCTCATGCAAGAAGGTGAATATGTGAAGCCTGAAAGTAAACTTGCTGTTGCCAAGGTTTATGGTAAGGCGCGCAATATACTGCTGGGTGAGCGTACAGCATTAAATATCCTTTGTCGATGCAGTGGTATTGCCCTTAGGTAAGAATAAAGTGTTGATTGGGTATCCAAAGTAGGTCAATAACATTTTAAATAGAGCACGCAAGGTTCGTGAACTGCAAGACAGCTTAGGATTCAAGGGCACCATTGCTGCCACTCGCAAGACTACACCAGGTAATATAAAGAAGCTTTGGGTCAAGGCGATAAGGTTAACTCGTTTTTTAACTAGGCTTCAGACTCGTCGAAAAGTACGGTGTGCTCGTAGGAGGATTAGACACCCATCGTATGGACCTTTCATCCATGGTCATGCTTAAAGACAATCACATCTGGAGCTCAGGATCTATCACAAAGGCTGTTCACAATGCTCGTAAGGTATGTGGATTCGCATTAAAGATCGAAGTCGAGTGTCAAAGTGAACAAGAAGCAGATGAAGCAATTGCAGCTGGTGCTGATATTGTCATGCTCGATAACTTCACCCCAGAAGGGCTAAAGATTGCATCCAAGAGTATTAAGGAACGTTGGGCTGCAAAGAACAAGACACACTTTTTAATCGAAAGCAGCGGTGGTATCACCTATGAGACGTGTGCACAATACTTTTGTCCAGGTAAAGAAACGATATGTGGTCTATATATACGTGTTGGGCCTGGCTTACATTTTTAATATAGATATTGATATCCTTAGCATGAGCACAATCACTCAAGGCGTTCCTCATGTTGACTTTTCTCTCAAAATTGATAAAAAGCATTAAAGAGTCATCATCCAATAAGATTGTCGATTTTTTTTCTTTTTTCTTTTTTTTTTTTTCTTTTGCGAAACATGCTTATAAAGAAGGCGTACTATGATCAGCTAGCCAATGTGCCATGGACCTTGATTGATCATACATACTGTATCAAATATCTATTTAAAGAAGATTATTACTTGATGCTTGTGAGTGACCTGCGACTTGTCTGGTTTGAAGTGGGAACGTTTGAGCATATACAAATGGGTGCCAAAAAGAGCCATAACATTGTTATTGAAGAAAGACAGGAAGTAGTCATACTGTTGCATCGCCTCAAGAATATGATAATAAAACGATTGAAATCATGCGTCGTAAAGAACAGTGATAATAAAGAAGTGGTAAAGACAAGTGTATTTACTCCTACGGTAGCTCATGATATGCCATATAGCTAGAGATTCATTGCAGGGAAATTAAAGACGAAAAACAGCTAAATGTGCTTTCTTGGGTATTTTCGTGCGAATTGGTTGACCAAATATCCGCCCGGTCAGATAAGTTGACAGGGCCTGATGTCATTTACAGAGAGTTTACAACACCGAGCTTATCCATTGTGAATCACTGTGTTCAAGAAAGAATACCGGCTTGTGATTTTAAAAAGGTAACAAATAAATCATAGTACTGCCAGGAAACCTAATCCCAACGTTGGACAATAAAGAATTTAAAACTTGCTCCGGATACGTTGGAATACTTTTCAATGGTAAATAGATTCGGAAATGAAGATCAGCAGCAACCGCATGATGTTATAAAGGAAGAGGAAATAGCTGTACAAGATAAAGAGGAACCTGAGGAAGTACAGGTAAGCCACACAGTGGTTAACTTTAATTATCTTAACCTTTTTTTTTTTGTAGAGTCGGAAAGAAATTGAGGAAAGACGTCGACGTGAACTAGAAGCATTTCTTCAAGAGAAGAAGCCAGCAAAGAGAAAGAGAAGATTATTGTGATTTTATTTGAAAATAATCTTGTCCTGACTGATAAAAAACCGAGTTATAACCTTCTTCATGATAATAACTTGGTGATGGTGGTATGTAAACTCCAAAGTCATTTACTGTGGATAACTTGATGGCACTTGGTGTTTCTTTTTCACCATTTCTTGACGTTGAGCCTGAGAGACGCTTTATCATTTTATCTAATTTATAAGTCCATTCTGGCATGTTGAAACGAGAAGAAGAGAAAAGGTGTGTAAATAAAAAATTTCACATAACCAAGTTCTCTCTTTTCTGCGCTTTAGCGTTTGTTGTACAGTTGTACAATTCATTTTGATTATCAGATCAAAAAGAGTGTTTTAACTTGATAATGCATTGGCAGCCTTCAAACCCAGACTAAAAGAAAGAAAAGGTGATAGCCCATGACGTAAACTAGAGGGTAGTTGTCATGGCAACATGCATTTCGAAAGTAAAAAGATCATTTCAACTGCTTTGTTTATGTAATACGATCCTCCCTTGAGATGCATCACAAGCCTTTTGCACATCTCGGTTACTTTTTTGAGCTGAGTGCCAATTAAGGTTGAAACGAGAGGACTAACCTTTCCTGCCGATAAGTCTGATGCACACACGTAATAGCATACTGTAGGCATCACAGCATCATTCTACGGCCCTGTGCAGATATACAGAGGGCTTTTCATAAGCATAGGCATTCTTATACTCCCAGACATTGATTACCAAAATGAGTCGCGCGCCTTTCCTTTATAGGTAATGCCATAAACAATCTTAACACAGCTGCTCATCACTGTACACAGTGATTCCTAAAAGAGAGTCTGTGGGTATACAATCGTTCCAACACCAAAGGGCGGCCAATAAAAAATTCCAATCGTCGGGGGTTCAAAAATCAATGGGCGGTTTTTATTTTCTTGAAGTGCGGTAACCATTTTCTCAAAGTGTGGTTTTAATTTTACTCAAAGGGCGGGTAAATATTTTCTTTTAGTTCGTCTAGATACTTTGTTGAATTGGTTCTCCATTTAAGCACCTTTTGAAAATATCCACAGAGTGCTGAACAATTGCTTGGAGGTATGTGGGAGGAACAGGGCTGCAAGCTTCAGTAATTCTTGTAACCAAATTACCAGTTCCTTCAAACTGGCTACGCTTGGCTTTATTCTTAACAGTCGTCCAAAAGCTTTTTTCAGACTTAAATCAGTTTACCGTATTTTGCGTTTGAAAATACAAAAATTAAGAGATAAAAAATAGTGTGTATACTCTTTTAAACTTCATGTTGCTTTAGCTGTATAACGTAGCCATTGTTTTTCTTGCCAAGCTTCGATGTCGCTTTTCTATATATTGCTTCATTTCACTGTGAATAGGTTTCCATTGTTGGACTACCTTTTCAACCTCTTCAACATTCCTGTCAGTTCTATCGATAGTTGCGGCAGTTGCATCTAGATTCTCCATTTTACCAGTTGTATTATGCTCAGACTCAGTTTATCTCGGTTTAGGCTTGCTCTCTTTTTTTTATGATGATGCTTGTTGTGAGCTTTCTATTCAAGAAATAAATGCCTTCCTCTCTTGCTCGTAAGCATAATCTTTAATCTGAGCGACCTCCTTACTCAAACCAAGCGAATTTGGGAAAGAGGACAGATTTTTCCCTCGTGCTCTAGAAGAAGAAATTTTGTTCTCTAGAAAATTTAGTTTGATGGCAATGCTACAGAGCTTCATCTAATTCCTTAAGAGTGACTTGATGATTAAATTGAAAGCTTTCCAAGCTCAATTGCAAACGAGTTGCTTCTTTGTTAGTACATGAGTCTGTTCCATCAAATTCAAAACAACAACAGAAGAAGGGATTTCCATTTCATCAGCAAAGACAAATTTGAATAGTGTAGGACTAGGCTTTGTTTGATCTTGTAAAGAAATCTCTTCGTGCTTATACAAGCCATTTCCATTCAAGCTACCTATAGCACTGCTTATACTAATTTGATGTTTTCTTTTTGTAGAACCAGCTTTCTACTTGGGAAAGTCATGCACTTTTTCCAGATCAAATTGACTTCTAATTCTTTCTATATCGATTCTTCGGTATTAGTATCTGAAGTAATTTTAGACGATCTTTTCAAAGAATTTTATATTCTTTGTGCTCTTAACAGCCTGCTTTCGCTATGATAAGTATTTGATGTTTCATCGAGTTGTGCTTGATAGTTTACTCCAAAATAAAAGAATATGACTTCAAATGAAGAGCAAGGTGAAGACGGTAGTAGAACAGACGAAAGTCGAAGAAGATAATGAGAAAGAAAAGTTTGAGTAACGGAAGCTTGAAGAAGAAAGTGCTGACAAAAGCGATTGAAACGTTTTAAGTATCTTTCTTTTAAAAAGCAAACACTAAAGATAAGCTAGACAGGGAGCACAAAATATCACCTGCTCACAATGTTTGAAATCACTGGATTACTGTATTATTACGTTTCGATAACTCAAAAGAGTCTTAATGGTCAACCTCTCTTCGAATGAACTTCATCAACTCCCTATAATTCTAGATGATTCTTCAACTTGCAGTCTTTTTATCCACTGTACCCAAAAGGGCCATTTTTGTTACCCTCCGATAGGCTGATTGAGCGGACATTTTAGATCTTTTAAAGGTGTCATGAAAGTGTGCTGATATTTTTGAAAAGTACATCTTTTTTTCTTTTTCTTTATAATAATAATGGCACGTCAAATCGCTTTTGCTATTGATCCTTTATCGGAAGAATCTAAAAAGACAATTCAGTGGTCAAAGGATAATTTTTTAAGACCGGACGACGAAATTCATGCCATCATGGTGCTTGTCATGGATGCTGAGTTTATTGATCAAGGTAAATAAAAGAAAGGAAAGAAAAAGATTGACCAGTTAATCACTGGATAGAAGATCCAATAGAGTTACCATCTTCAGATACATTTAAAGAGATAGAGCAAGAGGTTAGATAGATATAAAAAAATGATAATAAATAAGCTCATTCATTTTAGGTAACAGCAGAAAAGGTGAACGCTATGAATAAAATAGTCCAAGACTTGCAAGCATCAGGATACCGTGTCATTACCCATATATTTAAGACAGATTCTACTCGTGCACGAACAGTCTTGACTGATTACTTGAATACAATAAAAGTTGACTGCTTAATTCTGGGAAGTAGAAATCTATCTGGTTGGACGAGGTAAGAAAAAGAAGAAGAAAGAGGATATAAAGATGTAATTTTATTTCTGTTTAGATTCTTTTCTGGGAGCTTTAGCAACTATGTACAGACACACGTTAACTGTCCAGTCTTGATTGTCAGATAAGAAGGGATTATTTTTGCTTTAAAAAGAGTATCTTTAAAAAGAACTTGGAAATAGTGTCTTTCAACCTCTTTTTTTGTTTTGGAACGGGTGTATCGTAAAGTGTGATTCCTTGAATGTTCATTTTACAGCTTTTATTCCTCTGATAAGGTCGTTCGTTTCTGACTAGGAGGAATACTGTATTTTTATTAATTATTGACGTTAATTTTATAAAACGACATCATGTCAAAAGAGAGAGGGAGACAATGAGTATATGTAGAAAAAGAGAGAAAAAGTACGTTAGTATTAGAGTACATATCCTAATATTAGTTTTACTTACCACCAAGGCGCATTCTGGGGAGGGTAGCGATAACTACCCAGGAGAAGTTTAAACAAAAAAAAAAAGGAACGGAGGACAGAGAGAACCCAGAGCGTCAGAAGAGACTATTGGGGAGCGTTCCAGATACACGCCAGAGAGCAAAGAGGGCGGGACAAGCGAGTCAGAGTAAGGACCATGAGGCATTATTATTTGGAAATACAGTATCTTCATGGATGTCAAGGTTGATACTACGAAAATATTCTTGGTAACGACGAATTTACATTTCGTACAATATGAATTTTGTTCTCACCATTGGATGCATTTATTTTCGATCACAGGCGAATTTACTTTCCGGAAAGACTGTATATCAGATTGAACGTCTCGTTCCTTGATATCTCTTGTCATATCAGTAGTTTCCACTTGTATTTTATCACCTTGTCCTTCGTCTAAATGTTTTGTACTAGGAAGCATATAAAGTATGAGACACATCTTCACCGTTTTGTGAATGAGCTTGATCAAAAGACATTTGGTTATAAAAAAAAGTGTATAATGTTGTCAAATAAAGGACGTTCCTTTCATTTTTTATTTATAAATATGCGTCTATTGGTCTTTTTTTTTTTACCAATGTTCGTCAAATAAATTAGGTATTACAGTTGCCTCTGGTAGATCAACTCCCTTAGCTGCACTTGTCAAGTAAACGCTTGTTTCCTCTCTTTGCTTTCTCAAGTCTAATTGTGGGGGTATGGTTGGTATACTAAAGTAATTGGGCGGATCTTCTCTCGGTGTTGATGTTAGCTGTGTTTCTTGTTGAATAGGATCACTCGTGACACCAAACTGTTCTGGAGGATCTTCTAGATTAGGGTCAAAAAATATTGGCAGCTCTTTATTGTTGCGGTAATGCCCAATGGATGTCAGCCCATTTACGCGCAGGAGTTGCTCATGCTTTAGATTGCCGATCACAATAGGAACAGCAAACTCAACCTCATGAGTTGATTTGAATAGTCCTCTGTGTTCACTAACATTCAACAGAAACTGGAGGTCATAATGAACTCGTGTATGTGTCGTAGTAAATGAAGGCGAAACGAGTCGAGTAGGTATAGTAAATGCCACATCAGTAGCAATCTGAGAATCTGGCTCGTTGATCAGGCAACGACCACTTCCTACAATCCGGACATGGTCCAAGACGGCTGTACCGCTCACAAGGACCATTTTACCCTCATGCTTTTTTCGAAATTTGTAAGTAACATCAGTTATTCTTGAATCTGTTTGAAGTAACACAACCCTGAGATGCATTACAAATGGATCATCTGTATCTGGAGCATTAATTTCTCTTTTTTCTATTTTTCTATTTGGAAAAATCAGTCGTTACCTGGAACATAACACTGCTTGGGTAGTCTAGCCTCTATCCTAGCCACTGGCTTTGTTCTTTCCTTTGTATACACGGTTGTTCTATAAACGCACTCATGATCTAGTCCACAAAAAAAAAGATCAACATATGGTGCTGTTAACTTCTATTATTATTACTATTACCTTTTACGCAAACCAACAGTGGCCTATAAGGTGTATAATACTCGCTGCTCTTTATTCCAGACTCAAGCCCCGCCCCGGTCAACTGCGCTGTCCATATATATCTTATGTGAAATCCTTTTGGTTCTTCTGTAGAAGGTGGGTAATTGACATTGGGAAACTTTAATGCAAAAGGAAACTCGTACGTTCCAGGCTCTATCTCATCCCAACCAGCATGCCCATAAGCTACGACTGATTCAGTATCATGGTTCATTTACGATACAGAATGATATATACCTGGTGCTTCAGAGCCCCATAGTCTATATTCTGTCCTAAAGTAAGTTGTAATCACTTTATGTGCCCTATCACTCGACTTTCCATCGATACTTGTTTCATTCACTTTGACCATAGCCACTTCTTCAGCTCGAAACTAGGTAATCCATAAAGATTAGCTGTTGATAGGCTTGTGCATTCACTTACTCTTATCACCAGCTTTGTAGCATAGATTCTTTCCACAGCATTAAGAGTGACCTTGCCCCTCACCACTCTATTGGGCCTGACAATCACCTGCGTGCCACCCTCAAACTCAATTTGTAACGTGTTCTTTACTTCTTCCAAGACTTGTGAATTCCGTTTACTAGTGGCATTACTGTCCTCCGGCACAAGATTACCGTAGACATCGACTGAAGCGCGGTTTGGATGTCTGACATTAGTGTGTTGAGGAGGATCAGGTATAGGTAAGGTAGTTGGAGGTATACTCGTAGAATGCCGACGGCGGCCTGCTGTAGCTGCTCGAGCAATATTTGTTATTGTCTGGGTAATATTGGTATCTAAAGGACCTGTTGGCATGAAATAAAAAAAGGAAAAAGTAGCATTCATGCACGTCATGTCGGCGCACCATTTTTCGGGAAAATAAAAAAAAGTCACTTTGGCCCCGCCACGTCCCGTCAAGGATGAACTTTTATGATGCTGTATTCATCATGGACTTTGAAAGACTACTGTAATAAAAAGGACGAATAGATTGCTTATGAGCACCATTTCTAAATAATAATGTCACAGAGAAAACTTCATTTTCTATGTAATTCTTTGGTTGCTCTGATTTGGTGATATGGTGGCTATCATCATCCGTATCAGTGGCCATTAGCGCGTGCATTAGGAGAATAAAAGTACCAAAATGACCATGCGCTGCTTTATAAAAGAAGGATCAAGGATTATGAAAGTGATGGTCAGTTTTCATCGCTTTTATCTGTACCATCTTTCCTAAATAATCATTTTTTCCTTCATCTTATTTGTTGTATGAGAACACTACAATATTGAACTACAAAGATGAATATATTTATTATAGAGCAACCATCATGCATTCAAATAAAGAAAAGGAAAAGAAAAGAAAAGAGTATGCATAAGCGTTTACTCTTTGAATACCTTTGGATGTTTTCAGAATATATGTTGTTAATGTAGAATAGGTTAGACACCAGAAGAATACACCCACATGATTCACTCATCTCCAATTCATAGCTAAAAATAGTAAGCCGAATCCTTGATGGTAGACCGCCAAGACTCTTCCTTTATGAATGAATTTTCTTGAACATGGCCAATACAATTTTTTAAAACCTCCTTTTTAAATATGCAGCATTATGGCACTAATGAATAAAGACCAATATTTGTTTAATGTAATGCAAAGAAGCAAAGAGAGCTTTAGTGCACCACTTTATTCAATAAGATTGTTTCCTTTTGAGTAAAAATAGCCCTTGTTCGACTGAATATGCGCATGTTGATCGTCTCCGTGTGATAGCTGACTCATCCGTCTCTTTTTCTAAACCATAAAGTATGAATAAAAGTAGTGAATAGTTTAATGCACTTACCATAGAAGCAATATAAGGAAGTAGCTTTCCCATACGCTGAGTATGATCTGCCATGGCTGTTGCGCATGTTATCATGGCATTGGTAGAAGGGTGATTATCTTTGGGTTCCTTTGGTGAATAGACAATAGGCATATGTATAATCAAAAGTAAAAGAGAGAAAAAAAAGAAATACTATGAGAGAAAATCAAACTGTGTACTTTATGACAAAAAGACGTCTTTGTCTATAAACGTAGACAATAGTTCTATGTTCTGGATTTTGTACAACAGATAAAAAATCCTAATGCATGATTTTTTCCGTTATAGATCTCTTATTGAGCTCATATTATAAAAGCTCACAAAAGAACAGAAGAAAAGAATTACTACATCCACATAAGGACATGTCAAGGTTATTACAATATATGCTTTTCCAATATACTCGTGACATTATATTTTTGCAAACTACAACATATACATTTTATTATATGCTCAATATATCAATCATTATATGATAATGAAAATAATCAAAAGCGTGCAGTGAACCTTTCTTGAATCATCTTTTTGGCATCCTCTAGTGGATACACTTGGCTCCTAAAAGAGAAAAGCATATAAGAAATTCATGAAGTAACAAATAGTTAAGCGAAAAAAGAGCAAGAAAAATGCAAAGAGACATTTTACGGATTGAATACAAGAAGATTAGAGGTTGTAAGAAAAAAGAAATGAAGAGTGACAAAGATAAAGCTAATGGGAAGCGAGAGTAAAAGGCTGTGAAATAAAAATATCATACTTTGAACATGAACAATCTCGCAGGCAATTGGTAAGTATCTAGAAATTATTATACTTTACAAGACCATTGAACTCCTTATCGTTTCCTTTAGATTCGGCAAATGTCTGATATAAGTGCTGCTCGGCAGGCAATTGAAGAAATAAGCATAAATCATGATGACTGTAGTGATAGCTATCTATCATATTTATTTTACAAAGTATATACCAACTGGCGGTACTTAAATAAAACTTCCCATTCTACACAAAACAAATTACTTAGGTCAGTTAGCTACAAACTCTAGGCATTTCATTTCTTGGGGCAAAGGCTCCCATAATGAGAGATACACTTTCAGCATTAGCAATAGGTTTGTCAGACCTCTCATATCTTTTATTTTATCAAATTTCCCTATGTTTTAATCTAGTCTCAATCAATCAGATACCGAATTTGTCAATATCGCCTCTTCCTTCTTTAATGCAAGAGAGTGAGCTTTTGCTTAGGACTTTTAAATTCTTTCGGGATTTAACCCGAGAAAAAAAAAAGGCACCCTTCGAAAACCCTTTTTTTTATAATGTCACTTCCAAAATTACCTTCGATTAGAGAACTTATCAAGATCTATGGTCTCTCTGCTAAATCTCAACTTAGTCAAAATTTTATACTCGATAAAAATATAACAGGTGCGTTAAAATGCAAGATTATACAAGATTGTGTTTTGATCTCTATTTAATAGACAAGATCATCAGAACGACATACATTTCAGAAAAAACACCTCTTGTTGTTGAAGTAGGTCCTGGTCCAGGATTACTGTCGAGATCCATATTAGATTCAGGAGCTAAATGCATTGTGGCAGTAGAAAAGGATAACAGATTTTTACCAACATTGCATGTATGTTAAAGTAAAAAAGAAAAGCAAAGCAAAAAAAGAGAGGAACTTATGATATCATATAGCAATTATCAGAAGCATCAGATAACAGATTTCAAGTAATAAATGGAAATATATTAACAGTAGATCATAAAGATATATTATCAAAGACCTCATTTCAACAAGACAATAACCATCCTGTACATATTATTGGCAATTTGCCTTTTAATATCGCATCACCTTTATTATTACAATGGCTACATCAGAGAGCAAGTCAAGAAGCTCTGTTTAGCATAAACAACGATGTCTGGTTGACCCTCATGTTTCAAAAAGAAGTAGGCGATGTAAGTGTACCTAATGAATGTATAGAGACGCTCGTTAATTTGTCATTAGAGAATTATCGCAGATGCATCCACATCAAAGCGCGGTAGGCTATCAGTCATGACACAAAGTTTGTATAATGTAAAAGAGGTTTATAAAGTACCATCTACTGTTTTTGTTCCCAGGCCTAAAGTAGATGCTTCAGTTATACAGTTTTCTCCAAAGCCATTCTTTGCACTAGACACTGAAATGCAAGGTAAAAATACATTCATTTGATAAAAAAGGAAAAGAGACTTGGTTCTAAGTGCTCCTTTAGAGATTTACCTTATTCTTGAGAATTTGGTGCGACACTATTTTACCAAACGAAGAAAGACAATCGGACATATCACAAAGCATCTTGGCAAACAAGTACCTGAATTCCAAAAGATAACTGAACAATTAGAGACTATAGTCGACTTTCAAGCAAGGCCAGAAGATGTATCCACAGAGACATTTTGTAATATTGCAAAGCTTCTCTATACCAATAAAATCAAGTTGTCATAGATACTTTTTTACTATGCATAAACATAAAGAAGAGTCCTGTAGAAAGGTCGGCATTTGTAATTATAAAAAGAACAGCACTTGGCACACATAAACAAAAATAAAAATAAACAGTTCTTTCTTCTTGTCAATCATGAGTTACCCATACTCTCTTCCAACCACTGGTTCTTTATCTTTTGTAGACTTTTTCCAGACAGTAGAGCCATACTCGCTTGAGATATCAGATGCAACAGCTAGAAGAGGACAGCTTCGAAATGTGTTGAAAGAAATGAAGAAAGAGACACTGTCTTCTCGAGATTACTCACTTTTGATGAATGTAAAGAGAAATAGTCATGTGTAAACCAAATGATAGGGATAGAGAGAGCACAAAATAGAATGGAAGAGCTAAACTAAACAATAGACTATTGAAGAATATCTACCCTACCTGGTTAGTATTGTAAACTGTATCGAGACCGAAAAACTAGTATTAAAAAAAGACATTGGTATATATATACATACACTACTCTAAAACATTCAAACATAAACGCTTTATTAGAAACTTCTTGGCGAACGACCTTGAGCGATCATATTATCCATACAGGAAGTAATGCGCCTCGTGTGTCATGCAAGGATATTCACTATGAGCTTATTTTTGTGCTGATGACTTATGCTTATGCGTGTACTTTACAAACCAACTATTTGCTTGCGGAAAACAACCCAGCATTATACAATAAAGCAGCTGATACATTAAATACAGCAGCTAGTGTCTTTCATTTTATAGCAAATACGGTAATACCCAGCTGGAGTAATGCTCCAGAAAACAGGCCAATCGAAACAGTTCGCGAATTGGCTGTGGCACTTTCAAAGTAAAAAAAAAAAAAAAGGAGTAAATAACAGTATAACAGTTAATTGATTTGTTTAGAATGGCGCTGGCTGATGCACAGGCAATAGCCATCAAGAAGGCACTTGCTTCAAACAATACATCGAAATCACTGATAGCCAAGCTGTACATGGGAGTAGCAGATCAGTACCAGATGGCACACGGATTGATCACGTCTATTAAGGGAGCTCAAGACGAGGTATCAAGTGATCTGATAAAGTATTTAGCCGATGGGATATTGTTCTATAAAGTAAGGAAACAAAAAGCCATTCTCTCTACTAGTACTAATATTTGAGATAAACATAGGCAATGACAAAAAAGTTTTTGGCCATGCATGCTAACGATAGCCAGTAAAAAGTAGTCTTTTAAAAAGGAAATATGGACTCAAATATGCTTTTTCTAGAAAAATGGGTCAAGCTGTTGGATTTGCTAAAGAGTGTAAAGCTGATTTGCGCCTTTTACAGCACATGAGTCTATCTAAGAAGCACTTGAAGAAATCTGCAATTGCATTGAGAGCGAGTCATGAGGAAGAAGAAGTCAACGAACTGATCAGTAGATATACAATGATCAATGATACAGTATGTATAATGGTACTATTAATATATAAGAGTAATTGATGGGATTTGGATGTAGGTATCATATGAACCCGTGCCTTCTAAACAGGATTTACAACGCTTGATACCAGGAGGTAGAGGTGTGCTTGAGTTAAAGCCCTATAGCTTACCTAGCCCTGCCTTTGGACCATCCGAGGAATTTAAACCAGAAATATCATACTTACTTGAAGGAAGATATTTTTAATACTATACATAAAACACTAATTGTCTAAATCAATAAGATATTCATATACATTAAATTAACTTAAAGTGGCATAGAGAGGCAATATGACCTATCAATATTATCATTACTACTATTTGGTATGTTGAGTTTCTTTGCAGCAAGCACCAGATTGAAGAAGAATGTCTCATCCGAATAGATCCTTTATACATATCTGAACCAAACGAAATAAAAAAACATTTGCTCTTCAGCGGTTGTGATGGAATATAAACCTACTCTTCTCTTTGCTTAAAAAAGAGTCTAGACTTTAATTTAAGGTTAAAGGACAACAAGGAACCATAAAACTATGGTTTTTAATCACATGTCGGTTGATCTTCAAATAAGACAACTGCAACTAAGCTACATTGACTTTTTTGACAATATTTCACTTTCTTTTTTTGTATTGACTGCAAGATTAATAAAGATATAAGGGTTTCTTGTTTTAAGTTACAATTACTATTAGCAGCTGATTTTCTCCCCACTTTTAAACTTTATTAACCGGATCTTATTGTGTGTGTGTATGTGTCATATCACCGTCCGTGGCGTGCTTTTTTTTGGGTTGATTGTTGCTGTACCTTATACTATCCTGTTGAGTGACAGCCTGGTATTTGTTGTTGTTGTTGTTATTTTTCTAATATAAATAGAATATACTTTAATGCCTTTTCCAGAAACTTTATGGGTCTCAACATGACGTCAGGCTTAACGTAATAACAAAATGTGATGAAGCTATTCTTTTTTTTTTCAAATGTCACCACAACTGTCAACATTCAGATCAAAATTCGATCAGGGCACCTGAAGGAAAAGTGCGTGATAATGGGAGTACACGCATCACATTTGAACTTCATCGGGATAAGAAAGAGATCAAGTCTGATAACGTTTTACTGCATTAAACCTCTACCAGTAGTTCAAAGTCCGAATGGTTTAATAAAAAGACTTACATGCATTTCCGCTCTAGTTTAGTTTTATTTCTCTTTTTCACCTTCTTCTTTATACAAAATCATGTCTGCTAATAGCAAGCAAAGAGTCGCAATTATTGGATCTGGCAACTGGTAAGTGATTATATAAAGGTATCGTATGTTTATCAACGTTGCTTTCAAAGGGGTTCCTCTATTGCTCGCGTCTGTGCACAGAACACGATTAAACATAGTGATACATTCGAAAAGGAAGTTCGTATGTGGGTTTATGAAGAAATGATCGAAGGCAAAAAGCTGACAGAAATCATCAATGAAAAACACGAGAACGTCAAGTAAGTTTCCCTTAATTCGCGTGTATAAGAGTGTTGATGATAACAATCCATAGATATCTTCCAGGTATTAATTTGGGAGAGAACGTAGTTGCTATTCCAGATGTTAAAGATGCGGCTAAAGATGCAACTATTCTTGTCTTTGTCTTGCCACATCAATTCGTCTATGGTGTCTGTGGAAATCTTCGCGATGTCATCTCCAAGAACTGTAAAGCTATCTCACTCATCAAAGGCTTAGACTACAAAGACAATAACTTGCATATCTTTTCTGAAGAAATTGAAAGGATCCTTGGTATCCCTTGTGCCGCTTTGAGCGGTGCTAACATAGCTACTGAAGTTGCTGAAGAGCAATTTGGTGAAACGACCATAGCCTGCCAGGATTCCAAGGATGGAGAACTATTCCTCAAGCTCTTCCATACAGACTATTTTGATTGTACTGTCATTGAAGACTACAGAGGTCTTCAGATATGTGGTGCTTTAAAGAATATTATTGCCATTGGTGCAGGTATTTGTGACGGTCTCAATTACGGTAACAATACAAAGGCCGCTGTCATTCGTCGTGGTTTGCTTGAAATGAGAAAATTCGGAAAGACCTTCTTTGGCGGTGTACGAACAGAAACATTCTTTCGTAAGTATAGAATGAAGTGCGAAATCGACAGGGATATCTGACTTCTTTTATGCCATAGAATCATGTGGTGTTGCAGATTTGATTACGACATGTTCTGGTGGCCGTAACAGAAAGGTTGCTGCTGCTTTTATCAACTCTGGTAAATCTATCGAAGAGGTAGAAAAGGAAATGTTGAATGGCCAAAAGTTGCAAGGCACAACCACATCTCAAGAAGTATATAACTTTTTGTCAGCTAGAGATATGACTCATGAGTAAGTTAAAGATAACTTTTTTTTATTAAAAAAAAAAAGCTTTACTAACAAACATTCCATTAGATTCCCTCTGATGACAGCTATCTATCGCGTTATTTATGAAAAGGCTCCACCTGAAATCATTGCTCGTGATCTTCGTACTCGTAAAGCTGTAGTCGACAAAGAATAATAACCTCAGTCTTTAAATAAATTTGTGTAATAAAGCCTAATGTTTTTCCAAAATAAAATACCAAAACCCATTACGTCTCTTTATTCGAGTTTTCATATTTACTATTTTTATCTTAGAGTATATTTAAATAAGGGAACTTTGATAAAACTCGAAATGCGCAACAGTTGACGTGCTATCATTATATCTCGAGCCGTACTCTGTTTGAGCTTACGTTATATCTAGAAATATTATTGAGAGAAGTAATAAATCTCGTCCTTTCTTCTAAAATATGATCAATATTTATTGATGAAAACGTTGGACGATTAAAGTAGCTTTCAGCCTTGGTTCGTTATTTTAAATGATGTCCTGGTCTACACAGATCGCTTACAGTGTAAATGGACTAGACCACTGAACTCCGATTTTCATTCTTAGTGCTAGCTCAAAAAAAAAATACAAAGCTCTTCATTTAAAATGTCATTGCATCGATTCTTCAGACCAAACCTTGTATCGCGCCTGAATGTGCAACCACGAGTTTCCGTAAGCCCATCGTTATTTCAGCGTTCTCGTTATGCAACCAGACAACGACCAGCACCACCACCACCGGGCCAAACCAGAACTATACACATTCACCCCTTACCCTTAGCACTTATGGGCTTTGCTGTAGTATGTCTTGGAGTTGGACTTTATAACCATTTCACTTCCGATGTTCAAAAGTATCCAGCCAATATTCGTCAGTCTCTTCGAAAGGCGCTTTATTATCAGCAAGACAAAGATCTAAATCTGGCACTAAAGTACTTTGATGAAGCACTCACTCAAGCACTTGAATCACCAGAACTAGAAAAGAATGGCGCACCTTTAACTGGTATTATGATACAGCTTGGCACGCTTCAAGAACGTATGGGCAAGCTAGCGGACGCTCGACGCACCTTGACACTTGCTCTACGCCACCTGTTGGGGTTGGAAAATGATGCGTCGAAGAAGCTACCCAGTGACGCTGTTTTTGAAGTCGATCTGAATAGCCTCCCTTCAATTGAGCAAAGGAAGGCAGTAGGTATTGCCCAAAAACTAGGAGACATCACGTCGGCTATGAAAATGGATCAAGAGGCAGAAAAGTGGTATACATGGTCAGTAGAGCACTTGCTCACAGTATCTTCAAAGCCAGTCTCAGAGTATGGCGATACGAATCAAGTCATCTTTGATGCAGAACATATGCCTTCTTGGTTGACCAAGACCGACGTTGGTGCTGCTCTTGAAGCACTGGGAACCTTTTACGCGTCAAGAAATAAACCAAGGTAAGGTCATAAAGCAGTGATGTGAAAGAAAAACAAACCTGATATACCTTAGTTTGGCGATCCATCTCTATATGCGAGCGCTCACTTTAAGTGGATTGCATTCTTGCCAGTCAGCGGTTTTAATGAATAATCTAGCAGAGGCTTATGCCAGCATGGGTCAATATGAAGAAGCCAAAGTATGGGGACAGAAAGGTTTAGATATCGCACAGAATCCAAATACAAAAAAGTTAGAAAAAGATGGCAAGGTATGTGATTACACATGTGGTGCCCTACTCTTCAATATGGGCATGCTTTTTGAGGTAAGTACGCCCTTTTCTTTGCAAGAGGCTATAGATTGCTTATATAAAATATTAGCAAACCAAAGACAAGGCAAAAGCTATTCACTTTTATAACAGTGCCCGTAACCATGGACGTGAACATAAACAGGCAGAATGCATATTAGAAGCAGATCGCGCAATAAGACGCATCGAATTTGAGTCACAACGAGACAATACTTCGCTATAGACGAGCTGTAATCAAAGTCTACGTATACAACTAAATAGCCTTGTTTACACCAAAACAAAATGTACTTTTAGTCATACACATTTGACACCTAAATGGCATCTTTAGGAAAAGATATTCACACATCTTGCTCGAGACTTTTAAAAAAAAATAAAAAGAAATTTATTTTTGCCTATATAGCTCGTGTAGAATATTTAACAAACACTGCTTTCTTGGATATAACTTTTATTGTCACACGTAAAAGGTCCCCTATTGCTTGTACTTGACTTCAAGATGCTTGGAAAAGAAAGCCGCATCTTCAGCGTCAACCTGGTTCATGAAGTTCAAGATAGAAGTTTCATGCACCATGTCAACTTCTTCTGTCGAAACGGAGAAAGCTTCACTCAATGGAGCTTTATCTTTCCAACCAGCCATTCGTAAAACCAGATCATGATCTATCTTGCTTGAGAGACTAGATATTGCTTTACTTTTCATGGTATCATAGGCAGGAACAGTACCAAAGTCGAAACCCGTAACGAAAGGCGAATAGTAGTTTATCTTTTTAGGTAATTCAAATTCAGGCATGAAAGGTGATTCAAGATTGGAATCAGCGCCGCTGTCATGGTCACTAAATAGTGGAAAATCCTCCTGCTCTAATTGAGACTGATCGAGTAAGAGCAACATAGGAGAAACCATAATTCTTGGAGAAGATGCCTTATCGTTCTCGCTATCTCTTGCATCTCTATTTGAGAAGGAACGAGGAACAATTTCACTATGAGTAGGTAAAGGGTTTTGACTAATTATAGTCTCCTGTTCATCTGTCTCGGAAACGACATTATCCACCATAAGATGCTGATGGCTTGATCCGCTGCTACCTGAGCTTGAATCGTTAGCGTTGCCTGGTTTCCGTGCTACCAATGGCAAACGTATTTGATCGCGATGACGGTATCTGCGTCCAGTTTTCTTGCTCTCTTTTTTCTCACCGGGAGCATGCTCCCTCCGATTGATAGCCTTAGTATCAAAGACTGAAGAACGAGCAGCTATCGTGATGCATACCCTGCACCATTGGAGTATCAGCAGTGTATTCTAGAATAAATTTAGATTATCTTTTTCAGTGAAATCATGCAAACTCCTTCCTGTATCCCTATGGCCCGGATACTCTTCTTTCCCATGAGTTCTCCCCCGATTGGATAAAGGCTTACCATGATGAAGTAATACAAGACTGCAAACAAAACACAGAAGGCATAGAGCAAAATATTTCTGATTCGAGTATTTGAATTACGAAACATTGTCTATAGCTATTTAGAAATCAAATATGATGCGAAGGAACAAAGTAGGAAAAAAGAAGAGTGTAAAAAATAAGAGAGAGAAAGAAAAGAGAAAAAGATTTTTTGATAAAAAGAAAACACATATTTATACAAGTATATAAACTAGTCTCTACTTCCTGCTTCTGTCTTATCCTTTACACCTTTTGTGTCTCGCTTTGTCCCCGGGCAGTACAATTTTGAAAGGTGAGTTCCATTTATGGTTAATTGGCATTATTGTGTATAATCAAGACAAAGGGGATATGTGTAAGCTTTTTATTACCACATCGAGGTTCTTTTATGGTAGCTTTTTGTCTTTTATGTAATTCAGTAATAATTCTGATAAAACAGAAAATTCCTTCCAATACAAATATTTTACCTTTTGTTACAGCTGTTTTTAATTTTATTAAGAAAAAAATATCAATGAGTTTGTGTTGAAATATGTTAGATTGAAAATGAATAGAACGATTCATCAGCGCCCAATAAGTCTATACGAAAAAAAAATTAGGTCTCTCTTTGTGAGCTCTTTAGTAACGCGTTTACTTGCCTGATAGTTCTTGATCTGTAATTATACTAAAGCTGTCTTGATGATAATGATTAAATACGGTTCCTCTGATGTCGGCACATGTATGATACTGAAGCCAATTTGTTATAAAATCGTTTTCTTGTTCGATGCCAAATGAAAGGTTTTTCGTAAGCATGCCGGAACCAATTTGCCGTAGAGGCACCTCGTCACACTTTACTTTTTTCTCCTCTTTTAAAATAGCTATAGTATCCGCATGATTATCATTATTACTGCAGTTACTCACTGTACTATTATTACTACAGCTACTGCTATTGCAATTTTGGTCATCATTGCTGTTACAGGTAGTGGCAGTAATGATTGGTAAAGTAGCCATGCTTTCTATTTGAATACTTGTTTTATTGTCTGATACCTCTTGTTTTGTTTTCATGCTAATTAATTGTTGATGTGGGTTAAATACTTTATCATAAATGAATAAATCATGAGGTTTGTTTGATTGAATGAGTGCTTCCATTAGATTATATGTAACACGAATCATATTATCTTTTAACCGCTGGCTAATCAACTGAATATTCTCGTCATTATATTGTTCTTTATCTCCTTGGGAATGAACAGCTGGAGGATTGCTACAGTCATCTTTACTACTCCTGCTTTTGATTAAAGGTTCCTGAGTCTGCTTTGATTTTCTCTTTCTATGATCACTACACTCCAAGGACATTGATCTTCTTTTTCGCTTGTTTATATAATTGCTACTGATACAATGCTTTTCTAACAACTTTGCAGGACTACCATAATGCGTAGGTCTCACATTTTCTTTATCGCTAGCGCTGTAATGAATAATTAGTACCAGTGTTTGTACTATGTTCCCATGGCAACATTACATCTTTATCATGGTATAAGTGAAATATGAATATATGGGGTTTTTCGGTGAATATGAATAAACAAACAAGAGACAAATATGAGAAGAAAGAAGAAAAAATAAGCCTTTTTATTTTAGTTTCTGGAAGGAGAAATGAGATTCAAAAAAACAATCCCAGCATTGTCAACTAAAGAAAGGTAAATTAAACGCCCCTCAATCCTACTCTAAGCCTATGCATTACTATCGAGTCTATGTAGTACGAGCCCATCAACAAATTGCGCAGCCATTCTTTTTCATATAACAAGATAAATATAATATAAAGAACTAAGGTGATGTAAAATCTGCCTATGATACAGTCAATAGCAGAAAGGGGGAGGTGTTGTGATGTAATTGAATAAAAGCTAAATACTATTAACTAATCAGTACAGACAATTTCTGCTATTCATACAGATACAATGATGAAACAGTTATATACAAATCTAAGCTGATCAAAATCTTAATAGACAGATGGTCTGACATGGCTACTATTTTATAGAATAAAACAAGAACTATATATACTGTTCGTTCTCTCTCTCTCTTCTATTTATATATTTGTGCTCTACCTATTAAGCTATAGAATAGTGTGATGCCCAAACAAACAAATAAAGTAGTTTAAAGTATAAATAACAATCATGTAGCCTTTAATAGAGCTGCAGGTTATTTCATTTCATTGTCTGTTTATGCCGCTTCATTATATTATTCAATAACCTTTATCCTTTTTGATAGTCTACTAGTAACTAATGCAATACATCTTTTATTCCCATTTACTAGAAAGTCACTTGAACAAATTAAGTTATTGGGCTACGTTTAGCGGGTTGTTTATTAGATAAGCTGTGTGCTCTATTATAAGATTATATTTGACCTATTATAATGATTTACCTCTCTGAACACATCACATAGACAGGTAACAAAAGACGTATCTCTTTATTCTTTTGTTTTTGTGTCGCTGGAAGCTGGGCAATGGGGCAAGAATGGGACATCGGACGGACGGGGCGACGAAAAGCAATTTTGCAGCCAGGCAAAATCGTCAATAGTCATCATATTCAGCTTGTCGATGGATGGTAACTAAGGATTGACGGTTGACCTGCTTGTTGCTTCATGCAGGCGTTGGACAATGATGTATTTTGTTCTATTATACTGTTGATACATTGTTGGTACACTGGTAAATAATTTATAGTTGTTTAACCAGAGCATCCCATATAGCTGCATAAATGCAATCATTTGGATTCAGAAGCAGCTTAGTCTTATCAGCATATTCCTTTTTGAGCTCGTATACAGAGCAGCAGTGGCCTTGTTTGCAAATTCTGTTCAATGGCATCAAAAGCTTGGAAGAACACTTGTTTTTCCTGCGTAGGTTTTTTCATTGTGGAGATTATCGATCAAATAAATGTCATTCAAAATTGGACCGTTTGAAAAGAAAAAAGATCTGAGTTCTATAGGAGAGGTTTAATGTGGCCACTGACTGTGATTATAATTCTTTTTCTTCTTATTCTCGCTTCATCATAATAAGGGATAAAAAATAGAATGTATGCTCTACTGTAAGATAATATTCCACCTATTATAATGATTCGTTTCATCATACATGCCAGTTTCCTTAGTTTTACTACTGCGACATCTGAATTAAAAGACGATGTTATGTACTTCTTTTGCTAATGTAAGGGTAATTGCATGAATATTTTTTGGATACGTCACTTGCAGACCAAGAATTGTTTGGTAAACACTTACAAATAGAACATGACCAAAGAGATGATATTGTATGGATTATCTTAATGTAAGGCATAACATGTTCGTTGGACAGCCATTGATTTTTTGTTTTATAAAAGTGTGAACTTCATTCAACTAATTGAACGACTCTTACAGAATGTAGGCGGATGATCACCTTCTCCCAAATGACAAAGTAGATAATAAGACACGATTAATCTATTTCAAAAAAGACTAGCCACAGCTATAGTATGCCAATCACACAATGTCAGAGATATTTCCAGAAGGCGGTAAAGCTCACATCAGATAAAGTCAGTATGCACATAATCACCACCGGTTGCTTATTGAGGGCAATGAAGCCATTAACAACCAAATGCCATCGCCCTTTTTTATACTGCAGGACGGTGAGCAGAAAGAGAGCATGTGATAGTCACGTGTATATCACGTGAATATATATTACCATTAAGAAAATTTTTTGTCTAATAAAAATGTGTGAGGGGCTATGGCCCAATGGATAAGGCGTCTGACTACGAATCAGGAGATTCCAGGTTCGACCCCTGGTAGCCTCACATCATCATTTTTTGTCACATTAATTCGGAGTTTTAAAATGTTCCAATAATATTGTTGATACCAAAAATGGTATCTGCCACCAGTACCATTACCACTGCATGCATATGCAAGTTTTAATCATTTTTATTATTTATTATAATTATCATTTATCATAATTATATATTATTATTATTATTATCAATCGCATATTTATCAATATTGAATTAGTACAAATATCCCCAAGTTATTCATGGAATAAACAACATCGAAGAATCATCTAAGAATTATCTTCAGATCACAATAACCTCTATTCTATCTTATATCTTAAGCAACAATTGCTTAACAACATTTTTATTTTACTTTTTACTTTATCTCACAAGACTTAGCATTATATTGCTCTATATTGATCTTATATTAAGATCTGGTGGTCACTACAATACCAAATTCTACTTATAAAATTTATTTTTAACCTTACTACTAACACCTTTTCCCCTTACTAACACCCAGTAACATTGTAACAATAGCGGAGTTGAAACAGATGAACTTCGTGACCCTCACGAACTTCATGAGACAGACGAAGTTCATGTTCCTCATGAAGTTCAAACAAATGAATTCTAAATTATTTTAGTATAAATACATTCAATACTTTTAAATAAAATCATCTAGTGATCATCTAGTTATTAGTTAGCTATCAGTTAGTTCTGTTCTCAGTATAACTCACTCACCTTTATATTCTTTTATTTAAAGACTTTTACTTTCTAATACATTTTGTATTTTAAAGTACCTTTTATTATTCTTTTATACTTTTACTTTTCTTTTAACACTCTTAACTACCGATACGCTTATCTTGAAGCCTCGTATCAGTAGGATTCACTTTTATCTTTACTTTTATTCTTATATAACGCAAGCTATTTCTTTTGATCTATTAAGATCTGGTGGTCACGCGACAGAAACTCTTATATATCTCAAATTACATTCAAGCCTTTACCCAAACCTAACCTTTTTACAGTAACTCATAATGAATATGGCTTTGAAGGTTTACAGGAACCAGCAACAAAAAACAAGACAGCATTTGCTAATATGATTATATGAGATAACTTTACAGCAGATATGATTCTATATAAGAATGTGGGCAATAGCGAAGCTGTAACTGAGCAGAGCTCAGATAGTACCTTTGACATATAGCTGCTGAGCGATGCTGTAAAGCCTGATGACGCTGATAACTTCTCGATATGTAGCCTAGATCCTGGTAGACATTGCACATTCACAGCATCCTATAGCGAGGGAGGAGATTCACATCAGGAAAACGAGTTCCGACGGCAAAATACTAAAGTTACATTGCTTCATTTGTCATCAAAGAAAAGAACAAAAAAGAATAGAGAAGGAGAGAGGGAGATACACATTTGATAGCTTACAATTGTTTGCGAATAGGCCTGAAAAGTAATGGAAGCCCCAAAGAAATATATATACGAAAGAGAAAATACCTGTAGTTGCTTTCGACTCAGGAATGTATGGAAGAGTAGCGTGAAATTCAGAGGACATAGAACAGGAGTAACAGGCATCCTTTACAGAGCATTAGAAAGAAGAGAAAGACAAAGAGATACTATCGTTATAACAGTTGATGAGTTTAGAACATCAAAGGTAAAGCGTGTTCTCTAATTTTGAATATCCTACTTAACTACCTATAGGTATGCAGCTCTTGTAATTAAATGTTGTTTACAATTTCTTTCCTAAGCCTCCATAACATCCAATCCTGCATAGGATGTGGATTGCTTTGTCAACGTGGCATAAATGCTTCGAAAAACATATTCAAGACTGTGGATGCAATAAATCACATACATTTCGTCGTGATACAAATCGCCGTATTGAGCACGGTTCTCTTCGTGGAGTTCGGATACTTACTGCTAGTAGGCTTGGTACTAGAGCTCAATCTTTATTTTTCTTGCAAATGATATAGTTAATAAGCTATTAAGCATTCATAGACAATATAATAAAGATTTATAATGTTTATTAATCCAGAATTAATTTGGTATACCTATTATTTACTATTATTTTGTAGCTAAAGTTTTATTCTGTACGTGCTGGAAAGGCAGATTCATATTCTAGTGTGTTATTGACTAGTGCTTCTGCGGAATAAGTAAAGCGCAAATTAGATGATATAGAACTTGATGACGACGTAGCTTCAGAGATTGTTTCAATTGATTCGTTTTTTGTAGTATCTGGGTACACAACCACATAGCTGGCTATATGATTATCAGAAAGCATTGTATCCCGTTGGTCTGTGGCTTGGGTGATAAAAGCTTGCTGCTGGCAAGTTTTGTAATATGAAGATGTTGTTATGTTAACTGAATATTCTACTTGCTGGAGCATCTGATTCATATCAAACAATAAGAATCCATTATAAACCCGGATGATATCATTCAATTTCATAAGGGTTCTATATTGCTAATATTAGCGTTAGTGAATGTACTAATAAGCATACCTCTACCATATAATATAACTTACCAGTAAAATTAGGAGCTGTTTTTCCATAAGATTGATATCCGTTAGACAAAAATATCTAGCATATCTAGCCCAAGATAAATTCTTTGGGCATACATCGTTCAAGGTTTTTGAAGCCAAAATTAAGCTTGCCAAAAACACCCTATATGGGCTACAAGGCCTTCCTCTTGCTGTTGAAGGTAGCATTTTAGATGTGTTATCCAAGAGCACCAAAGTTCCAAGCAGAGTGCCGGGAGTCGTCTTAGCTCGCTTCACAACCAGATCAACAAAGTCTGGTAAGCTTGGTAATTCATCATATATTTTGTAAAACTTAGATTTTTCAGCGGCATTGTCATCATCCAGTGCCACTTGACATTGTGGGATTGCCGACAATGCTTGATTTGCAACATAAAATAGTAAACCCTTAGTGATTGGTTGCCTATTCATGTCCTCTATCCCTTTCAACAAGACTGCATCCGTGTCACTTGTCATCCTTTCTTTCACTTAGCCTGTTATTAGTATTGTATTGGATACAGAATAAAACAGTTTGTGTTTTGCAAAACACAGAGTATTTTAAGTGGTTTTATCAACTGAGACAGAGTAAATCTTCCTAGTTTACTTTATTGTTTGTCTCAATCATGAATGGGTATCATATCGGTGTATTGCTTTAACGTTGCGCATTTTTTGTTATAATGTCATTAAGTCGATGATCTTCATCCAAGCTTAGTGCATATTTGAACATTTTCGATTTCTTTTCGCCCATCTAAGCCCACAAGCGTTGCATAAGCTAGATTATGATGAATGCATGAGTTTAATTACTTTGAATGACAATCGCTTCTTACGTTTTAGGGCCGTCTGGTCCTTTTCTCCATTCCGGTGATGTAGTTGTTCCACAATCATTACAAACGTATTTCCTAAGCTGCTTTCGCTTGCTCTTTTTAAAACGAGATTAGACTATTAAAAAAGGAATAAGCGTTTGTGTAAATCACCTTTTTTATAGGTATATCGCCTTCATCATCAACCGATAATGGCTGTAGAGAAACAGTTGTCTGATTTTGTATTTGACTACCAGCTGGAGTAGTTGAGATAGTTGATCCCGGGCTCTTTTTTATTGGATATGCGCCACGGGGATTTTCCCACTCTTCTTGGCTACTAATTGGCGGCTCTCTAGGCATATTTGATGAACTCCCTGCAGAAATAGCTAGTTTAGAATAAGCAATGGGTGATAATGGAGAGGGAGATGTCTTTAAGGAATAGTCATTTTTCACATTATTCATTTTGTTATCTTCTAATAAAGTGTTCTTTTCTTCGTCACTCCAAAAGAATGCTGGCAATTGAGTATCGCGCTCTTCATTCACAATTTGTTTAGACAGTGATGATAATTGACGTACGCGATGTTTTAGTCGATCATTTTCCATTTTTAGCTCGAGCATACTATCAAACAGGTGACCGTTCCTGGACAGGTATGGTTTTGACATTGCGCAAAATACTTGAGGTGAATCGAATAATATTCCTTTCTTTAGATGACCGATTGTTTCGAGCAATAGGTAGCATGTGTCCTTTTTTATAAACCTATAATACATTTTAACTTTTGATCTTGTTTGAAAAGCTATTACAAAGTATTTTTCGAATATATCAATGTCATTTGCATGTATAAAATTGTTCAAGGGTTTTCCAACAAGTTCTTGTGGCATATATCCAGTCAAGTATAAACATGATTTAGAGCAGTATAAGATTATACCAGAAGGAGAAAGAACGTAAAAGAATCCAACGAGGCCACAAAGGATTTGCTCTGTCCAATTGTCTGATACTTGCTCAATAGATTCTATCTGATCGTTTTCTAATTGACTATGCGAGTCGTCAGATACTGATTTACTGGCGACTCGTGTACGTACTCCATAGGTATTATTATTGACAGGCGGGCTTGTCCCTTCGCTTTTATTTTCCCGGGATGAGTGTTATCTGATCAATACTATCTTTTACTAACGAAAAGAAAAGTATACGCGATAATAATAATACGTTGAAAATTAGTCTCTTAGATATAGGCCAATTTTTAAGTTGAATCAATTGTACTGTTTACTTATACAGTTTAAAATCAATTCTTTCCCTCAAGTCTGTTAATACAATTTGTATTATTTATATTATATTTAATCTCACTTTCTCTTCTTAGCGTGATGATTTGTCAATACAGAGATGTACGTGCCAGCTGAGCCGGTACTCACTTAGAGAGAAAAGAATGTATAAAAGTTTTAGGATGCCTGATATTTTATACTAATATTCTATATTTTGATTTTTAAATTCATTCAACAAAATGATTGGATCCGACTATTCGGCTCCAAATGACCAACCAGGAACAAACTATGCAAAAACATGCAGTGCAGCTGCCTATGTTTGCTAAAGATAAAATAGAACGCTTTGACAGCAGAGGGCTCATATGGACGCGTTTGTGCTAGAGTGTGATATAATGATTAAATGGCCCTCAAAGTTACGAGCCTGATTATGCGTTCCTGTTCTTTTAAAGGCTTATTAAGCTGTCAATGACCATAGCAGACTAGAGTGCGTTTAGCTGAGCTCTTCATTAATTAAACTTGTTGCTTTCTTGTTTTCATCCAATTGAAACCGAGTTGAGTTTTAAAATATACTTTAGTTATTGTAGGTAATACTGTCTGATGCAACGATACTTTCGCTGATACAATGGATAATAGTACTCTATATTTCCTGAAATCATATTCACTCATGGGGTTCCTAAGTAGACAGATATCTACTGCTGTCCACAGCAGGAAAGTAGCGTTTACTCCAATTTCGTTCGGAGTTTACTTGTGCTTTATCTAAGCAGATGATATGATCCAGAAAGAAAAGCAACGTCAAGTTAAAAAGCTTGGTGGTGTTCTTATAATTCACGTAATTAAGAGTATTGTATGTAGGCTGGTATTGATAAATACACTTTATTCAGAAATTATTTGCACACTGATAAAAAAAAAATGATAATTTCAGACAGCATCTAATAATAAAAGAGAGCCCACCAGAAGCAAAAGAAATGAGATATAAAAGAAATAATAAGTTAATCAGTTATTACATTGATATTAAATACTTACATTATAAAGAAGGGGGTTATAAGAGAAAAGCAGAGATAATAAAGGCGAATGTACATATAAAGAGATTATTAATATCTTACTCGAAGTGTATTCTGGTTTGGGCTGGTGATAACCAGCCGGGAAAGAGCAAGAAAAGAAAGAGAGAGCGACCAAAGGAGCGAAAGGGGATAAAGGAGTGTATGGGGTCAAGGTTTGGTAAGAGCCAAACTATTCCCAGCCAACACCGGGTTAGTTTCAATGGGCAATCTATAATACTATGTATCAGTTTCTTGTAAGAATATAACATACCTTAGGGCTAGCTGAGGAATAGCTGGTCTTACTTTTTGGTCCAAAGAAGAAAAAGAAAAAGAAGTCAAGATCAGGCTATTTATATGAAATCTCTAGTAACTCTTCATTTTGTTATAAAGTGTTGACTACATTTATATTGTGTATATCTCAAAGATATCAAGCTCATTTTATGTATTATTACATTTTATCTTTCAAAATAATGAAGAAGACATAGAAAATTAACTAAAGTATAGCTGTTGCTATGAAAAAAATGTATATAAAACTGCATAAGTCTGTATAGTTTTATACACAAGAACGATAAAGTTCAGCAATTGTTACTCTTATACACTATGTAGAATAGCTTAAATACGTACATTAATTTCTTAAAATTCATCTGCCTACTGTCATTACTATCTTCACGCGTAAGGAAATGACTGATATGAACCACGACCATAGACAGCACTGCCTTCCTGTAGGATCTTTAAAATGTAAAAAACAAGTTTTTTCCTATTCCCTAATTGATATAATTTACTTTGCTCGCTACTGAAAGCAGCAGTGGTCAAATGTGAGTTGTACAGTAAGTAATTTCAAACATTGTCGTATCTAAATGTATGTTCTGATTCCAGCGTTGTTATAAGGTAATAGAGATGCATGAAATTAGATGCTAGACCACACACTTCAATAAGGGCAATATTTTGTCTTTTTGGTTAAATATCATTTTTATGAAAAGAACACAGAGAACAGTATGTCATGTGAACTCTTTTTTATTGCACAAGAGTTGACTTATTCTAGTCTTTTACTTGCCCTAAAGCTTTAGAAATAAAAGAAAACCAGTCTAAATTGCTTCATTTGAACTTTTTGGGCTTTGTCCTGAAATACCTTAATAACAACTCACTCTCCTGCATGAACGCCCTACATTTGAACCTGTGGTCGCTTTGTAGGATTGTCTGTATCTTATTTATATCAACTGTTAATGTTTATAGAATACATACTGTAAATAAAAACGCATAGTGTGCTTCATCTTTCTATAAATATAACAAATTTATCAGTTACCATTTCGTTTATTAAATAAAACATATTCCCTTAAATCCTTTGCTCTTTTACACTTTTATTGTGTCCTTTAGTCAACCGATCGATTGAATGAAAATCGCAGATACCGTGGAAACATCCAAAGACTGTGAAAAAAATAAACTTAATGTCATAGAATTTTATCACAAGATACTCTGGGATAGTCAGCAATTGGAACCACTTCCCTCAAAGCATGGTCGCAGAGTAGGCTTTTCGACTAATCCACCTATTATTCATGAATACGAATCAGAGTGTAGCGGAGATTTAGCATTTGGTTACTATTCTTCTTCTCACATAACTGAAGTGTATTGCAAAGAAGGTATTCAGCACAAGATGACCATGTCACAAGAATCAGATACACAAAATGACAATAACCAAAGAAAAAAAAGGCTTAGATCGAAATTTGGTTCAGTATCCAATATGCAGTCTGATAGCCAGCCACAAGGTTTTTCAATGGACCCAATGAACCCAGATGTATCCAATAGTCTTGACATATTCTCCAGTGACCTATTCAAGGATCTGCAGGTACCAGAAACCTTACTCAATGTATGCTTTGAAGACAGTATTTGTGAGCATAAAAACAATGGCTGTGTTGAAATGTCGGGCTATCCTCATTCAGATAATGCACATACGGACAAAAGAAACAGAGATAGCGAAAAAAAGGAATATGTAGAGAGAGCTTATACTGATGCTGAACAAAAGAGAATAATAGGGAATAATTATGGTAGTAAAGCATCTTGTGTCCCTCTAGCTTTTCAGCGAGTTATGCGCAAACTAAGTCTATTCAGATCTTTGTTTCAAAAGAAAAAGCCCTGTAGGCCTTTTCTTGAAAGAAAACCGTTATAATACGGTATTGATTTCTTTTTTCTGTTTATATAAATATGTGTCTTTTGTATACAATAAAATGTCGCTACAGGGGCATAGAGCAAATATTGACGATAATAAAACCTTATTTAACCTACAAAGGTATAACCAATCTGGATTGTTCTTAACTACATGTTTATACTAGCCTGTTCTCTGTTTTCTTCATTGGCTTCTTGTTCATAGAGTGCAGCTGAGAGTCTCCAAAAGAATCTGCTTAATTGATCTCTATTAAACTCAATATCGAACCGGAGAAAGTCTGGTAAATGAGAAAATATAGAAGTATTTCGTTGTCTTTCGAGCATAGGAGAATATAATACTTGTTTATCTTCCTGACTGGGAATGAATAGCGAAAAGTCTAATGCTACATGAGAGTATGTCAATAGTGTTTTTTTTTACGCATATAATTTACTTACATCCATTGGGTCCACTAAGATTATAGACATACTGAACACCGTCCTGTTTTGTCCTTGTTTCTTTAACAGTCAACCCGGTAAGTTCTTTTAGGATTTTGTTTTCCTGTTTAAACTTTTTTTCCTTTTCAACTATTTCAACTTGTTGCTTTTGTAATCTTTTTACTAGTTGTAATTTTTAATGGTTGTTATAAGAATGTTAAAGAATACGTTACATTTTGACTTGAGTTCAGATATCTCTTTAGAATCTGATTTGACTGGTGTATCTGAATCTTCTTCTACAAGTTTACCTATTATTTCTTCCAGTTTCTGCATTTTTTCATTCAATAGATCAGAGCCTATAGAAACATGATGTTATTCAAGTTATTGTGTACCTGTTCTGTATAGACTTACTTTTATTTATTTCTTGAATAATTTGCTCCTTCTTCATGGCTGCTTCTTCTTGTTCATCTAATTGTTTAAGTTGTGATAATTCCTCAACATTTTCCATGAGCGTTGCAAGTCTTGACCGTAGCTATGTTTTTATTTAGTCCTTGATTTACAAAAAATATACATTTTGTCTTACGATTCCATTTTGTTCTCTTAATCTATTGTTCTCTTCTTCTATTGATCCTCGAGTAGGTATATGATCAAAGTATCTATTATCAGCTGTTGTTATGGGTTGTGAATAAAAGTTGTTCCCTGGTGGATTTGTTTCTCTCATATGTCTGTAAGGAAATGACGATGACAGAGGTTGACTATAACTGTTGTAAGCTAGATCATCGTTATATAGTTCTTGTTTGACTCGCTTTGTTACATCTCCTGTAAGAAACGCATCTTGTGGTGCTCTCTTTTTGTCAGTTCTTGCTAAATTAAGATGTGCTAACTTTGATTTTGTTTTGTCATATCGATTATGATCACTGAATGGATTCATGTTGTCGTAGGGAAATAGAAACGCCAAAATTCGCGTGTGAGCGGCGCATTAAAAAAAAAAAAAGAGAAAAATCAGACACGAGAACTTTTTTTATTTATTATTTATTTCTTCTTCACATAACAAAATGACAATTAGACATGAAGAATACCAATATTTGGACCTTATAAAGTACATCATGGAACAGGGAGAGCACCGTAAGGACCGAACAGGTACAGGAACATTGGCTGTTTTTGCTCCTCCTCAGCTTCGATTCTCTTTAAAAGATGATATATTTCCCCTCCTGACAACAAAGCGTGTATTCTTCAGGGGAGTCTTGGAAGAACTGCTTTGGTTCATAAAAGGAGATACAAACTCAAAGCATCTAAGTGAAAGAAATATCAAAATTTGGGATGGCAACGGTTCTCGCGAATATCTCGACAAGTTAGGTCTTACTCACCGTCGTGAAGGTGACCTTGGACCAGTTTACGGATTTCAATGGAGACACTTTGGCGCCAAGTACGTTGACTGTGACACTGATTATACAGGACAAGGCGTTGATCAATTACAACAAGTGATTGATACTATAAAAAACAATCCCACTGATCGCAGAATCATTCTATCAGCATGGAACCCTGCAGATATTCCTATCATGGCTTTACCACCTTGTCATGCCTTTTGTCAGTTTTATGTATCTAACCCACCTCAGGATGGCGGGCGTGCCAAGTTATCCTGTGTGCTCTATCAACGTTCTTGCGATATGGGACTGGGTGTTCCTTTCAATATTGCTTCTTATGCACTTTTGACACGCATGATTGCACATGTAACAGATCTTGAACCTGGTGAATTCATACATACAATGGGCGATACACATGTTTATGTGGATCATCTTGACGCACTCAAGCAACAAGTTCAACGTGAACCCAAGCCTTTCCCTACTTTAAAAATCAACCGTAAAGTAGATACTATCGATGATTTCAAGTTTGAAGATTTTGTATTAGAGAACTACAGTCCTCACAGTAAAATAGAAATGAAAATGTCTGTCTAATAAATACACAATTTGAAGCCGAGTCTTGGTTATTATTATGCTTTGCGGCAACGCTAATATTTCGCTTTCTCGGCAGTTAACTGACATTTATAAATATAAAATCCTTATGGATGGTATCGGGAAAAATATTGAAATAATGCGCTTTATATAAAGATGTATCAATGAGCTCATATTCAGTTCGTAGTCATAGTATTCACCCTTAGAGTACTGATGCTGGCTATTGTTTATATATTGTCGTCTTCCTATGATCGCTTGTGGCCAGTAAATAGATAGTTAAACTGGCTGAAAGGAATGAGCTTGATGGTTTTCATATCCATATATTAATACTTTATCAAGTTAATGTTGAATGACACTAAGTCAAGGGATGATATGATTTCGAAACAGTGATAAAGAACCAAAAGGCATAAATTTTATAGAGTAGGTTTATTAAGAACTGATGTGTAATAACGGGATCAAATTACTAAAGTATTTTTACTTCCATTAAGTTAAAACTATCTGCTAAAGATTTTTATCTAGTGTTCGCAATTCAAAGTTTTGCCATAAGCTTATTGAAGCGACTAAAGAAAAGTAACATCAAAAGAATGCTCCTAGATAAATAGTTATACGTACCTTCTGTTTCGATTAAGAACGTCAGTAACCTTCTCGACGATACCGTACTTCTTTCCCTTACAAGTTGCTTGGCACCATTCTATAACTTTTTCAGCCGAGTTAAGCTCAAGTGTAAGCAGAGCATCTAAAATTTCCCTTTCAGTAGGTAACGTGTAGTTGACAGGGCGTTTAAAGTAGTCTTTTCTGCTACTAGGAACAAATATAATCGGAGCGAAGCAATGGAATATTCTTGACCTTATATCTTCTTCCAGGTCGACATCCTCTAATCTACTTGGAGTCCACTCCATTTTTTGTTTTGTAACCAATTTGGCTTTTATACCATTTTTGAAATCGGGTAAATACTACCAAAAGGTCACATGAATACACTGTTAATCAACAGTCTTAAAAAAAAAACACTTACAGGTGTTATATGCCAGATTCGATATTCCATTTCCAAGCACTCCAACAGAGACATGTTTTTACCCCTTCTGTATGATTCTAGAGTTATTTTGAGACAGGTTGGAGAATGAGATAGAATGGTGTTCATAGTGTCAAGTGCAAATTTTGATCCATCTCTTCGAAGCGCATCGACAATTTCCTCAACAGTACCGTAGCGAAACCATCTAAGAATATGATTTTACAATCTCTTTCTTGCTTGGTAACAAATAAACTTACTCGTTTATCTTTTCTAAACGCTGGCCATGCATCATATAACTGGACGGCTTATGGTTTGGGCCGACAGCATATTCTTCAATGACATCATTAATCAAATCTAATGTTGGCTCTGTTATCTGAGTAAGGCGCTCCTCTAATGCCTTTAACGAGGAGGAAGGCACAAAGTGAGTAGCAAAGCCAGCCAAACTGTAAAAAGTGTAAGTTCTAGTTTCCTTTTACTATGATGCAAATACTGTACTAAACATCTTCTCCTTTTAATACTCTGCCCGTGAGTGCTAAATAGGTACCCAAGTTTGCATCCAAGCGAGACATGTAATAGCTACTGCCCATATCACAAAAGGTGCCAATTGTCGCCTCAGGCATTGCAACACATGTGTTTTCGGTAGCAATTCTAAACTGTGAAAAAGCGCCAATTCCGCTACCAGCGCCGCCTAGTATAGAATGAATGTAAATAAACATCAAAGTGAGTGTGTTCATACTGAGAAATTACATGTCATTCCATCCATTAGCGTTACTATAGGTGTATCCATAGTAGCTACCAAATGAAGGAGCGTGTAAATTTGCGAGAAGCTTTGAAGGTTAGCCTTTGCCGTATGTGGGTCCGGAGCATCAACAAAAGCCTCAGAACAGTCTAAAGTGCATTAAACAGTAATTAACATTACATTTGGCATCAAGTACCAATTCTTACGTTTCAAATCACCGCCAGTGCAAAATGCTCTACCAGCACCTTTCAAGATAACCAGGTTAACTTCATTGGAGGTCTCACATGTCTTTTAAGAATGATCAAGTTACCGTTAGTTTGATAGATCAAACAGTTGTAAAACTTTACCTTCAAGTATCCTAATAATCGCATAAGAAGGGAGGTGGTTACTGAGTTAAGCTGTGATGGTCTGTTAAGGGTGATAACACGAGAGCAGTTGACTCTTTGCATAAAGACCTCTGGCGTCTATTGTGAAGGGAAGATTAATAATCACTATCTGACTATAATCAGCACTTAATTACGGTAGGATTGTATTGATAGTATTGCTAAGAAAGTAAAGCATAGTTAGCATATTTCTTGCTGTCTGAAAACAAAAAGATACAAGATCCTTACTACGTGGGTAGGGTTTACCATTTTCTTCAAATTTGTTTTGCTAAAGAACAACAAACGAAATAGGTGCTTGATGAAGGCTCTTTATATACAAGTACCAAATGTCCGTATTCTTTTACCCAGCATTTGAAAGTTGTCCAGCATGATTCGTGCATTTATGAATGATTAGCTTAATTGTTACTTTGCTTCTATTTTATGGCGAGTAAGGTTGCCCCTTATCTTTACTCTTTCCCGAAGTTGCCGACAACACGCGAAATGAGCAATTCTCTACCCAACCTCCAGAAATATCTACTTATCCCTCGTTTCTTTTTTTTCAGTTGCTTAAACAGACCATAAACATAAATGACTATTTGAATAACAAATTATTAAAGGACTCTTTTGTATGCTGTGATTTTTATTATGCAATTTCTCTGTTATTATTAGAAGGAAGTTTGTAGCAAAAGTTATTAATAGGATTAACCCCAAACGTCAAAAGGTGTCTCTAGTTTATCCCCGTCACTGGAATATACTCGGCATTCATTCAACGCGCTATATTCCTCAAAGGATGTGTATCCTATAGACATTATTCATGAAGATAAAACACACAAGAAAAGGTTATATAAAAGTGCTAAAGAGTTCTTGCAAATTTTTTTTTACATAATAGCTCTCTAGTTCACTTATTTCACCAGAAATTCAATAATAAGGAGCTAATGTTGGAAAAAATGGGGAGAAACCTTCATATGAGCTGTGATTCTCAGTAGCGTCATATAAAGATACTATAACCAAAAATGTATCGATCATCCAAGCTCCATGGTTTTGTTTCTAACTTTTTTTTTGGATTTTACAAAACAAGCTTATTTAGTTGCAAGTAGGCAGCAGGATAGACGTACAATGCGACCTATGGGCTGTAAGAGTGTATATCAAAAAGGGTAACTGTATTTTTACCAAGGTTAATGTCCCCAAAAACAAAGGTTGAGCCGATGTATTGTTCTCCTTGTTTTGTGTCAAGTGAACAAAGATAAAAAGTAGGCGACTGAGTCTGTCCTGAAGACATATGCTGATAATCAAAAAGTATGAGGGTTATACAACAGACATCCGCTAATACAGTTTGAATAAGCTTCTTTTTATTGTTACTCTAGTCATGTACTTGAGGCAGTCTGTTCCTTTGTCATTCTTTGAACGTTCGTCTCTATTATTAGTATTGCTTAGGGATAAGAGCAATTTTTATTCAAAAAGCTTTATTGTACAAAAGAATCAATCAGTTAAAGTCAACAAGGGGAGTATTGTAGTGTTTTATTCTATCTAATCAGTTGACATATTTATAGCATGCCGTCTACATTTCATATCTATTAAGGACATCCTCGACCTTTTCACGGACACCGTATTTATCTTTACGATCTTCTTCAAACCAGGCTACGGTATCTCTAACGGTTGATAAGTTGTGTTTTGAACGTACTTCAAATATTTCCTTTTCAGAAGGTAAAGCGTATTTCTCATAGGGCAAACGATAACAATCTTGCGTATTCATAAAGTTCAGTCTTCTTGCAACATTAGCATGGAAAAATCTCACACGAATGTCTTCATCAAGATCAAGGTCTTCTAATTTACTGGGATTCCATTTAGGTGCTTGCTTATGTATGATGTGAGATGTGACTCCTTCCACAAAGTCATGGGCAAACTAGGGTTTAGAAATGTTTGCTCGGTTAACAGTACAGGATAGTACATTAATTTGCTTACCGGCACTGTCTGCCACAGGACATGCTCCATTTGAAGACATTCTTTTAAAGATAAGTGTGCACCTTTGCGAATGTGCTCTAGGGTTACTTTTACACCAGTAGGCGAACGCTTACGAATCGTGTGAATTGCCTCATGAGCAAATCGAGAGCCATCCTTGTTTAAGGCATCAAGAATCTCTTCGGCATGCTCATATTGAAAGCATCTACAGAAATGTATAAGAAGAATTTTATGGCGTAATAGTGTCATATGCATACCTATCGATGGTCTTTCGTACTTGACCATGAAGCGTATAAACGGAGGGTTTATGACCCTTTTTTACAGCAAACTTTTCAATAGTTTCATGAACTTTATTATAATCTATGCAGTCAGTAGTAGCTAGTTCGTATTCTAAAGCCTCCAAATTAGCAGAAGGTACAAAGTGTGTTGCAACGCCAGCAAATCTAAATGCAACTCTTTTTTTTAGTTTGGCTGTATCTGAATAAAATATATGCTTACAGAGCATCCTCAGCTTTCAGGATTCTACTTGTCATTCCCATAAAAGGACCGATATGCCCGTCCAAGCGAGACAAGAAGAAGCTTGCGCCTACATCACAAAATAATCCTATAGCAGTCTCAGGCATAGCGAATTGTGTATTCTCAGTAGCAATTCTGAAAGGAGCAAAGGCAGATAGCAAACCAGCTCCAGCGCCCACTATAGTTAAAATAAAGCAGTAAAATCAGAAATCACTTGGTACAAGGTATAAGATACCTACTTGTAATTCCATCCATGACAGCAATATAAGGCTTCTTCATTGTTGATATAAAGTGAATCATTTCATACTCTGAGTCAACTTGAAAAGCCAATTCTTCATGCTTATTTGGATCCTTTATTTTAAGAGCTACATCTGTATGCATCATTGTGAGTCGAGGTGGTGTTTTTACTTAATGAATGTACCTTTGACGTCACCGCCTGCACAAAGCGCTCTTCCTACGCCTTTCATAAAAATTACTTTGGCGTGCGGATCGGATAGTTCCCACGCCTATCGAACAAAAGATTAACCCTCTTATTTGATTATTTTTTGCAACCCTACTTTCAAATGTGGATAGATGATATTGACCATTTCTAAATCGATCGCATTCAATTTGCGAGGACGATTTAGAATAAGATGTCGAGCCGATGCATCTCTTTTGACCAAAACACTTGGCTATACGCATTTATGAATTCAATAAAATACGATACATTGATCTGTAATGAATATACCTCTATGCCCTGTGTATGTAATAGCTAGGGTATAGATGGTAACTATGTGTTTTATAACCTAATCTATAATTTCTTACTCTCTGCTTTATGGAAGAGGTCACGGAAGTGACTTTGGCAAAGTTTGTTCTAATCATGAACTGTCAGTTAATAAAAGAAAAAAAGAAAAGAGGCAATGTATATCAGAAAGAGCAGTAAAATGACTAATGCGAATTCTTGGTACTTCTTTGTTCAGATGTTCGGTAAATCAATTAACCAACTCAGCCCTCGTCTATTTGCTCTTGAAATACACTATTTCCAGAAAGAGATGTCGCGCTGACTTGTCGCTTTTTCGTATAAATTATATAAAGACTACAAAAATGCGACTTTACTTTCTGAAAAGACTGTAGATACAGTATTTCTACTTTAAATTCAGACAATGTTAGCTTTTTTCTGATAAATCAAAATTAACTTTCAAATGAATAGATTACCTTTTTTGGATAAAATTAAATGGGCATTCAGACAATAGACATTGATATTTTAGACGTTTGATCTGTACAATAATTTTATCTTTCAGTAAGGATACCTTGTTTACGATAGCTAATCTTTGGCAGTCCAATTCTACCTTTTTTTTGCTGTTTGTCTTGGATTCTGCTGTAATAGCGCTAATAATATGAATGAGAAATTCCAGTCTATAATGGGAGGGGTTTTTCCTAGTACTATTGTCAATTCGGATGGGTTCTCTCTACGACTTCTTCAACGAAAGAAGAACGCGTGATGCAGGAACTGTCACATTTTCCTATATAGAATAAATATCAAATAAAATTGGTAAATTTAAATCTCTTTCTTCGACAACGTGTTCAAGAATTTCATTCTCGAAAAGTAACTATCAGTTCTCAACAAAAGAAAGCTTGAAGAAGGAAACGTAGATAATCCGTTTAAAGGTAAACGATAGTAATCAATTCAAATAAGTCTATATTACTTATAGCGTAATTTTTGTATAGATATGATATGCGAGGATTGTCAAGAGAAAGGACACGCGAATAAAAAGTATTACAAATGTAAATTTTATAAAGAAGCTTCAGTTGATGATGGTATTTCGCTTGCGTCTTTCATATTGAAATATTTACTATGCTAATGATATTTCTATTGTTAGTTGGAACATTTAGTGGAACAAAAAGAAAGCAAAGCTCCAGCCTCAAGCAAGCTAAACAGCAAGCCAAGCGACAAAGAGAGGGCACAAACTCAACAGTAATTTGCAAAAGTTGTCAACAAAGTAAGTGGTCACAGTATGTCACGTTCCCGTTTATGTCCAAACCACAATCTCGCAAAGAATGAAGTGCTTGCAAGAAACCTTGGTTTTCCGTATATAGCTTTCACTAGAAAACTTTTGTTGGACTCTATTGACAAAAGTGATTACAAAGAGATACTCAAAAACAAGATTATTGTCAGCTCAAGAGATATCCACAATATTGTATCCAGGACGGGCTGTTGACTAATAGCTACTGTTTGTTAAATCCCATGATTCCATACCTTACGCTATTTACACACAACAATATTGGCACTCAGTGTGCCAACTGATCAATGGAAAGAAAATAACGAATAGCGCCAGTACACCGTCAAATCTCATATCATACTGGGATGCTTTCAAAGACACAAATCCAAATGCTGTGTATCAGTAAAAATTGATAAAGGGGGGCCAGCCAATGTCTCACCGAAGCTTGCAAAGAGCTGGAGACGTGCTACAACAACCATATTGTTGAGAATTTTGAACAACAATTGTTGTATTTTTTAAACACGAATTGCAGAATTTACTCATGGTAAATTGCCACATCTTGTATTTTTTTTTAAAAAAATGGAAAATTAGAATTCATACTTTTCTCACATGTAGAACGTACATCCGAGTGACATTTCTGACATTTCGGCTAAATATTACTATCAGTTCGTTTGTGGCGGGGAATCGCATTGGCCAAGTTGTGCGACAAGACTGCAGGAACAACAAAAAGCATTAATTACGGATCTTTGTCAGCCACTCAACGTATTGCTCCCAAACAAAGTTACTTTACAAACTCTCAGTCGCCAACCAGAAAAACACATGCGTGTTCTTTGTCAAATCTTATCCGAATACGAGGTTGGACATCGAAACCACAAACCCTATGATGTGCGCCGACTCCCATTGCTATGACTATTTGGAGTATTTCCGAAGCCATCCTTGCATTTCAGATCAATCACCATTAGCTCAAACGCGTTGGCACCATTTGTATCTTGATCAAGATCAGAAGGGTATGATAATCAGCTCTCATTCTTTGAAAGTGTGATAGATTTTGTTGCCTTGAGATATAAAAGGTATTATAAATCGTCGTCAAAAAATGTTGACATCTTATCAGGAAACCATTAATCTTTTATTTTTATTTTAGCGAAGGCCTTGAACCGTGCGGAAACAACCACGTCATGTTTGGCAACGTAATTAGATCGAACGGCTTCTCTGTTGACTGTCTATTTTACAAAAAATCAACCAAGCGTGCAACAATGAATGAAGTAGATCTTGAGCTCAAACTACATGACTTCGATATTGACGAAGTACAAAACAGTGACAGGCCGCTTTTATTGATCCTAGGAGAAAGACTGTTTTCACAGCGGCAGAGGGTGTAAGCATAAAAGCTCATAGTCTACTGCGATGTACCACCCATGAATATTATCACATGACCGGATCTACCAGATACCAGACTGATCAGAGACGACGGAAAAAAGAAAACCAGATTGAATCAATTGAAAGTGAGATGCCATCCCATAAGACAACTTTCTACCAATCATATACTGTTTATGTTTAGCATATCCTCAGTTATTTGAATACGTTATTCAATTTTTATGGCAGCGACACTGCAAAATCTCAATTTTTTCTGTAACAAGTTCGACAGAGAGCGGCTGAGAAAATGGTTAATATTCTTCTTACTGGGGGCGCAAAGTATAACAAAAGACGAAGAAAAAAGAAGAAAAAGAACAAGCAAAAGAAGAAAGCTGCCCCCAAGGCTACAACCAATGTGTCGACAAAGTAAGCAACTAGTCTTTTTTTTGCTGATGATATAAACTTTTTTT